TAAGTGCTTCGAAAATTGTAGTTCATAGCACTTTCACAAGTGAAATTTTCTCCAGGAAAGAAATGTCACGTACGTGTGAAGAAAATAACCTATAATTGATCCGAATCAAAACTAAATGTTATCAATGGAATTATTTTCAATAAGCAGCCTTACTTACAGCCTGAAATAGTGAGAAGGATTATCATCCGCCGGCCAGGTATAGCGAGCTTCAACAAAGTTCTGTGTTAATTACGGTCAATCTATGGTCTTTTGGGAATATCTTAATCAAACACAAGTTGCAGTATTTTTAAATACCATACTTGTTAATACCAAAAAGGTAAATGATGAACTAAATTAGAAAAGTAAACTTAATTCCTTGCCAAGTTTGGTTGCTGAGGCCAGCAAAGCCGAACACTGCATGGGTGCACAGGAAAGGATCGGCGTCGAAGGCGCCGAGTCCCGGACGGTAGACCGCCCAGGAACTGAAGTAGCAAACGTCCATCCTGTCGTGCGGATGGTAGGTTACGAATTGCATTGCTTCACAAGGGATAATGTCAAATTAGTGTAAACAGCTATCATATTTCTGAATTTTAATGTGACAGACTCCGTGCACAAACCGACTGGAAATAAATGATAATAATTTGATTTTCGGTCAAATTTTTAAGGTGAAAAATTGAAAACTTTAACTCAAGAGCCATCTTGAACAGTGTGCAGTGGGTCGACTATCTTCCTGATAGTAACGGAAAAAGTAACGGAAAATATAAAGTCGCCCAAATGAACTAAATTACTTATCAGCAAAGGTAAACAGACTCGTCTTATCCCGGATGGCGCTGAAGTGCGTCGATGAAACTTTATCAAGAAACATGCAATTAAGTGAACAAAGAAGCATTGTATCTGTCGGTCCCCAGTGATCACTTTCTCATCGTATTGCAGTCAATAAATGAATGAGTGACGTTATCACGAAAGGCCAAGAAGCCTTGTTGTAACGTGAGTCACTTCGACCACGCTAGTAGCACCACTATCTTTTATTTAACGTCTTCTAACTAAATGATAGATTATAATTTACTTTTCCTCTAGCGTTTCACGGAAGAAAGTAATCAATAACCGTTCAATGCGTTCAACGATTCCTCATCACGTTGAGGCTAATGTACATATTGTCCAGAGATTAAATAATTTGGGAATTCATCGGAGCTTCTTTTGAATTTTGTTTCAATGTAACAGATCGATGCTTTTCGTTGTAATCGTGACTCTTGTGGCTTTTAGTTATATCAATGTGAAAATTCACGTAACAAACACACCCTGTATTGGCTTTGATGTTAAAATTTAATTCAAGAAATTATAATGTATTTAATCCCTCTTCTGAGAACGACTGTTGACAATTCATGGTGAACGTCAAATTCAAAACTAATGCAGCCTGAAACAAATGCACGAAGAAAATCGAATATATTTTTCCCATGTCTAATAATTTATCGCTGTGCTAGATTAACTTGAGAAATTTATGGATGTCATTTTTATCGGTCAGCTTCATATATCTTCCTCAATTTTGCTTTCAAGTGCCTCGCCATTTTCCGCTATCGCGAACAAAAGGAGCGACTCATTACAGCTCCTGCCTCTTCAAGTGTCTATGAATCACCTTCCGTTGTCAGCCCAGAATTAACAGAAAGTTAGTATGGCATGTTAGGTATTATTCGTGATCTTAAGTAATTATATTATCGCTCTGTGACCTGCAAATTAAGAAGAGCGTTGAAATATATTTTAACTATTGATAGCATAACAAGATATATAATTAACTGATAAGCAGATATTCGAAGAATAATTTTTACCCCTGGGTTAATAATTAAGCAGATGCAGTCGATACTGTCATGGAAATTATCCGTCGCCACTGAAATGATAATAAACTAACCTCTTTAATACACGATAATAATTGCCTCATTAACATGCAGGCCAAAGGCTATTTGTTGAAGCGCATTGTTTTGTGTGTGATTTCTTCCGTTTAATTTCGAAATTACGACCAAAGTTATAGTTTTAAGACATCCGTAAGAATATTTTCGTATTTGATTTTGGTATTTTGATAAAGCTAATTCAAATTTCAAAGTCCTTTCAAAATTGACCTCATAGCCAATTTTATACCTTGAAATAAATCTAAATTATTGAATGTATGTCCACACGATATAGAAAATGGAATGAATACAAATATAAATTATTGGATTATTCCTATGTTTTGCCCCTGAAGATTTCCTTCACACAAAAACAGTTTTAAATAATTATTTATTTATGCTTTTATCAATAATTTTCCGTAGTCACTCACTGAAATTATTTAATGCGTCATAAATAAAATATATTTTAGGAACCCCTATCCAACTACGTTTATTTTATTTTGTTACGTTGATATGTCCATAATTTCTATTCCATGAGAATAATGTACATCGATAACTCTTTAAAGAGTAATTCTTTAATCAAAGTAAGATTTTTTTATTGCTTTGCCTTTAGGTTCAGAAATTCACAATTTAAATTTTCCCTAAAACCACGAAAATCATTTGCCCGTAATCGTCCGAAATTTTCCAAAAAAAAAAAACAACGGATAAATTATTTCCTCGTACTTATCCGTAGAAACACGGACGATTTATTTGTCCGTGATTGTCCGCGATTTTTCGAAGAAACCTTGTCCTTGCGACCACTTGGGTTTAATTGTGGTCGCTTTCCTCGTTCATGTCATCGAGATATGTCCTGAATGACTGTACAACAAGTTAGAGGGCTTAGTAATGTATATCTAAAATTATGTAATAGGTTTTGAAACAATATGTTTTGTTTGCACTATCATTACCTAATTTGGAAACAAAGGATTTAACAAAACTAAAATCATTCATGCCATGAGTATTTAAATTACGAGATTGGAGAGTATCTAATTGAGACGCAAGGCTCGCAAAATGCGATGGAAGTTGAGTAATTGTAGGCCAGGCATAAAATTGTAGGATTAATTGTAGGCACTGATTCAGCCTCAAAAACATCGCGTGAGCGAAACGGCTTTACGACGTGAACCGTTTTGACGGAAGCATCATGTCTATAAATGAACAGGACACCTTAGTCGGAGAGCCCCAGTAGGCCTCTGGCATAATCGTAGTAATGTAATACTCACTGCAGTGGGATTACGTCAGCCTCACGGTCGGAGGTGTTGGCTGTGTATCTAAATCTCTGCCATTACATTGTTACATCGTTGACGCTCCGAGTATGGACGCCTTTAAGAACAGACTAGACGAAGCTATGAAGGATCATATGTTCAGTCTTAAAATGCCTAGCAAATTACGGACCCAGGCCGTAAGTCCAGCAGCTATCTCAATCAATCGTCAGTTATGGAAAGATCGGGTTCCAAAGGCCGGATTCCCTGTGAATCAAGTCACGAAAAGTTCAAGCATCGTCAACAGGCTATGGGCCAATTTCTTCAATGCCGACACTTCTATTCTATTCCATTTTACAAACCACGACGTGTTAAGACGAGAGTAGAGAAGAATGCGTTCACTTATCCCTAGCATTAGTCTTTGAATCCCTGCCCTCAGGTGGATCTCATACGAATATTTAACATGGGTGGCACCAAATATATGCCATCTGACATTTTTAAATTAGTTTTACTACCAAAAACTGTGGTAATCATATGATAAACTTCCACTTAACCCAAAGAATTTTTTCACTGAGCAACGGCTCAAAGGCTGTATGATTTTCACTAGCATCAGTTCAGTCGTTTCGGAATTCGACTCGCTTCCAATGAGTGTGGCAATTCAAATCAATATTTTCACGAATTTATTCATTTTACTGCGGCACCAACGCTGAATGAATTCTACGACTGTCAGTTCAGTCCTATTTTTTTAAATGTAGTGCCGAGAAACTGGTAAATTAACGTGGAATTTGCCTCTAGCCCGTGTTATTAAAATTGTACAAACGCTGTATTAATTTCACCTATCGAGAGACTGACTTCATTCCCTTTATGTTGATTCTACGTGTGACATATCAGCACACCTTTGATGAGTATCACGTGTTATAGTACTTGAACACGACTAATCGTTTAATCACAGAATTCTTCGTATAGGAATCTATGTGTGACATGTTGTCTCGAACGTTCAATTGCCTAAGCAAATTGGCTCATAATTCCCATTTTCAGCACTCATTTGGACGAAGGACATCGTATGACTGCGTTGAAGGTATCAAATATCTCCGTATCTATAGTAGGTTGGAGTAAAATAATGCTTATAGCGGGTAGAATACACGAACTATTGTGCACCACAGGATCAAACTTCGAGGATCGCTGAACACGAGTTGGAACTGTCATATTCTAAGTTGAAAAATACGAAAAAAATACGTGTTGAAGTTGAAAAAAAAGTTGAAAAATACGTGTTAAACGACTTTTTTTTACAGTCGTGGCAGTATCTTGATTGATTAATTGTTGTTATCGACTGCAGAGAAATGGCATGATTGGGCCTATTTTGAGGGCTTCAGCCTCCTTAACATTTTTAAACTATATTTTGCATATTTTTAGTAATTTCACGTTGATTTATAACAATTATTATTATATTATTACGAAAAAATGCCAGAAAATTCTACATTTTGCCTGGATTTGCTTCAAATTATGTAAACACAAGTACTTCCTGCGATTTTTGTTGTACTGTACCGTAGTTGTTGGCTGCTTGTGAAATGAAAAGTTTGCTCACATCTATACGTCTTCTCGGGACTCCCTCTCCCTGTCCTCAAAACCTAGTGACGCCGCTGTGCAGTGCAGCGATGATCTTGTTACATTCCCATTGATTCTTTTTTGATACCTAAATTAAATGAATGCGCCTACTATGAATATTTGCGTCCATGTATCACTTATCAATGAACCATGTTGTAAGCAATCATTGTATTTCGCTTTAGTTTTTGCAGTTACCGTCGTGTTACGTCAATCCTTGAAGCGGTGCGCAAAAAAGATTCTATCCACTTCAAATATAATAGATTCTATTCGCTATATAAAGGAAAATAAACTTTAAAACGTATTGAATAAATGTGAGTAATATTTGAATATTTGAATGCGTTCCTCGTGCTTTCGGTGATTACCCATACGACCACAATTGCCCATATGACTATCCATATGATCAATAACCATCCTCGATAACCATCCGTTTGACTTATTCTATCTATATGGTTATCCGTATGACGAATATTTTAAATAGGGCCATCCGTATGACCAATATAATCCACATAACAACTGTCATGAATACGTTTAACCATAAGGCCATTGAATCATTTTCTTCTTTTTATTTTTCTTGTCCATTTCCCATGTTTTTTTCTGTTTTACTGGTATTCTTCTAATTTGCAGGATTTTTCAATCGTCTTCTTCGTCCCAGAAGGCGGAGACGTTGCATGTGCTCGTGTCGACATTGGCTGGGAAGTCGCAAAAGCCGGTGTCTGCGTTGTAATAGAGCCCGTCCGCACAAAATTTCCTTTCCGGCTCTCCGTGCTCACATTCGTAGTACTGCAAATTGAATTGAAGACAATCTTAGCAACCAATATTCCCTTAAACCCTAAATCAAACTTATCAGGTGATGATCACAGCGAAAATTAAGTTAAAAAGTATATTTTTAGGAGATTTATTTTTTCCAATGAGTGATTTGGCTTGCTCTCTGGAGACTCGCACTGATATTCTCGCATCTGTGCTACAGCGATAAGCTTAATGCTAATTTTAGCTAATTATTTATATTACATACTTAGTCGTGCTAAGAATACGTGATAGAAGTTCTTCATTCATTATTCATTATTAAATCAGCTGATTAAACCTTTTTAAAATTGTATTTATTTCAAGCACCCTCGTGTACTGTTAAGAAACACTTAAGGATGGTTATCAAACCTCGTTGCAATCCACGCCAGCGTAAGTTACGCCGTCCGCCTCGCACGTCCACACGCGGCAGTTGCTGGTGTCGACGTTCTCGGGGTAGTCACAGCGGGACGTCTGGGGGTTGAAGTATGTCCCGGGGCTGCACAGCATCAGCTGCGCCTCGCCGTTGATGCACCACCAATACTGTTTACCGGAAAAAGTTGAAATTGAAGAATTCGTTCCAATATTTTTTGATGTAACACAATTGTGCCGATGTTGAATAGATATGGTGTGTAATAACTGAATATTCACGCAGAAACTGATGGAAAAGCCATCTACCGAATCTTCTCACCTTGTTGCAGTCGTCATGTGGGTAGAACTCACGACCAGGGTCAGCGTCGCAGTCGGGAGGTTTCGGCCACGTTGGTCCACTGGTGGTAGTCTTACTTGTGGTGGTAGTTGGCGAAGTGGTAGTGGTCGTTGGAGTGGTGGTCGTGGACGTGGTTGTTGGTGTTGTTGTGGTAGTTGGCGTCGTTGTGGTAGAAGATGTGGTGGTGGTTGTTGGAGTTGTTGTGGTCGTAGGTGTGGTAGTTGTCGGAGTTGTGGTCGTGGTAGGCGTAGTGGTCGTGGTAGGCGTAGTGGTCGTTGTAGGTGTAGTGGTCGTGGTAGGTGTAGTGGTTGTGGTAGGTGTAGTGGTCGTCGTAGGTGTGGTCGTGGTAGAGGTGGTCGTAGTGGTGATGGGAGCGTTTGGACAGTCCTGAAGAAAGTTTTAATTTACGCACAGAAAGAAAGCTACATTAAAACTGAATCTTGAAAACTAAAATATTGCTTTAAAATAAAATATGTAATTAAAAAATAATAATTAAAATGTTGAGGTCCAAACAATGTAGGAATGAATGCTAAAGTTAGTGAGCGGCAATAATTTTGTCAAATTTTTAGGTTAGATAAGCTGATGAAGGTTAACTGCTGAACACGGTTGAAGTCAAATTAAATTTACTGGGGCGGTCGGATCCGCGGGTTCGGCAAATGCTCTCAGGGCGGAGCGGATGAGGGGGTTCTTGTCACTGCCGCAGGTCGGCAGGAAGTCGTCGGTGTCGATGGTCCACACCACAGTACCGGCCAGGTTCTGGTTCTTAGCGAACCGTGCCTGACAATAATTATTCATGTGCACTACATTGATTTTTTAATATAAAACGCTATTTATTATAATAGAAAGACTTCAAAACATTTGTTTTTGTCTAAGATTTTTTAGTATAGTTTGACGGAAGCTGTTCTTTAATGTAAGTTTCGTTGAGACGCAGTGAGAAATGTGCTTAAAAGGAATACTCTCTGCTCTTCAATAAAATTGCGTCGAATATTTATTACACAATCAATAATGATTTGTTACACAGTCAATAAATGACTAAGAACATCTATTACCTTAAGGTAGATGGAGTCAACGTCGTCATAGCCGCACCAAATACTGTCACTCAGGCAGTAGAAGTAAGGCTCGTTGAGCAGAGGGTCGTGAACTATGGTGCAGTCGTCTGTGTTTTTTAAACGCGGGCAAAGCTGCGAAAGCGTTCATGAGATAATGTTACTGTGAAATTTTTATTTCCAAGTACTGCAAATTAAATTGAGACACAAGAGAAGTTTAAAAGCTTAAATTCAAATTTAAACTTGTAGCTCATCAAAACTCGATTTTTAAAAAGTAGTTAGTCGGGAAATTTTTGTTTCAGCTCGAGGTACATTAAATATAACACTTGATTTTTGCATAAACATTAAGGCATTTTTCTCAATAAATCCCCAATTAGCGAGTTTAAATGCTTATTAAATAAAACTTTCATAATCCGATCATGGTATATTTCCGCCCGAAGTAAGCTGCGCAGAAGGAAAGAAGGGTGGAAGGAAATTTTGCACGCAAGCATAAAATTCAGACAGTATTTTTTACCATGGAATGATACTGCTCTGTTCTTACCTCATTATAGCCCAAAGATCCAGGCATGCTGGTGTAAGGTCCAGGTTTGCTGGGCCTGGATGCGTCGGCCAGCATGCCGTGATCCTCAATGTTGTCCAGCGTAAAGCAGCGGCCGTACAGGGGGACTCCCATTACCGTCTTCTCGCGGGGAATTCCCAGCGACAACCAGTACTTCACAGAAGCAACCTACGTCCGAAAAAATGTATCCCTTAGCCACACCGACCACAGATACCATATTTAATAAGTGGGACGAGCGGAATTGTATTAGCATTAGTTTATTTGATTCACTAACCACGTTAAAGTAAATAAAGTCGCCCTCGTCGGAGGGGTAGGCGCACAGCGGGGCGTTGTGGTGGGTGAAGTTCTCGAAGGCGCCGTGGTAGTCGTAAGTCATGATGCTGAACACGTCTAGGTTCCTCACCAGGCCTTGCACGTCGTAAGCCTCATCGACCGTGGGTTTGCCCGCTGCGAGGGCTGCCGTCAGCAGGTAGCCGTGTTTGTCAAATTCCGCTCTCATTTCATCCAACAAAGTGATGAAATTTGCCTGGAAAATTTTCAGCACGTTCGATCATGTGCATTATTTGAGATGAAGGCAAAAAAAAAACATTTTGCTTTTATTTTATTATTTCTAACTGCTAATAATTTAGCCAAATCCAAAAATAACTGAATTGAGTGAAACTTCAGAAATAGCAGCAACTTCTCCCACCCACCTTATCTTCAGGCATGCCGCCCCGGCGAGCTGGGTACTCCCAGTCCATATCCAGACCGTCGAATCCTTCTTTCTGCAGAAGTTGTACGCTGCTCTCGATGAATGTCGCTCGCTTGGCAGGATCTCTAGCCATCTGTGGATTATATTGATCAAATTCGAATTACATATAGATCTATTTCTCTGTTCTATGGCAATAATCGAATTAAATAATCGGCAAATATTTGTAATGAATTTCGTGCTTTGGATCAATGCTAATCTTAATACTACTTAACCCTGTACGAATATCATAGAGTCGAAGTGAATGTGGGGAAATAAGTTAATGACACTAGCATCGTCCTCTTTATTACTCCAGGAACTCCAATCTGGACGCCATACTCACGGCTGAGTAATCTTCGGAGTCTTCATTCCAGCCGCCCACCGCCAGGATCACTTTCAGTTCTGGTTTTTGTTGCTTGAGGGCAACAAATCGCTTGTAAGCGCAGTGGTCGCCGGGGGGGTCGTCATCAGGGCAGTTCTCATTCCACGGATCCAAAACCTGATTACAAAAAGTAAGATCAGACATTCCGGCAACTTTTCACCTCAATACTGAATATTTGCACGTCAAATGGGCCGATAAGTTTGCGATATTTGATTGCCGGTGTCTATCGGCTGCAAGGCCTTTTGCTTTGCTATTTTACATAGAAAGTAAAATAATTCGCACCTAAAACGAAAAAAATGAGTCGATTACCACTAGTTATACCTCAAAGTAAAAGTCCCTCTCATCGCCCGAAATGGACAAAAGGTCTCAAAAGTTCGAAGAAGTAGAAAGATGTAGACAAAAAATAAAGATAAATACTATATAAATAGAGGTCGCTTTCACGAGACGTCATTCACTTGCACAAAAAAGATAGTGAAGTGAAGTGCCAGCAATTTTATTTTCAATGTAACTTGACCTCTAATCTGGGACCGTGCCCAAATACCAGGTGTGGCATATATAATATCGACCTTCATTGAAAGGGTACAAAGAGCAACAAAGCTATGTAGAGAAAAATGCATATATTTCTAAAAAGATCACGTCAGGAAAATGACCATTGGCCAGTCTTCGCCAATTTCTTCAACCCACTTTGAGACATATTAAGTTACGTGGATTGCCCACGATTTCCTATCCGATCCATTCCTTCTAATCATTAAGGGATGTAGAAAGTTGTTTGAAACCATTTTCACAAGGACCTAAAGTATGAGACCTAACCCACATTCCCACACCACATAGCCCACACCGCCATTGCCCACCGTTAATTCAATTTTGCAGCCGGAAATTTGTACATTCGATGTCGCGTGAAAGAAGCATTCAGTGTAGTTATCAGCAATGAAGAAAAAATAAGCGCTATTTTTCAGCATGTTTTTCCGCAACTAAATGACCGTGAATTCGAGCACAAAAAATTGACACTCAGAATTTACATATGTTCTCAGCGTATGAGACTAACCTCGATTTTCCAAGTTTGGTTGCTGAGGCCAGCAAAGCCGAACACTGCGTGGGTGCACAGAGAAACATCGATGTCATCGACGTCGAAGGCGCCGAGCCCGGGGCGGTAGACCGCCCAGGAACTGAAGTAGCAAATATTCCAGCCTGGAAAATGACATGGAATGAGGGGCTTCATTTGAGTCGTGAGTATTTCCATCTCTATTTTTGCTGGCTCCAACACCCGATAAGATTTCGAATTGTGTTTCGTAATTACAAAAAATATTGTTTCTTATTTCCGATTTCAACAGAAATTTTTTAACTCAAAAATTGTGAGGTAAATGGAGGTCATGATGGACGCGGAAAACTTGTATTAAACTAAATTTTTAATTTTTGAAAGTTTTCCGTTTATGCAAAAACTTGAATGTTTTATTTGCATAAATTGTTCTTAATTTTCATTTTCCATTCCAATAAAAAGTTCTTTACTAAAAAATTGTCTAGTATTATATAAAAATGACGCTGCGATCAATTTTTTAAGCCGCAAAAATTTCTGAACGCACATAAAAAGTTCATCCGAGTGGAACAAGTTATTAATTATTCCAAATTTTAAATGCGTCTGCCTCACCTTGGGCAGCAACTGTGCTGCATAGCGCAAAGAGCGCTATCAATAAGAGAGATCGCATGTCACGTTAACTTAAGGTACTCTGGTCAAATAGTGTGATCGAAATAATTCTTCCTTATTATATGTGAAGCTGATGCAGATATCAACGGCTGAGAAATGTAGCTGTGGTCGGATGCGTGAGAATATCTTGAGTATGTGCAGCCCTGCAGATAACAGTACGGGTAGAGATAACAATACGAGTTCTGGCACTGCAGGCTGAGATGGTCAAAGAAATTTTATTTGAAGTAGTTAATTGTGCAAGTAATTTACTTTCATATGCATGTTTGTACTGTATCTTACCAAATTATCTGTGAGTTAAGTAGCGTTTCATTTTCCTTGAGAGTGTCCATCTTTCTGTCTAAGATTTTTTTCTACTCGCAAGCTTCATACTACTAATAAGTAAACGGTATTGAATACATTTACGGACAATTATAATTAATAATATAATTAATATCGCTGGCTATATGAAGAAGAAATTCTAATTAACTAACTTGTGTTCGTCAGAAAGTCCTACTGCTTAGAAATAACAGGTCCTGACTGCGGCATTCAGAAAGTTTACTTCAGGGGAAATTTAATCTACGAGTAAGAGCTTTTTTGTTAATCGTCCAACAAAAATAATTGAATTCTCATACATCGTTGCTTGTTAAACAATTTTGCTTTTAAAAGATTTTTAAGCATTCGAATTTTTAATTTTATTTTCAGTTATAGTCGATGCTTGAATAATAGTTTGCGACATGGAAACTAATATTCTCAATGAAATGCAAGTCAAAGAAGACTTCCAGGTACAGCAGCCTAATGGAATCTTAATTCATCTTTTCCTGGTCGTATAGCTGAATACAGAATCTAACCATGAAACAACTTCGCGATCGGGTTTTCGGGAGACCATATTCGTGGTCCTGGCATTTCGTACGATGTGCATTGTTCTCAGTAAAACAGGTGCATGATACCAGGAATTCGATTTCTTATCATTCTTGTGATAGCACGACAGTATTTTCACTACACATTCGTTTTATTCAGTGACGTCCAAGAGCCGAATTTAAGGAATTTATATTTTTCTACCATCGTCCGTATGTGTGATGACTCATTTTAAATACATATGTGGAAATTCGCCCAACAATAGATGTACGAGCTCCTAAAATAAAATCATATTCGAAGATGCGTAAAAATTTGCATTTTATCCGATTGCATAATCCTTCACTGAAACCTATCACTGAACAATTCAAAATTACCGGGTCACACAGAATTTTTTGTTCGATAAAATTCCATCTGCCAATACGATAATTCAATACGATAATTCCATCACAAGAACAATACGATATTAAATACATAAATGTTTTTCTCCTCAATTAAACAATGATCACTATCAGCCCCGTTGTTTCGGTCAGTTTTTTGCGCTGCATATATAGACTTATACACGTTATCTGAGTTGTCGACTCATAACACGTGCTGTGCATGGGATAATGGCTGCATATATCACTCGTATTACTGTCATGTCGAGGTCAGTGCTTCAAGATAAAACGCAATATTTGTCACCTAATTATTAGGTATCATGATGTATTCCAAACATTAATTTTTTGCTGATTTTAATTTGAAATTTATGCCCGATTGCATGTTATTCATTATCGAATTCATTATCGCGAATAATCTTAGAACAGGATCCAACAAGTACACTGTCTTTCCTTCAGTTCAGTTTTTGTTCTGCAACTTTCTTGAAGAAGTAATGCAATATTTTTCCTTTTATATTGCAATTACCGACACTGAAACCATGAGTAACAAGGCACACAACTTGTCTAGTCATATGTCCGCGATGCGTGAAAGTTGAACATTTGTTATATTTACTAAGTTTATGGGAACGGCAAAGTATTATTATTTTTACGTTTTTATCATATTCTGAAAAACTTTTTATTAAAAAATATCCCTAAAGGGTTCCCCCATAGCATTTTTGCGGAACCGTTTTTATCTTGGGATCTCTACTTCATGTAGTATAAATGCAGCATAAATTAATGTAGAACAAACGAAAAGTTGTAGTGAACTGCATTATTATAGCTACATAATCCCAAAAGGGATATTAAATAGGGACATTTACCCATGTCAAATTGGTGAACATTCGTAAAAGTAACAGAAATACTCCTCTAACTACTATATAGTAAGTCAACAGGCCCTTAGTTGTATCAAAATTATTTGAACGTTAACAATTCAAAAATCGGATTGTTTGACACGTCGCTCAAAAAGAAATGAGTATTTATGTACCTGGGGGCGGTTCATAGAAGTGGCGTTTAATGCGTTTACAAAAATATATATTATACGAGGCGAATCAAAAACGAAATTTTATGTAGGAAATGTGTTTGAAATTTTGACACGACGAACGTTTTACTACAGGTTGATTAGTTTAAAGTTTGTTTGAATCTTTAATTCCCGCACCACTCATGGTTGAACTATATAAGGTTAAAGAAACCCACGATGATTTCCGTCTATAAGAAACCCACGAGGATTTCCGTCATTCAGTTCAGCTCTCTTGTTGCGTCACTGAGATCGAGAAACGTAAACAATCCCGTCATTCTCATGGCGGATTGGTTGACTGGTTTGATCGGATTTCGGTGATTGGTTATTTCCCGTGACGTCACTGAGATCAGTGACGTCACATGCGAACAACAAACCACATCCGCAAAAATGTCCTTCTCGTGGGTCAACCTTATACTAGTTCAACCATGGCACCACTAGTCGCATTTTCTAGGCCACTAAAGATCAAGTTTTCGTTCCTGTGGGCGCTTATATGCAAGTCTTTGGAGTCGAGGGAGCGCAGTGTAGGAGCAGCGTCCGCCTCCACGCAGGTTAGGTTTGTTGGGCAACGTCCATTTGCATTACGTTCAGTATTGTCATGAAATTTATTAATTCACTTTAAATTTCATCAGGTGGTCTTCAAAGTCACAAATGTCATTTGTCATTTTTAATATTCGGCTTTCCCTAAAATAATTTTTAGGAGCCAAATGCCAGGCTGTATTAAAGCTTTCGCTGTTATGCATTTAGACTGATGGCTTTCTTGGTGTATACAAAAACTTTGTCCAATTAAGAGACTATTTATATAAAAAATAAAAAAACATGTTCTTTATTCTGTTCACATAAAAATTCTATTATTTTTGCTCACTGTGGTCTCCATCAGTTTATATTCTGATAAATTATCTCAAATAGATTCAATCTCTCAGGTTTTCGCAGGAATAATTCACGCAGCGAAGAACGCGGAATTTTAAATAACTGCATACAAAATTTACGTCTTCTCTCTCAACAACAAACGACACTTATATATATTTATTATTTGTTTGAAAATGTTGAGATTGAATAATAAAGCATTTTTGCAGCCGTTAAAGTTTAGAATGAGAGTCGAAAATGTATTAAAACAATTTCTGGTTGAAATAAACCGTTTGACTCTCAAACTTTTGGTTTTTACAATATATTTCTCACTTGTGATATTACAATAAAAATGTATAACATTATTCAGCATTCAACTTCATTCATCGGCATAGGAGTACATAATTTTTAACGTCATTCATCAGCAAAGGCGAGTACAGAAGTAAAAGTCCAATTGAATCAATTTCTTCTTTCTCCCAATGCATGTGCCGTTTTAATGAAGAAAAACTTACTATATGGTATAAGCTAGTTCATGGCATCCGTAACAATTTCATGACAGTCAGCTGGAGAGCTGCGCTGATGCTGTGTGCGCCGGTCTCTCCTCAACGCCCCAGCAGGAGCATCTCACGCCTGTCATAACTAACATCTACATGCAGGTAACGTTTTCTTCTGCAACGAATACTAGAGAAATGTTTTGCTCATTTGCAATCGTTTTATTCAATTAGAAAGTGCTGTATTTCAACCTCTGTTATCCAACGCCATACGTGAAATAGAGCCAGCACAATAAAATATGTGAATGTGACGAGTAAATAATCGGAAACAAACATGGAATGGGTTTAAATTGCATATTTACTCGCTAATGACGCAGAAGTTTGTACAGAATTTCATGTGAATAACATGTTCAGTAAGGCATTTCTTAGCTCAAATAATACTTGTACTAGTGGAATACCCGAATACGCCGTACTCGAGTCACTAATCATATTTCCCTCAATGAAGTTCCTATTGCAGGTTTGTGAAGGCAACAGCTGCCTACAGCAGTCCTTAGTTCATCTGTGCACGACGTTGCAGCTCGTGGTAACCCAGCGCGCTGCTGCTCTCCTCTGAGCGCCACTTGCCCACTCGCCGTAATGATTGGTCACATTCGCAGCTCCTGATCTATTCTTTTACTCTTAAGATTTGAATGTACGGTTTGAAGATTAGAATGTAAAGCATCTTCAGTTTGTAGTAGTATATCGTGTTCAGACTTCGATATTTTGTTCGAATTACGTAACGTATTATACGTTATTTAGTTTCATAGTTACCTCTACTCTATATAGATTTTAGACGTTGGTTGAAACCTTTATTAATGGTTAAACCGATGCAATGGAGCTATTTATGCCTCCATTTTATTGAGATATGTTCAGAAGTGAGTGGTAGTACGCACAGCCGAGATAATTTCGAAATCGATCGTTATCAGTCTTTAAAAGTTTCGTGCATCTCCCATAAAATAAGGCGAAATCGTTTAGAAATGCCACGGGAGAGCCCACGGGAGAGCCATACAAGTATTTTTTGGATCTTCGAATGTATTAGGAGTTTTTTCAAAATTTTATCTTGGCTGTTCTAATTACTCTTTAGTGTTATTCCGAAGAATATTTCAATAATAAACATTTTGTTTGAATGTCTTGAAACTTTGTTCCATGACTCTATCAAGAAGACAATACTAGGAAAAAACGTAAAAAACGAAGACAATCAGTTTCACAATTGAGGTGTAACCTACACAATTACAACCATCTTGTAGGTTTAACAGCTGTGGGTTTCATCAAGGAATCAACGAGATGTTTTTTTTTTTAACACGAACTTGAATGATGTTTCTGTAATGTGACACCTCAGCAGGTGTGTGAAGGGAGCATTCCTACAATCAAAATAATAATCAAAAGTAGCAGGATTTAGGGCGTTAATCATGCACGCGGTGATTAATGTGGCATTTTATATTTCGGCTTCTTCTGTTTCTTCTTTTTACTCAGACTGGCATTGAAATCATCAATATCATCGCGTTTTCTTTTCTGGAAGTGAAGATCTGGTCTTTCTTCTTCAGTTTCCTGAAAGGGATAACACGAGTAGAACATTTTAGCCTTGAGTAGAGAAATAGCCAACAAGCTCTTCCAACTATTATAACCAAACGTGGATCAATATTACAATTCTGTTAGTGAAATAGACTCTCATGCGATACATTAATAAAATTCAATACATGGATAAATTAATACAATGTATTTTACTTCACTGTTCGTATTGGTTTAAATTAAACAGGTATTTAATGAAGACAAAAATATTACACAGTTTAATATACTACCTTGGCAAGTCGTTGCAGGTCCTGTTCCACGCTGATGTTGACAGGCTGTAGGAGGTCAGGTACGACGGTAGCCACTTTACTGGCAAAAACTTCTTCTTGCAAGGATGCCAACTTGCGGTAAATGCGGCAGATAGCGCGGCAAAAGTTTCCCAGCGCCGACTCTGCTGTCAGTCCTAATTCTTTGCCCACGCTTAACCATTCTTTGTTCTGGAGGCCTTTGCCCACTAGCAGAGCCTGGAACGAAAAGATTGTTATTCGTTTGTATTCGGATACGGTGTTAAGGTTTTAGGAGATTTCTTAAACCTTAACAAAAAGAAGAAGACTCAACTTAAACCTTAAGAACAATTAATAAGCTCTTTAGGAGATTTCAATGCAAACAATTAATAGCTATTTAGGATATTTCAATGCATTAATTGATCATAATCATAAAGTGTACTTTTAAAACCTTCATTTTGACAATTTTCTTCGGTAAAAAGCAATGCAAATTTAAACTACAAACTTGGCAGGAAGGAAATAAGAGTACTTTTTCTAAATAGCTAAGCACTTGTACGCTTAACTAACCGCTTGCAATTTGGAGAGCTGCAGCTCTGGTAAGCGTTGCTGGCAGTAGAGTTTGGCAAGAGGGTGAATGAGATCAGTCACAACATGACGACTGGCTGTGTGCTTGCTGTACTTCTCCAGTCTCCGCAGATCGTGTCCGCTGATAAGACATTCAACGTCGCTCCACACCAGCTCTGTTAAGGTAGAATTTCGCCACATATTTCAAATATACTGTACTTAACATGCAACTATTCAAGAGAAATGTTGTCGTAGAAACTAAATATTCAATAGGAATTACGACTCAATCACCAAAGCGAGTTTTCTATTGTTTACTGAAGAACTCTTCAAAATGGTTGTACACTGCACAGACCTTGTGACGGCTGAATATGCTGACTGTGTGCCTTGATGAGATCTGACGCCAGCATGGGGTTCAGAGACTGGAGGGGCCCGTACAGAAGCCCCATGAAGCGATGCACGAATTCAGCGCACGGCTCTGTCAGCCAACTGGGCAGCGCTGACGACGTGTCATCGGCGCTGCGGCTCACAGGATACACCATCATGCAGTTGTGCTCGCCTGTCACTTGGTTCACAGTTTGCCTGAATAACGGGAGTGGAATGAGTCAATATAGATTCGATCAGTCAGTGTGCACATTTTTAGTTATTGAGCATAGAGTTGACAAATTGATTGAAGAAATACTCCCGATCTAGAGTTAGTTTTGCTCGTATCTCACCCAACGTAGAGCGGCAAAAACTTGGCACGAGCCCAGAAAGTGAAGAGCTGCTGCGTGAGGCCGTAGGAGACGCTCAGGTAATCGATGTGTTCAGGCAAGCGATCGCTCAGACGGCACAGCAGAGGTGTCTTCTGGTGTGCAGGAGCTGATATAAACGAGCGTTGTTAGCTATCAAAATAATTCCAAGCTTGCCTCTGAAAATCTTTTATCAATTATTAAACTTTGTACAACGCAAACGGTTTGAATTGACGTTCTAGACAACAAGAAATGTGTAACCCAAGCTACAAACTCGATAATAATAATAATAGGAAATTATTCCAGCCAACTGGGCCAACCATTTCAATACAGAAAAATTTTAAAATACTTTATGACTCAGTAAGACAAACCAAGAGGCTCAGATAAATCTAGCAAATCCTCTTCATCAGTCTCCGAGGGCTGTTCCTGGACCTCCGTAAGGTCAACAAGGCGACCTCTGTAGTAGTCTTGTAGCTGCAGCAGCGCTCGTGACCCGTAACCCATTCCCTAGACATAAAATATTTTATTATATATATGTTCTAACTGCATCATTTTATGGCGGATAACTATTAGCATTAAATTGCCACAAAATTTTCTTTTAAATCTTCTGTGAATAGTGTTACAAATAATCATTTCTACTTCAGCAAAGAAAATGCAACAACATATTTAACCAAAGCACTGAAATGAATACCTTGCTGACCCATTTGAGTATATAAACAAAGCACCAAATACTGAGAGAATATTTAGGCCTTGGAAAACTTAGTTACCTGGAAATCGGGATGCGTAGCAATGCGGACCACCCTGGCGCCGACCAGGGAAGCCAAGTCAGGGTCGCGGAACTGCGACGCGAGCATCCAAGCGACCAGGTCACCTGGCGGCCGCTCGCCCTGACGCATGACGCGCTGCGCTACAGACGACGACACCCCGCCTTCTATGCATACCTGAAAACATAAGTCCAGTTAGTGACGCGAGAATGTGAACCAATTTGATAAGTGGTAACAGTAATAATATGCGTTTAAAAATTACTTTTTAAAGACAACATTTCTAAAGAATACAGTGTCTCCTATGTTACACATCTACAATGAATTCTTATTTTATTTCCATATATTAATAAAAATTAATTTATAATTTTTTTTAATATTAATATATAAAAACATTAAATTTTTAAAATTATTTATTCTGTCAATTGATTCATGCCTTGTCTTTAACTTTGCACTAGTATGCAAAATTTCAGATTGGTTGAACAGGTAGAAGTGTGTTGAATATCGAATATAAGATTTGTAGAAGAAAAATTTTTTTTTTTAAATTTTTCAAATTACAAAATAAATTTTTTTAATTTTAAAATTATATATTCTGTTAATTGATTCATGCATTGTCTTAAACTTTACGCAAGTGTGCAAAATTTTAGATCAATTGGACAGGTAGAAGTGTGTTAAATATTGATTATAAGATTTATAGCAGACAGACAAACAAACAGACAAGAAGTGAAATTAAAGAGAAGTGAGGTTGAAATAATATACGTTTAAAAATTACTTTTTAAAGATTGTCTCCAATCTTACGGATGTACAATGAATTTCTCATTTAATTTTTGAATACTAAAAAATTAATTTTTCAATTTTTTAATATATAAAAAATTTTTTAATATATAAATTTTTTTCAATATTATTTATTCTGTTAATTGATTCATGCGTTGCCTCTGATTTCACACAAGTGTGCAAAATTTCAGGTCAATTAGACAGGTAAAAGTGTGTCGAATATCAGTTATAAGATTAGTAGCTGACAAAATTATTTTTTCAATTTTTTAATATTGAAAAAAAAAACTTTTTTTAATTTTTAAAATTATTTATTTTGACATTTGATTCATGCATTGTCTCCAACTTTACGCAAGTGTGCAGAATTTCAGATCGATAGGATAAGTAGAAGTGTGTTAAATTTCGATTACAAGATTTGTAGCAGAAAGACAAAGAAACAAACAAACAAAGAGACAAGAAGTGAAGTTGAAGAGAAGTGTTGTAAATAGGTTGAATTAACGTTTTCATGTTTTGGTGTGATCCAAATGAATTAATTTCACTGTTTAGATTCTAATACCTATGTCCGTTGGTGTCAGTCGTTGTTGACAAACAAGTTTGATGCACTTTCGATGGTACTTACAACACTTCTCTTAAACTTCACTTCTTGTTTGTCTGTCTGTCTGCCTGTCTGTCTGTCTGTCTGTCTGTCTGCCTGTCTGTCTGTCTGTCTGTCTGCCTGTCTGTCTGTCTGTCTGCTACAAATCTTGTAATTGAAGTTTAATACACTTCTACTTATCCTATCGATCTGAAATTCTGCACACTTGTGTTGAGTTGGAGACAATGCATGAATCAAATGTCAAAATAAAAGATTTTAAAAATAAAAAAAATATATTTTTTTTCAATATTAAAAAAATTGAAAAAAATAATTTTGTCAGCTACAAATCTTATAACTGATATTTGACACACTTTTACCTGTCTAATTGATCTGAAATTTTGCACACTTGTGTGAAATCAGAGGCAATGCATGAATCAATTATTAGAATAAATAATTTTGGAAAAAAATTATATATTAAAAAAGTTTATATATTAAAAAAATTGGAAAATTAATTTTTTTAATATTCGAAAATTAAATGAGAAATTCATTGTACATCTGTAAGATTGGAGATGGAGATACTGGATTCTTTGGAAGTGTTGTCTTTAAAAAGTAATTTTTAAACGTATATAATTCAGAATCTTGGTCGTCAAGCTGGACAGGATTTCAATATCTACAACAAAATTTTCTGAAAAATATTTCCCATTTGTATCTGTTCTGTACGCTGTATCTTGATTGGAATTGCAACATACGTTACAATGGTCTATAGATGAGTAATTTTTATTCTCCAACTTTCCAGTGCACTTATATTGAAAAATTAATATTTATGACTAATTATTCAGCATAGTAAATCAGATTGACTTCGTCCCTAAGCCTCTCGCCGGACAAATTTCACACAGATTTTGAAATAATTTTCTAAATTCAGAAAACTATTTCAATTCAGAATTTTTGAGCTACAGCTGTATCCTAGCTGACCGACACCGACTGCATTTCATCATCGTTCTCATGCCTCGACGTTAGATCCACCTCCTAAGTAATAGGCATTTTTACATAGAATAACATAACCATTTTCCTTGAAATAGTTCCTTCGTGCCTATTTTAGATGATGGGTTCTCGGTCTCGGAACATTTGAGATACTCTTAAATTAACAACAGCTTCTGTCCTTGTACATTCATCACTAACCTTCCTTGCCATATTTGAACTTCATCTTAGCACAAAAATAACCACAAGTGTTCACTACAGTTTCAAACGTTCTACTCGAAGTTTGTAACAATACTTTTTCGAATCGCGCTCGTACCTGGACTACACAAAGCACAGGCGGGAGGGTCTTGAGGTTGCAGTTCTGCATTGGCGGCATAAGCACGAAGAGGTGATGAGCAGGAGCGTCAGCAAACACCTGGAGGTCGTCGGGGCTGTTGCGATAGTGTGAGGCCACAAGAAGACTCTGCGCCTGTAGTAAGAACTGCTCACTCCCTTTGTTGCCGCTCAGCAACACTTTCCTGGCGAGATAGAATAAGTTATGCTCGGTTTGTTGCTATTTTAGCGCATTTTCTCATTTATGGAAAAAATGCACTATTGTGCTCGCTATGTCCGTCTGTCTGTCTGTCTGTCCGTCCGTCCGTGACCTCAAGTTTTCGTCGACGAGAAAATGCGCTCTTTGTCACTCACTGGAGTGAGTACTGAGTTATATTTTTTGATACTGCAGAGTGCAGAGTCAGTGACTGCGGGTAACGGAATGCAAACGCACTATTGGCAACCAAAGAGATCATGCAAAATAATTATGCTCTTGACCATTTGACCTTTGCAATTAATTCCGCAATTTAGTGGTCAATTAGCAATTAGGTATTACAGATCTTTTAATGTTTTCTCATTAACACATTGACTCCAATTGCTTTATCTTGTACTATTTCATTTTTTTGTAATAATATGAAATAGGTACACAAATTGAGGATTTATATTGATTTTTCATTGGTCCTAGACATTCTACTACCGGAATAATATATGTAATGTGTTAATAAATCCGACCTAGTAAAGTGAAATCTATTTAAAGAAGTTAAAATAATCGAAATGGGACATACAGTAAATGTAGTCCAGGGTTGCCAGACGGTCTTTTTGACGGACAAATTCCGCGATTTAGTTAATTTCAATTGCGTTGGCCGGCTAAAATTTATGATAGGGGTACTTCCTAATCAAGTTGCAAAAAACTGAAAAAAGAAATGAAATTTTTACACCAAAACCCATAAATATACTAGTATATATTGAGTTAGAGGCCTTTTTTGCGCGGACTTGGCCGTTTTTTTAGACCATCTGGTAACCCTGTTACTTGTATGTACCACTACGTCCTGGAGAAATACAATTCGTGGTATGTATATGTACCACTGCGGAGTCAATGAGTTAAAAGATCTGGGACACCAAAAGTAACAGTACGAGAAGAGCGAGCAACAATTACAACTTACTTATTTACAGCATAAAGTTGGCACGTGCTGGGAGCTGGGCAAGAGGTGGCTGGGTTGACGGTGTTGGTCGCGTCCAGACAAAAGAGTTTGTTAAGCCAGTCTTCGACAGGGTCGCCAGGACCATAGCGAATGCTCCGCCACAGCGACACCTCGTGTAACTCATGCACATCCCAACTCGCTGCACGTGTTTTATTAGTGAAATAATATATCCCTATAATTTAGCACGGTTTTCACAGCAGGAACAGTAATTGAGTAAGCTTGGTAAATACCGGCGTTAGTAATAAATACGAGATTATATGCTGTCGAATATTTTCTTTGGAAACTCCAACACTAAACCAAGACTAACTAATTTCATTATATTCCGCACGTTAATGAGTTCCAAGTATTTAAAAAAAAATTCAATTCTGCTCCTATGATGCTTATAACAGGACAGAGGCTATAAATAAAAAATTGCTTGTTTATATTAAATCTCAGTTCTCACAGTGAATTAGGAGTGTTCACGTGGGCGTAGAAACTACGATAACAAATAAAAATAGAATAGTGTTCAAAAAGAAGATATTCACCAATGTCCTTGGCATCAACACGCTGCTCAGTTTTGGTGCTCTGACGACGTAGTTGCTTCAATAATTTTAGGGAAAGCGACCGACCAGTGCCTTCGTACCTGTAATCAGAAAATTTAATCAAAATTTATTTGTACTCTCAGAAGCAGCAGAGATTTTACATTTATTTTTGATAGATGATTACATTTAAAATTTGTAGCAGGTAAGACTTGATAACCAATCAATTCGGTGAGAAATCATCACGTCAATCGTACGAAAGTCTACCTAAACAAATACTTAAGTTGACACCAAGGTTATAAACCAAAAAGTAATGGGTCTACAATGGAACTTTGTCATGGAATAAATATAGCAAAGAATGCTACGCATGGTAGAATTGAGAAACTATGTCAATTTAAATTACTATTAGTGCACTTTCATTTGCTCAGACAAACCCTGAAATGGTAGATGCCATCAGGGTGATGTGCTCCCCCAGCGTAGCCCGCACCTGCGGTAGTGGTATGGCGGCCGCCTCATCCACCACCACCAGCTCCGCCTGTTGCACCTTGCCGTAGTCACAGGGCAGCACGTACTGCAAGGAATGTGTACATCTGTAGCTATAGTACTGACAAAGATCGATACGGTGACTAACACAGAAATAAAATAAATAATCGCAAGCTAATGAACAGAGAGATTGAATGTTGATTTTTTACCAAGCCTAACTAAAATATTTGTGCTGACTTAAGTATGGTATTTGATCCAATAGCAAAATAATGTATCTAACAACAGTGAATTGCTCAAAAGTTCAAGCTCAAAACTTTAAGCGCAGCCATGACTGAATTACGCGGCGATGAACTCGATTTTAATTCTATTTTAAGTATGATTGAATATGATTACGTCTTTTAATCTAGTAGTTGGATGTAAGCATCTCTTACCTACCGTACTACTCTCATAGTTGCTCATTTTATTAATTACACCTTCAGGTATTCATTCTCAGGTGATATTTTTTACAATATCAATAAATTTAACAATACATTTGTATACCAAACACATAAACAAACCTGTATGGTTTGGCGTTGTTTTTTATACACCACAACACGTACAATAGCACCAGAAAATTCGGGGTTGGTAGACTGGAAAACTTCATAATGCTCCCCTTCTTTGTAACCAAGGGCATCAAATCCTGGAACAGCAAAACACTGACGTATCATTTGGCGATTTCATACTCTCGAATCATCAGGATTTATAAAAATTACATTAAGTCAGCCATTGCCGTAAATAGTCAAAAATCATTATTCCTCAACAATCACGTAATTGAAGCGTTTTCAGCATAATGATAGACTAGTGTTGAGGAACTAAAATTAAAACTAGACAAATTTTTGTACAATGAAGCGGTATAAGTTAATGCAATAGAAATAATCCAAAATATCAAACCATTGAAAAGCAATTGGAAGAAAGCAGTCAGATTGTGTGGCGATGGACTGGTGACAAAGATGTTAGTAAGGCCAAGATCTATGGCCGCAGCTACTCCCAGGCCGAGAGCTGCAGACTTGCCACGTCCTCGCCCAGCCGTCACAGAGACAACACTGCCAGGCCGCTTCTCAGTGATTACGTCAACAAGCTTCATCACTGTTCGAGCCTGTGGTTATAGCAATGATTAATAAATAGATCATCAACAACTTCATGCTTTCAAAATGTAACATTAACCAGAGAAAAAAAAGACATGCTTAAAAATTAATTCAACCAGCAAGCATTATACTGTAGGCATGAGTTCACCTGATCAGCAGTTTTGCATAGCCTTGCAAGCTCCGGCAAGGGCTGCACGGCATCTTCAAGGTCAGACTGAATTTTAGCAAGTTCTTCAGCAGCTTCCTCTTGCTGTTGTAGTTCATCAGCTGAAGGTATGTTGATGCTCTTGTAATTTATGCCCAATAAGTCACTGGAGTTAACACGCATGTCACTCTCAGCAATCACACAGCTTCGACACCAAGAGAATGACAGCGCTAAGCTATGGAACAAAAGAAGTTAGGTTAGATTAACCCTTTCTTCCTCTAACTAACTACAAGTTTCATTGTCGGAATTGTTTCACACAATTTATTAAATTATAAAAATTTAATTTAGAGCCATCCACTAACATTTTTCCAATAAATTATCCCACAAACCTACCGTTTATTGAAGAGTTTCTGCACTGTGGGATGTGAATGAGTTGTGAGCTTGTAATGAACATCCATATCCATGTTGCACAGTTGCTTGATGTGACTCATGTCAGGCAAAAGGATCACCACAGCCCCACCTCCTTGAACAGTCTCCACCACCCGGCAGACTATGTTAGGGGTCAGACACTCAACATCCTGGAAAATTAAGCCTCTATTAACCATGATGGCAGATTGAATTTGGGCACATAATTATGGTCGAGTGCAATCAATTTACATTAGATAGCAAATAAATTGTATAAAGTAGCCATTTTTTTCATTTGCCTCAAGCACCACCATGATTGTGAGCTTGCCTGTTAATATCACTTCAGTAGCACTGAACAAAAACAAATAAAAAAAATGATATTATATGCTTTCATATTCACCCCAAATAACTTAAAATACAATTGAAAACAAGAAAAACCTTAATGTGAAAAAGATCAGAATCCTTCCAGCATGTTTAATACATCTGAATATATAACTTGAATACATACGTAACATTAATATACACAAGTTGAAACACTAATTCCTCATTCCTGATAGAAATGAGAAATATAAACATTAAAGGCCTATAAATAATTCTAAATAATAAAAAAAATTGAGAATGTTTATAAAACACCACAAAAAATGGCTTTAGCATAAGCTCCAAACATTGAATTTTCAGCTAAAGAATATCAACACCAAATTTTTTTACCTGAAGGACACACATCTTGTATGTGTTGCCAAGCACAGACTGAGTAGATCCATAACTGCAGAACTTTACAACACCAGCATGCAGGAGTAAATCAAGCAGCTTGAGTTGGGAGTGATCCACTTCACCAGATTTAATTTTTTTGCTCATTACTTTCATAGCCTTCCGACTGGATCTTTGGTAAAAGAAAAAATCAGTAAATATGCATGAATCAGTAAATATGCAACTCAGTAAAACATGAATATGCAAGTCAGCTAAAATACATATACAACAGAGTATAATTAAGCATGGTATTGTCAACAGGCAAATTCATGGCTAAGAATTTGTGGCACTGGAAATCTCAAATGAAGTTGTAAGATTGCAGATAGTGTGTTGAATTTTATAATATCTATATCTTCCCACCCACATCAATCTCAAAATTTTTATGGCTTAGCAATTTAGCAAATGATCACTATAGTATCAAAAGCATGGCACTATATCTAAAAAATATTTTTAAATATTGATAGATGTAAACTTGGTATTGGTTTATCCAATGTCAAGTCTACCAGGGCTCCTACCTTACCTCTCTATATGCAAAAAAATTTACATGAAAGATTGTTTACATTAAAAGACAAATTTGTTAAAATTTCAGATCACAGTATTGAAAATAAGAAAGACTATGGACCATCAAAGAAATATGAGCCAGTTTGTGCTGTGCAAAATTTGAAAATTCAGGTCATTGAAATGACACATAAAGAAGCAAATACTTAAAAAAAAAGAAATGTCACTACATTTTAATGTGTTGTTCAAAAGAAATTAGTGACCATTAGGTGGAAGATAATTTATCCAGTTTAAATTTAGCAGCTTCAAGTTTGTTTAGCTCTAGTAATGGAAAATTATATCTTTTTGGTACCTCATAGATACTGGTTCACTTTTCTGCTAAAATATTGTTGGTCAAACATCATACAAATGATTGCTGCAAATTCAAAATCTCTGGGCTCTAAAGTTGGTTGGTTTCCATGGAGTTATAAGCCACTTAAAGATGTTATTTCAAGAAAATTTGTAATTTTGCTTCTTAGTACCAAACTCTCTCTAAATTTTCTCCACCCAAAACACACATGTTGAGGTTTTTGCAGTTCTGGTTGTGTCTGACACTCTGACACCAATGAAAATAAAACCAATCTTTGACTAAAATGAAAAGAACATGCTATTATCATTCAATTACATCAGTTATCTTTTACCTAATTGAGATAAAAATAGTACAATCAAGACATAAGACTTGGAATCAACACAAATATGCAACTTTGAAACTCCAAAATTTTAGTAAATACTCTATCTCTAATAGGGGCAAAGCAGAGAGTTTTTAGACTTTTTCTCAAGTTCATTCTTGAGACCTATAAATAGACTAGTAAAGCATCATGGATATCAACATTATCATATATAAGATTTTGGTTTAAATCTTGAGTAAATGAGGAAACTAAAAATGAACTTCTTCTAAAAAATCTCTGATTTGACACTATGTAGAACAAATTGAATTTTTCATATCTAGACACAGTTGAGACTTGAGAATAAATATCTCATAACACAGTTGACATTGACAATTTGAAAAATTGTTACAAATTACTAAAATATTGTCACTGTAATGTGAAATGTTTTCAATTAATTTAGAATCTCAAAGCTCAATTTTGAATGAAGTTGTTGCTGATTAGATATTAGATTATTCATCTTGCACTTAGCAGTATACTCATGGTTTGAAAATTGGCAGAAAAGCTCAACTTGCAAAGTTGATAGCTTTCATACCTCAGTTCCAGAGTCACAGTTCTGACATCTGCATTCAGCATGCCCATGTCATGACATTCATGTCTTACTTGGGTAGATCAGCACTGTGTTTATGACACCACAAGACTGAAGATGCTCCATCCACTGATGCTTTATGTAATAGATGATACAAAGCAGCAACCTGTAAAAATTGACAAAACTGTTCATGAAAGATAAAACTAGTTAGATAAATAAACAAAGACCAGACTGTACAGTATCATGGTAAAGGTAAACCAAAAAAATATAACTCAGTACTCACTGCAGTGAGTGACAGAGAGCGCATTTTCTCATTGACGAAAACTTGAGGTCATGGGCAGACAGACAGACAGACATGGCAAGCACAATAGTGCATTTGGTGTTACTTTAGATTAAGTGCATCCAAAAAAAGGATATTTTTTTAATTATATGTTTTTTGGGGTGTAGATTAAGAATCTGAAATCCGTTTTTGGCGGTCACCATCAGAAATTTTTAATGGAACCTGTTTCTAACTGGACCTAACCTGCAAGGTTTTTGTTGATCGGCTAGGTTTTTTCTATGTTTGGACTCCGTCCGGCGGCCGGAAAACCCTAGCCAATAGGTTTTTTTCTATGTTTGGAGTCTGTTCAATGGCCGGAAAAATCTAGCCAATCAACGAAAACCTCGCAGGTTAGGTCCAGTTACTGAGTTAGGAACAGGTTCCATTAAATATTTCCGATGGCGGATGCCGACCGCCAAAAACGGATTTCAGATTATTAATCTACATCCCAAAAAACAAATAATTTTAAAAACACCCTTTTTTTGGATGCACTTAGCTAATCTAAAGTATTACTGTGCAGTTTTTCCATAAATCATTAAATGAGAAAATGTGCTAAAAAGGGGACAACTCACAAGTCACAACTAATTTACACAAGTGATGTATGAATAAAAATATTGAAACTAAATGAGAGACTATACATTGTTGAAGCTGGTGCTTTTCAAATAGTTTTCGTTTCACGAGTAATTAGAGTGAATCTATATTTCTATTAGATGCACTTGCGCTTAGCCGCTTACCTGTTGCTCCACATCCTTTCCTTTTAACACGAATAATGCACGATGATTCAGCGCAGCAGACCTTCTGCAAAGAGTGTTATACAAGAGATCAATGCTAACTTTGGCCATTTTTGTTAATCACGAGCGCAGGCTTCAGTCTGTGTTGAATTCGCATCAAGAAGTACTTCACTTGGCTTAATGCCGCAACCTGGTCACACCATCACACGTGCCTTCTTGGACCTAATCCGTTTTCCGCGGTTATAGAAAAAAATAACAAATTCATCATTCCGTGAAGGTTATTAGATAGCAGCAATCAAATTTTTACCTTAAAAAAATAAACGCATATTTTCTATGTCTAAATATCAATCTGCAAATTTTGATACCATTTGGGCTATTTATATGAATTTATCTCAGCAAATGTTCACCGGCCAAACACACGAGATAATAATACCTCGCTAAATTAGTCGTACATCTTTTGTACGAGCGGTCGTCTGTGTTAATGGATGCAATATGCCGGAATAATTTATTTCTAAATTATATGTACATAGAAATTAGGTGCGCGAGTTAGAGTATATTTAGATATCATATAACAACGAATGTAGTTATTCATATGTTTCTATTTTTGTCGTGTGATGAGCTGCGCCGAAAATGATTATGAGTTGCCATCACACTAAAGCTCCATCCTTTGAGTGTAAGCATTAATCTTATAAATAAAACTCGAAATTAAAACTTTTCTCGGTCCAAGATGGCGTTCGTTTTCATTACCTAGTACTTGAATGCAGGCAAAGACAAATCGAAAAAAAGTTATAGACATTATTGTTTTATGTTATTACTAAAATTTCGAAATTGAAAAATTTACACTGCCCAAAAATAAATTTGATGATGTCTATTGATTTTAAAGTAATAATATTAAAATAGCCAAAAGGTTGAAAGTTAAAAGGATTTAAATCAGTCAGAAAATATTTTCGTACGTTTTCGACTCTCATTTTAAATATAAACGGCTGCAAAAATGCTTTATTATTCGATCTAAACATTTTCAAACAATTAATTAATACATAAAAGCGTCGTTTGCTGTTGAGAGAGAAGACGTAAGTTGTGAATGAAATTATTTAAAAATTCAAAATCCCGCTCTCTTCGCTGCGTGAATTATTCTTACGAAAAGAGAGATTAAATACATGCGAGATTATTTAGCTGCATATAAGCTGATGCAGACCACAGCAAAAAAACTATGATAATTTTGATGTAAATAGAATAAGAAACATGTTTTTGTGTGCTTTTTGTGAAAAGTCGAAGTTAATTAATTGTACAAAGTTTTTGAATACAGATTTAAAGCAATCAGTCGTGTAGTGATTCAAGAGTATTATTAGAATAAAACAGTATTTTTATATATTCTAATGCTTTAATTGTGTACAATTCAACTGTGAGCCCCATCTGTTTGTCAATGTTAAATAGAGTGAATACAGAATAAATATAATCCACATTTTAAGCCAGTTAATCCTGGTCAGACTCAATATCTATAATATCTGATAATTTTGTAATAGTTTTAGGTTCTGGTAGTAACAATATTATGCAATTCGCGATAATTCAGGTACGTAGCGCTAATTTCAACACGAAGGGTGGCAAGTTCTTTTGCTTGTGTTCTGGTAAATTGTATTATCCACTGGATGAGTGTTGAAAGTTAATAAATGTTCACGTTTGTATTGTAAAAGTATATTAATTTTGTACTTAAAAATCAAACGATCATTTCGTACATTAATAATTAGATATTATATTACTCAAGAATTTTATGACGACCCGCCGTAGAGGCGAGTTATGTTGACTGAGATCCTCATTATGCTGATACTGTTCAGTGAAACCAAATGAAGTTGAAGCAATTAATTTCAGTTAATATTTTTAGTGGCTAGAGTGAAGTTATTGGTGAAACTATTATGTAATGTTTTATGTGAGAGGAATTGAATTAATAAGTGAAATAGGTGTGAATTGAATTCTTAATTCATAGTGCACCATCCATGTTGCTTTGTGAACCGTAATAGTTAATGGTTCTGAATATGAAAGTTTCGAATATTAAATTTCTGTTTCGCGTAATTATGGAATATTAACTTCTATGTGAACTTCATGTTCTAATTATGGCCTTGTTCGCAGTTCTCTTTCGCGCACTATATTTTTTAGTTTCCTCAGAACCTATTGTATCCCAAAATCTCCTTATACATGCGATGATTCTACCTGATCGATTCTGGCCATCTTTTCACATCTCCTAACTGAGTCAACCTCTGGCCCAACTAACAGAATTAATTAGCCTGAATATTTGTCCAACGCTTTATTATCCAACCGATCACGGCCTCAGTAGAACCTATAAATTCCTACGATAGCCACGATTCTCCAAAACTTCCAAAGTCTAAATGCATAACAACAGCGAAAGCTTTAAATACAGCTTGGCATATGGCTCCTAAAAATTATTTTAGGGGAAGCCGAATATTAAAAATGACATATGACATTTGTGATTTTGAAGACTACCTGATGAAATTTAAAGTGAATTAATAAATTTCATGCCAATACTGAACGTAATGCAAATGGACGTTGCCCAACAAACCTAACTTGCGTGGAGGCGGACGCTGCTCCTGCACTGCGCTCCCTCGACTCCAAAGACTGTTGCATAGAAGCGCCCACAGGAACGAAAACTTGATCTTTAGTAGTCTAGAAAATGCAGGTAGTGGTGCGGGAATTGAACATTCAAACGAACTTTAAACTAATCAACCTGTAATAAAACGTTCGTCGAGTCAAAATTTCAAACACATTTCCTACATAAAATTTCGTATTTGATTCGCCTCGTATAATATATATTTTTGTAAACTTCTTAAACGTCACTTTTTTGAATCGCCAGGGTACATAAATACTCATTTGTTTTTGAGCGACGTACGTGTCAAACAATCCGATATTTGAAATGTTAGCATTCAAATTATTTTGATACAACTAAGTGCCTGTTGACTTACTAGTAGCTAGAGGAGTATTTCTGTTACTGTTACGATCTGTTAGACTGTTACGAATGTTCACCAATTTGACATGCATAATTGTCCCTATTTATTATCACTTTTGGGATTATGTAGCTACGATAAGGCAGTTCACAACAACTTTTTGTTTGTTCTACATTAATTTACGCTGCATTTATACTGCATGAGGTAGATTTTCAGATGAAAACGGTTCTACAGAAATGCTGTGGGGAACCATTTAATGATTTTTAAATACAAAACTGTTAAAACATGCTTGAAATGAACAATACTTTTACGTTCCCTCAAACTTGGCAAAATATAAAAAATATTTACTTCTCACGCATCGCTGACTTATGACCTGTCAAGTAGAGTGACTTGTGGTTTTAGTGTCGGAAAATAGAAAAATAAAATAAAAGAACCCATGACTTCCACAAGTTGCTGACCAAAACAGGAAACTAAACGAATTCAATGTCCTCGTTGAATCCGTTCTAAGATCATCCGCGATAATGAATTCGATAATGAATAGCATGAAATCGGGCATAAATTTCAAATTAAAACCAGCAAACAATTAATCTACAGCGATTTCCCTATATTTGGAATACATCATAGCATAACATAACATAGTGATGTCGGCGCTGAAGTGTAGGCCTGATGTGGCCTGTCGCCGATTCTTTTCCTTTTCGTGCCTTGTTCATAGATCTAAACTCGTGTCATTTGACCGGATCTTTTCATGACTGGCGATAGTTTGAAGTAGCTACTAGACTTCCTCCGGGTTCGATAAGGAGCTAGGCATTTCAAATCTGAACATATATTTTTCCATAGCTTTATCTAGTCTGTTCTTGAACGCGTTCATACTTGGAGCGCCATGAACCTAATAATTACCTGACTAATATTGCGTTTTATGTCAGGCGACTTAATTCATACGTCACTACCCATGCTGTCAGTAATATCTCTCGCGTCACATTCCGTGACTTCTTTGTAGTAAGTCGCTGTATATTTAGTGTATTAGGTCGTCAAGCTTACCAAAAGTCAGTAATAGACCAACTCCTCTTATCTGCATGCGGCCCATCGCAGCCTATAGACGCATCCACCATGTCGATCGGCTCCGGCACTCGCTTGTCCTACTCCCATTCGTGTCGTCAATGCTCTGAATCTCACTATTTAATAGAATATAAGTGTCGGCACTGAAGAAATAGGACCATGGCCTGTTGCCGATTCTGGTACTTTTCGTGACTTGCGTCCACAAGGGATCCGGCCTTTGGTACCCAATCTTTCCATAACTGACGATTGATTGAGATAGCTGCTGGACTTGTTGCCTGCAGGGGCCGTATTATCAAAACTTTATCTTAGCCTTTATCTTAAATTATCTTAGCCTACTACTAAAGAAAACATCTTGTCCTGAAGCTCAGGTCCAAATCGCTTCCCATACCTCACGTACAGGGTCATTCTAAATGATGAACCCAATTTCACAAATTCGTATTTATTTAGGCATAAATTCAACATCACTAATTTATATACCAATGGAAAGCGAATGATTATAGAATTTTCTCAACTTTTCCAAAATTTAAATTTTCTCAACTTTCAAAAATTTTCTCGCCTCTCTCAAAACTTTGTAACCTTGATGTCTGAAACTTTTTGAATCGGTCACGTCCTGAGCGTTGGTATGACGCTTAGGCAGTGAAGATCTGGGGCCGTATTATCAAAACCACTATTGGTCCGTAAGTTGCTATAGGCATTTAAAGACTGAACATATGCTCCTGCATAGCTTCGTCTAGTGACTCTAGTCTGTTCTTGAAGGCGTTCATAGTCGGAGCGTCAGCGATGCTATCAGGGAAGCTGTTCCACATGTCGGTGATTCGAAGCTGTTCCACATGTCGGTGTTGGTTCTTGTTCCAAATTCTAGTAATCCTTCGGAGACCTTGTATAAACCATGAGTATACTTGTCTACTTCAATGACGCAGACGTCGATAACTGAGGCTTGGAAGCTTCATAGTCTTTAATTTTTCTTCATAGGACTTGCCATTCAAGCCTGGAATTATCCTCGTAGCACGTCTTTGAATATTCTCTATTGAATCCTAGTCATTTTCAAATCTCGGAGACAACACAACGTTTACAAACTCTAGATTCGGGCGCACGACAGCAACAAACCACTGCTTCATCGCTTCTGCATCTATATAGGAACTCGTAACAGCGTCTGATTAGAGTTTAAACCAGTGGTTCACAAAGTGGGCGATATCGCCCCCCTAGGGGTGGTGGAAAGATTTTGGGGGGCGGTAAGGAAGAAGAGGGCGGTAGGGGGCGGTAGCATGAAGTCAATGTCAGAAGTTCTAACGTTTGTTTGACGATATGTACACAACTAGTGCAGCACATGACTCCCAGCGATGGTTTTTTCATCCAGATCTGTTTGGGGGGGTGGAGTGATGAAAATCTGAATCAATAGTTTGGAAGAAATTCTTTGATGACTGCCAATTTCGGACGGTTTCGCAATATACGCGTAACTCACGAATGAAGGTGAAATTAAAAAAAATATTAGCTAAACATCACCATTATGTACTGATGAATACGTGTTTCAAGTTTCATAGAGCTGCGTTCATTAGTTGGGGAGATATTACTTGATAACTGAATTTGGAGATTGGTCGTGAGACCGACCACGAGTCCGGCCGTAAATTCGCCCGCGACGTCCTAGGTTTCTAGTGCTGAAACAGTTAAAACAGCTGAAAAAGATATTGGTTCACTAAATGGGGTTCTATTTGTGAAATACACATTTTTGTTTATCCTTTATCTTTTAAAATTGCAGCGAACTAAATTTCAAGAAAGAGGCGTATGTCTGTGGGGGGCGCTAGAAATTCACTAGGGAGCCAAAGGGGCGCCAGCCTGAAAAAGTTTGGAAACCACTGGCTTACATCAACGTTCAGAGATGGTTTTGGTACCGTTGGATAGGTCAGAAAGTCAGCTTTGAGATGAGCATAAAAACTGAAAAGCCAAAATTGTCGATTTGGGACCAGACTCTCCCCTTATAGAAGGTCACAGAAGGATAACTAGAATTTGAAACAAGAACCAACACCAGGTGCAACGGCCATAAACTAAAAAACTGCGTTATAACTCATTCATGCGTCAACATTTATTCTCGCTTCGAGTAATGTCACAGATATTAATTATATTGTTAATCATAATTGTCCGTAAATGTATTCAATACCGTTTACTTATTAGTAGTATGAAGCTTGTAAGCCGAAAAAGAAATATAATAATTTCTTTGATTAAAAGATGTACACTTTCCAGAAAAATTAAAAACTACTTAATTCTCAGATAAATTGGTAACATACAATACAAACATGCTTCTGAAAGCAAATACATATACAAATAACTACTTCAAATAAAATTTCTTTGACCATCTCTGCATACAGTGCCTGCAACCTTCAACAGAATCTGCTTTTATCAGTCAGGCTGCAAATACTCAAGATATTCTCACGCATCTGACCTCGGCTACATTTCTCAGCTGGTAATATCTGCATCAGCTTCACATATAATAAGGAAGAATTATTTCAATCACACTATTTGATCAGAATACCTTCAGTTAACGTGACATGCGATCTCTCTTATTGATAGCGCTCTTTGCGCTATGCAGCACAGTTGCTGCCCAAGGTGAGGCAGACGCATTTAAAATTTGGAATAATAATAACTTGTTCCACTCGGATGAACTTTTTATGTGCGTTCAGAAATTTTTGTGGCTTAAAAAATTGATCGCAGCGTCATTTTTATATACTACTAGACAATTTTTTAGTAGAGAACTTTTTATTGGAATGGAAAATGAAAATTAAGAACAATTTATGCAAATAAAACATTCAAGTTTTTTGCATAAGCGGAAAACTTTTGAAATGAAATATATGGTTCAATAAAGGTTTTCTGGGTCTATCATGACCTCCATTTATCTTACAATTTTTGAGTGAAGAAATTTCTGCTTAAACAGGACATCATGAACAATTTGATTCTCATTGCGAAACCCCATTCGAAATCTTATTGGGTGTTGAGTCAGCGAAAATCAAGTTTGAAGTACTCACGGCTCAATTCAAACCCCATTTCATGTAATTTTATCCAGGCTGGTCGAATGCTCCCGACTGCGATGCTGACCCTGATCGTCAGTTCTACCCACATGACGACTGCGTCAAGGTGAGAAGATTCGGTAGATTTCTTTTCCATCAGTTTTTGCGTGAATCTTCTGTTATAATACGCCATTTCCATTCGACAATTGTAGTAAATCAAAAAATATTTGAACGAATTATTCGATTTCAAATTTTTCCGGTAAACAGTATTGGTGGTGCATCAACGGCGAGGCGCAGCTGATGCTGTGCAGCCCCTGGACGTACTTCAACCCCCAGACGTCCCGCTGCGACTTCCCCGAGAACGTCGACACCAGCAACTGCCGCGTGTGGACGTGCGAGGCGGACGGCATAACTTACGCTGGCACGGAATGCAACGAGGTTTGATAACCATCCCTAAGTCTTTCTTAAGGGGAGCGTTTGGTCCAAAATCAACAAGTTTGGCTTTTCCGGTTTTTAGTCTCATCTTAAAGCTGATATTCTGCCCTATCCAACGGTACCAAAACCATCTCTGTACGTTGATTTATGCGTTCACGACAGATCGCGATAGGGCAAGAGTTGGTGGAGTTATATAACATTTAACATAGGGAGTAAATGCCTCAGTGCACCTTAAATAGCTAGTCTTCACTATTTCCGCTCCAGTAACCCTTCTGCAGTCGGGTGGGATGGTTCGCGCCGTCGTTCTCACCGTCCTTGACAGAAACTAAGCTCCAGTATCGTCTTGTCTTGCATCCTTGCAACCTTGAATGCCGATTTCGAGGCGCCCGGGACTTTGTCGGGCCCTACTGAAAAATAACATTTTTGTAACTTGCAAGCCATTTATCTCCTACAGTTTTAAAGCTACAGCAATGCGACATATACCATTCGATTTTCTAATTTCGTTATAGTTTGGATTTTATTTTGCAAAAAGGGGGAGTGGAAAGGGGTAAAATGAAAAAATTTACGAAAAATGCTCCCACACCCATCAAAATGGGAATTTCAAAGAAGCCTGCATCAATTTGTAGATATGGTCTTTACGCATCGAATGATGTATCTCGATGTAGCTTGGAAATCCTAGGCCCGCGGATATTTCTACAGTACCCCCTTTTTTGGCAGTTTTCTAAGAATTTCACGTTTTCTTTCATTTTTTCCGAAAAGTTCTCACGAACAAAAAAGTCTTAGAATTCCATTTTACATACGTGTAATGAATTTCGAAGTGATCCGTCCGTACATAAAAAAGTTTTTTTTTTTACCAAGACGCATCCCCTTAACAGTACACGAGGGTGCTTGAAATAAATAAATACATTTTTAAGAAGGTTTAATCTGCTGATTTAATATTTAATAATGAATGAAATCTTCTATCACGTATTCTTAGCAAGACTAAGTATGTATTATAAACACGTAGCTATAATTAGCGTTTAGCTTATCAGTGTAGCATAGATGCGAATACCAGTGTGAGCCTACACAGAGTAAGCCAAATCACTCCTGGGAAAAATAAATCTCATAAAAATATACTTTTTAACTTCATTTTCGCTGTGATCATCACCTGATTAGTTTGGTTTGGGGCCATACGGATTATTGGTGGCTAAGATTGTCTTCAATTCAATTTGCAGTACTTCGAATGTGAGCACGGAGAGCCTGTACAGAAGTTTTGTGCGGACGGGCTCTATTACAACGCAGATACCGGCTTTTGTGACTTCCCAGCCAATGTCGACACGAGCACATGCAACGGCCCAACCACCACCACATCTACTACCACAACGACGCCAACTACCACGACAACACCAACAACTACGACCACGTCCACGACCACCACTCCAACGACCACTACCACCGCACGCACGACTACCACCAGTGGACCAACGTGGTCGAAACCTCCCGACTGCGACGCTGACCCTGGTCGTCTGTTCTACCCACATGACGACTGCATCAAGGTGAGAAGATTCGTAAGATGGCTTTTTTATCCGTTTCTGCGTGAAATTATACACCATTACATTACACCATTTTTGTATTACACCAGTTATTATACACCATTTGCATTTGAAATCGGCAAAATTTTAGTATATCGAAAAATAACTGAACAAAATTTTTCGATTTCAACTTTTTCCGGTTAACAGTACTGGTGGTGCATCAACGGCGAGGCGATTCTGATGCTGTGCAGCCCCGGGACGTACTTCAACCCCCAGACGTCCCGCTGTGACTACCCTGAGAACGTCGACACCAGCAACTGCCGCGTGTGGACGTGCGAGGCGGACGGCATAACTTACGCTGGCGCGGATTGCAACGAGGTGTGCAAAACCATCCCAAAGTCTTCCTTAGCAGGACACGCGGATGCTTGAAACAAATAAATAAAATTTTAATAAGGTTTGATCATCAGATGTAATATTCAATAAGGAATGAAGAACTTCTATCACGTATTCGTAGCACAACTATGTATGTAATATAAAAATACTTAGCTATAATTGGCGTTAAGCTTTTCACTGTAGCACAGATGCGAATACCAGTGTGAGTCTCCACAGAGTAAGCCAAATCACTCATTGGGAAAATAAATCTCTTAAATTTAATTTTTTAACTTGATTCTCAATGTGTTCTTATGATGATTTTAGGACTTCTCAGTCCATGGTCAAGCTGATGCTCCGCCTTCGTCGTCCTCTGTTTCCAAGTCGTCGATAGGCTAGTCACATCACCCTTGGGTCCCAAATGTAACGTTGGACGTGTTCCGTCTATTTGACCTCCTTTGGGCCAGCTGATGCAAGATGCTGTTTCTTGTCACTTGCTGAGGGTAGTTTCCCATTACTGGACAATCCGGGGTCTTCTTCGGAAACTTATTCAGTTGTCTTTTGGAAGTCGCAAGGGTAAACGCACCTCCTCTCTGCACCTTTGATAAGGCGTTAAACTGACTTGGTCCTACCACGACAGTGATCCTTCACGAAGAGTCTGTACTGTGGCCGTGGCACGGTTGTGGAATGGAGGAATCCTGCACAGTCTCTCCCTCCTTTCGTTGTAATATTTTACTATTCTGGAGATCTCACATTCAGAGTTGGGAGCCAGTCCAATTATCATCTTCCAAGTGTACAGTATGATATGCCTCTCTCTTCTCCTCTCCAGTGAGTACAGTCCCAGGTGTTTCAGCCTTCCCAGTAGTTCAGGTCCAGCTCCCTCATGTTGCTGATCCTGTACGTGAAGGTCCGCAATCATAAAGATCCCACCCTCGCCGGCCATCTTTCTCAGCACGCCAATCTTGTGACGCTCTTTGTGGGAAGAGCCCTTCGATGTTGACCAGCAGAATGCCAGACTCTTCCCTTCTTGATGTTCTTACCTGCAGCGACACCGATCTGCCAGGCTACCCCGGCCCAGCAGCTCCCTCATCTGGAGTTGCTTTAGTTCCAACTGATGCATTTAGTTCATAGGTCAGGTCTCATGCCTCGCCTACAGTCTGCATACCGTCGTTTTTACTCGACGGAGACCGCCATGCTGAAGGTTCTTTCGGATATTCTGCAGGCGGTCGACTGTGGCAACATTGCGGCGCTGGCTTTACTCGATCTTTCCGCTGCATTTGACACGGTCGACCACGCCACCTTGTTGCGTCGGCTAGACGTATCGTATGGCCTGCNTGGTACTCGCTCTATTGACATTTTCTCCGCTATTTTTTTTATTGATTTAACGTGGTGGAAACGACAGTTTTCTTTGGTGCAATTCTCTCTGTTCATGATACTCCAGCACAGTTCATCATCTGATTAATTTGATTTAGGGTTAAAGGGAATATTGGTTGCTAAGATTGTTTTGAATTCAATTTACAGTACTATAGATGTGAGCATGGACAGCCTGTACAGAAGTTTTGTACAGACGGACTCTATTACAACGCAGACACCGGCATGTGTGACTTCCCAGCCAATGTCGACACGAGCACCTGCAACAGCCCAACCACTACCACATCTACTACCACAACGACGCCAACTACCACGACAATACCAACAACCACGACAACCTCTCCTACGACCACTACCACTTCGCCAACTACCACCGCACGCACGACTACCATCAGTGGACCAACGTGGCCGAAACCTCCCGACTGCAACGCTGACCCTGGTCGTCAGTTCTACCCAAATGACGAATGCAACAAGGTGATTAGATTCGGTAGATAGCATTTCCATCAGTTTCTGAGTTATTATACACCATTTCTATTCGACATCGGCACAATTGTAGGAAATCAAAAAATATTTGAACGAATTATTCGATTACAAATTTTTCCGGTAAACAGTATTGGTGGTGCATCAACGGCGAGGCGCAGCTGATGTTGTGCGCCCCCGGGACGTACTTCAACCCCCAGACGTCCCGCTGCGACTTCCCCGAGAACGTCGACACCAGCAACTGCCGCGTGTGGACGTGCGAGGCGGACGGCATAACTTACGCTGGCGCGGAATGCAACGAGGTTTGATAACCATCCCTAAGTATTTCTAAACAGCGCACCCCAGTGCACGAGGGTGCTTGAAATAAATAAATACAATTTTAAGAAGGTATAATCAGCTGATGTAATATTGAATAATGAATGAAGAACTTCTATGACGTATTCCTAGCACTAACTTAGTATGTCAAATAAATACTTAGCTATAACTAGCATTAAGCTTCGCTGTAGCATAGATGCGAATATCAGTGTGAGTCTCCACAGAGTAAGCCAAATCACTCATAGTCATTGGTAAAACAAATCTCCTAAATATATACATTTTTACTTTATTCTCACTGTGTTCATCACCTGATAAGTTTGATTTAGGGCTTAAGGGAATATTGGTTGCTAAGATTGTCTTCAATTCAATTTGCAGTACTACGAATGTGAGCACGGAGAGCCGGTACAGAAGTTTTGTGCGGACGGGCTCTATTACAACGCAGACACCGGCTTTTGTGACTTCCCATCCCATGTCGACACGACCACATGCAACGTCTCCGCCTTCTGGGACGAAAAATACGACTAGGATTGAAAATTATGCAAGTTAGATGAAGACCCCCAGTAAAACCGAAAAAAACATGAAAAATAGTTAATTTGCCATACGGTTCAACGTAGCCTTCAATAGTAGTTATGTAGGTTATATTGGTTAAATGAGATATATTCATCATACGGATGGCCATATAGATGGAATAAGTCACACGTATGGATTTATAGATATTGATCATATGGATAGTCATGGTCATATGAGCAATGGTGTTCGTATGGGTGATCATCGAAAGCACGAGGAACGCATTCAAATATTATACTCACATTTATTCAAGAAGTTTTAAAATTATTTTTTTTTGAAGCGAATAGAATGATAGAAATAGCGAATAGAATCTATTATATCTGAAGTGGATAGAATCTTTTTCGTGCATCGCTTCAGGAATCGACATAACACGACGGTACCTGCAAAAACTAAAGCAAAATACAATGATTGCTTACCAACATGGTTCTTTGATAAGTGATACACGGGCGCAAATATTCATAGTAGGCGCATTCATTCAATTTAGGTATCAAAAAAGGGTCAATGTGAATGTAACATGATCATCACCGCACTGCACCAGCGGCGTCACTAGGTTTTGAGGGCAGGGAGAGGAAGTCCCGAGAAGACGTACAGTTGTGAGCGAATTTTTCATTTCACAAGCAGCCAACAACTACGGTACAATAAAAAAGGAAAGCAGGAAGTACTTTGTGCTTATATAATTTGAAGCAAATCCAGGTAAAATGTAGAATTTTCCGGCATTTTTTTAATATAATATTAATTGTAATAAATTAGCATGACATAACTAAAAAATATAAAAAAATAGGGAGGCTGAATCACGCTACTACTCTGCACTCGATAAAATTCAGAATTTACCTATCAGGATACAGCCCCGACTGTTCAAAGAAAAGTCGTTAAACTCACGAGTATTTTTCAACTCAGAATATGACAGTTCCAACTCGTGTTCAGCGATCCTCGAAGTTTGATCCTGAGGTGCACAATAGAGTAAAATAATGCTTAGAGGTGTATTCTACCCGCTCTAAGCATTATTTTACTCCAGCCTACTGTAGATATTTGATACCTTCAACGCAGTCATACGATGTCCTTCGTCCAAATGAATGTTGAAAATGGGAATTATGAGCCAATTTGTTTGGGCAATTGAGCCTTCAAAATAACATGTCATACATAGATAATAACGAAGACCTGTGATTAAACGATTATTCGTGTTCATATGAACCTACTACATATAACCCGTGATACTCGTCAAAGGTGTGCTAGTCAAACACAGAATCAACATTAAGGGAATGAAGTTCGCCTACCGATAGGTGAAATTATTACAGCGTTTGTACAATTGTAATACCTTGGGTTAGAGGCGAATTCCAAGTTGATATCCCAGTTATTTTGGTATTAAATCTAAAATTTACGACTGAACTGACAGTCGTAGAATTCATTCAGCGTGGTTGCCGTGATAAATTCGTTAAAATATCGATAGGAATTACCACACTCACTGCAAGCAAGTCGAATTCCGAACCGAGTGAAAATCATACAGCCCTTGTGCTGTGTAAAGTGAATAAATTCTTTGAGTTGAGTAGAAATTTCTTATATGATTACGACAGTTGTTGGTAGTAAAACCAATTTATAAATGTCAGATGGCATATATTTGGTTCCACCCATGTAAAATATTTGTACGAGATCCACCTGAGGACAGGAATTCAAAGACTAATGCCTGGGATAAGTGAACGCATTCATCTCCACTCTCAGGACTCGTGGCACAACTGTATGGCTCAACAGGAGTGAAAGAAAAGTCCGGTAGATTTTTCTCCGCTTTATTTCATATGGGTGACGTGGAATACTGCACAAAAGGGTTAGGATTAGGTACTGGCCTGGGAACGGGTCTTTAGACCATATTAATAAGAAACTACACAAAAGGGTTAAGATTAGGTACTGGCTTGAGAACGGGTCTTTAGACAATGATAATTAGAAACTACACAGAAGGGTTAAGATTAAGTACTGGCCTGAGAACGGGTCTAGACCATGATAATGAGAAACTACACAAAAGGGTTAAGATTAGGTACTGGCCTGGGAACGGGTCTCTAAACCGTGACAATAGTTATAATCGACATTTGACAACAATGGAAACCGATTGAAAGAAGCTGATCTGGGAATTTGTGAAGCATCATCGACATCGGTAGGGTTATTCGAATACACGAGCGTGATGTCCGGAGAGATCCAAGGCGTTCGATTCAGGGCTCATAGGTGCACAAAATTGGTGGTGCAAGGCTGCGCTCCCGTACAAAATTGGTGGCGCACGGCTGCGCTCCCGTTTGTTACTGTCGTGCGTCCGAACCTAGACTGGGCCTATACTTTCAAAAAAGTTAAGAGATCGTAAGTTCGTCAGCCAATCATTGACGGCATTTCAAGCAAAATCCACCAATCATAGACAAGAAAATAGAGCGTAAGTACTTAGTTCACTTAACGAGTTTTGAAAGTATGGTCAGTAAGTTGCTAGGCATTTTTAGACTGAACATATATGCTCCTGCATAGCTTCGTCTAGTCTGTTTTTGAAGGCGTTCATACTCGGAGCGCCAACGATGCTATCAGGGAGGCTGTTCCACGTGTGGGTGACTCGAAGCGAGAATATTGCCAAAGCCTTTCGATCGTCCTCGATCTTAGCCTACTAATAAATAAAACATCTTGTGCTGAAGCTCAGGTCCAAATCGCTTCCCATACCTCACGTACAGGGTCATTCTAAATGATGAACCCAATTTCATAAATTCGTATTTATTTAGACATAAATTTAACATGACTTATTTATATGCCAATGGAAAGCGAAAGATAATACAATTTTCTCAACTATTCCAAAATTTTAAATTTCTCAACTTTCAAAAATTTTCTGGTGAAATTATTACAGCGTTTGTACAATTGTAATACCTTGGGTTAGAGGCGAATTCCAAGTTGATATCCCAGTTATTTTGGTATTAAATCTAAAAATTACGACTGAACTGACAGTCGTAGAATTCATTCAGCGTGGTTGCCGTGATAAATTCGTTAAAATATCGATAGGAATTACCACACTCACGGGAAGCAAGTCGAATTTCGAACCGATAGAACCGAGTGAAAATCATACAGCCCTTGTGCTGTGTAAAGTGAACAAATTCTTTGGGTTAAGTGGAAATTTCTTATATGATAACCACAGTTGTTGGTAGTAAAACTAATTTATAAATGTCAGACGGCATATATTTGGTGCCACCCATGTAAAATATTTGTACGAGATACACCTGAGGACAAGGATTCAAAGACTAATGCCTGGGATAAGTGAACGCATTCATCTCCACTCTCAGGACTCGTCTCAACACGTCGTGGTTGGTAACAATGTAGACATGGTTGCAACGCGAGAGTAATGATTGAAAAGTCTAGTGTGGAAAAAGATTTGGGAGTTTATGTCGACAAGGAGATGAAATTTTCTAAGCATAGTGAAACGCAAGCTAATAAATCCAACAAACTTCTTGGACTGATCAGACGCTCCTTCGTGTTCCTAGATGCAGAAGCGACGAAGCAGTTGTTTGTTTGGGGTCGCTTGCCGAAGACCACCACTGCCCTGGATGTAATGGAACGTAGCCTTCCGGAACGTAGCCTTCAACACTTCTGGACAATCATATCTAGGCCGTGCGTCGAACAAGCCCTCGGTCGAACGGCCACTCGTCGAAGGACGATAAATTTTGGAACAGAACTATGCTATCTGAAGCCTAACCTCNACTGCGAGTTGTCGGATTCTAGCGTAACTTTTATGTCTCTTGCCTTATTTCCCTGTAAGAGGAAGCACCCGCTTCTCCTATCGCTCTCTAGCTTCTGGTCTTCGGCTCGAGCAGGTTGCTCTCTCTTTCGGTGTGGAAGTAAACCTTAGCAGAAGACTTAGCTTTCAATCAATCCCACAACCGTAAGACTATCATGCCGTCAGAAAGTGAAAACTCAACAATTTCAAACTATCAACAGTTTGGAAAAGATCCAGTAGAATGATCTGTTTTTAGATATCTTGTGAACAAGTCACGAAAAGTACAGCAATCGGCATTCGGCGACAGGCATATTCTTCAGCGCCGACATCACTATGCTATGCTATAGCAGAGATTTATGTACACGGCCAACACCTCCGACCGTGAGGCCGACTTAATCCCACTACAGTGAGTATTACATCACTACGATTATGCCAGTGGCAAAACGGGGGTCTCCTACTAAAGTGTCATGTTCATTTATAGACATGATGCTTCCGCCACGAACGAACGTCGTAAAGCCGTTTCGCTCACAATAGAATAGAAGTGTAGGCACTGAAGAAATAGGCCCATGGCCTGTTGCCAATTCTTGTACTTTTCGCGACTTGATTCCACAAGGGATCCGGCCTTTGGAACCCGATCTTTCCATAACTGACTATTGATTGAGATAGCTGCTGGACTTATTGCCTGGTCCGTAAGTTGCAAGGCATTTTTAGACTGAACATACGCTCCTGCATAGCTTCGTCTAGTCTGTTTTTGAAGGCGTTTATACTGGGAGCGCCAACGATGCTATCAGGGAGGCTGTTCCACATGTCGGTGACTCGAAGCGAGAATATTGCCAAAGCCTTTCGATCGTCCTCGATCTTAGCCTACCACTAAAGAAAACATCTTGTCCTGAAGCTAAGGTCCAAATCGCTTCCCATACCTCACGTACATAGTCATTCTAAATGATGAACCCAATTTCATAAATTCGTATTTATTTAGACAAATTCAACATGACTTATTTATATGCCAATGGAAAGCGAAAGATAATACAATTTTCTCAACTATTCCAAAATTTTAAATTTCTCAACTTTCAAAAATTTTCTCCACTTTCTCAAAACTTTGTAATCTTGATGTCTGAAACTTTTTGAATCAGTCACGTCCTGAGCGTTGGGTATGACGCTTATTCAGTGAAGATCTGGCCCTACACTTCTGGCCACCGAGATCACCTGATCTCACCCCATGTGACTATTTCTTATGGGGTTACGTCAAGGAAGCCGTTTACGTTCCGCCTCTACCAACCAGCAACTCTGTGCAACTCTATTTACGTCCCACCTCTACCAGCAACTCTGTTTACGTCCCACCTCTACCAGCAACTCTGTTTACGTCCCGCCTCTACCAGTAACTCTGTTTACGCCCCGCCTCTGCTAGCAACTCTGTTTACGCCCCGCCTCTGCTAGCAACTCTGTTTACGTCCCGCCTCTACCAGCAACTCTGTTTACGTCCCGCCTCTACCCGCAACTCTGTTTACGTCCCGCCTCTACCAGCAACTCTGTTTACGTCCCGCCTCTGCCAGCAACTCTGATTGATCTGAAGAACCGTATCACTGATACGGTGCACTCAGTTACAGAAGACATGCTTTTTCGCGCGTGGGACGAGTTTGGCTACCTGTTTGCCGTGCAGCACAAGGGGGGACATATTGGCTATTGCACATTTATGAACAAGGAAAAAATACTTTATGTCATTCTTGTTCCACTGGTGTATAAATACACATACAAAATAATATATATACGAAATATACCAATACGCAAGTCCTACTGAAGTAGCAGTGAAGTAAAATTCATTGCATGGGGCCATACTTTCAAAACTCGCTAAGTAAACGTAAGTACTTACGACCTATTTTCTTGTCTATGATTGGTGGATTTTGCTCGATAGACTGTCAATTATTGGCTGATGAACTTGAGATCTCTTAACTTTTTTTTTTTTTAAAGTAAAGGCCATGGTCTCCAGTACGGGAGTATTATACTAACGGAATTGAAATTTTGCTTCACGTCGGATTATATTTAGAAGAGCTTGGCTATTTTCATACCCAAAGCTATAATGTTTTACTCGTGTTCTACCTTTCAGGAAACTGAAGAAGAAAGACCAGATCTTCACTTCCACAAAAGAAAACGCGATGATATTGAACATTTCAATGCCAGTCTGACTTAGAAGAAACAGAAAAAACCGAGATATGAAATGCCACATTAATCACCGCGTGTATGATTAACGCCCTAAATCCTGCTACTTTTGATTATTTTGATTGTAGGAATGTTCCTATCACTCACTCAGATGCTGAGGTGTCACATCCCAGTAACATCGTTCAAGTTCGTGTTAAAAAAAAACAATCTCGTTCAATCTTTCATGGAAACCCACAGCGGTTATACGTACAAGTGAATATTGTGAAACTGAGTGTCTTCGATTTTTACTGGTATTGTCTTCTCGATAGTCTCGGAACAAAGTTTCAAGACATTCAAACAAAATGTTTATTATTGAAATATACTTCGGAATAACCACTTAAGAGTAATTAGAACAGCAAAGATAAAATTTGGAATAAACTCTCCTAATGCATTCGAAGATTCAAAAACTAATTGTGTGGCTCTCTCGTGGCTTTTCAAAACGATTTCGCCGTATTTCATGCAAGATACATGAAACTTTTAAAGACTGATAACGATCGTTTTCGAAATTATTTCGGCTGTGCGTTGTACTGCCACACGAGTAACTTCTGATCATATCTCAATAAAATAGAGGCATAATAGCTTCATTGCTTCGGTTTAACAATTGATAAAGGTTGCAACCAACGTATAAAATCTATATAGAGTAGAGATAACTATGTAACTAAATAACGTATAATACGTTACATAATTCGTACAAAATATCGAAGCCTGAACACAATATACTACTTCAAACTGAAGATAATTTACCTTCTAATCTTCAAACCTTACATTCAAATCTTAAGAGTAAAAGAATAGATCAGGAGCTGCGAATGTGACCAATCATTACGGCGAGTGGGCAAGTGGCGCTCAGAGGAGAGCAGCAGCGCGCTGGGTTACCACGAGCTGCAACGTCGTGCACAGATGAACTAAGGACTGCTGTAGGCAGCTGTTGCCTTCACAAACCTGCAATGGTAGCAACTTCATTGAGGGAAATATGATTAGTAACTTGAGTACGGCGTATTCGGGTATTCCACTAGTACAAGTATTATTTGAGCTAAGAAATGCCTAACTGAACATGTTATTCACATGAAATTCTGTACAAACTTCTGCGTCATTAGCGAGTAAATCTGCAATTTAAACCCATTCTATGTTTGTTTCGATTATTTACTTGTCACATTCACATATTTTATTGTGCTGGCTTCCTCTATTTCACGTATGGCGTTGGATAACAGAGGCTGAAATACAACACTTTCTAATTGAATAAAACGATTGCAAATGAACAGACTATTTCTCTAGTATTCGTTGCAGAAGAAAACGTTACCTGCATGTAGATGTTAGTTATGACAGGCGTGAGATGCTCCTGCTGGGGCGTTGAGGAGAGACCGGCGCACACAGCATCAGCGCAGCTCTCCAGCTGACTGCCACCCAGCACCACCAATCTTAAACAAGAAAATGTGAAAATTTGAAATGTTTAGCTAATGATGGACCAAAGACGAGTCCATTTTAACATATTTTATACCACTAAACTTCTTGAAGCAATTAAATGTTATTCTTTATTCTAAACTACTTAGTTACGAGTTTTTGTTTAAATATTTTTATGGAATTTACACAATCTTCCTGTACCACTAAGCGAAACCATGTAATTTATCTGTAAATTCTGTATCAATGAGAAACTGACTTTTTCCATACTTGGCTTAAAGAATTGTGTTGCGCTTTCTTCATTGCCTAGCATCACTATATTGTTGCTATAAGGAATCATATTATTGATCAAGTATCCAAAGAAATTATTGAATGTCTTACTCTCGGAAGTTGGCTGCTAGCTTAAGCGGATCCTGCTGCTGCTCGCCACTTATTAGGCTGAGCTCAGCAGCCTTGTGGGCGATGGCCACAAGCCGCTCAACCAGCGCCACGCAGCCACCGATGAGGTTTGTTTCAATGGTGCTGCCGCCCGCCTCAACCGACGCCACGGCCTCCAGCAGCGACACGCTGCCTTCACTGTACTGCGCGCTCATCGCTGACAAGTCCGACCAACACTGCACACAGATTACAATAATTTGAAAAGAACGGAAGCTCTTTGACAATTCAGTGTAGGGTTTTTACATACCGTTCAGTGTTTATGATATTGTTACGTAGGCTATGAACAACCTTATACCCCAGTACGTTTTTTCATTAAAAAAGCACATGCATTGGGGGAAGGAAGAAATGGATTCGATCGAACTTTTACTTCTGTTACCGCCTTGCTGGTGAATGAAGTTAAAAAATATAACTCGGTACTCACTGCAGTGAGTGACAGAGCGCATTTTCTCGTCGACGAAAACTTGAAGGTCACGGACGGACGGACAGACAGACAGGCGGACATGGCGAGCACAATAGTGCATTTTTTCCATAAATGAGAAAAAACGCTAAAACATTTGAAATTCATTTCTTTTATTTCAAACCATTTAAAAAATGAAATTACTATTCAGGAGCAATTATAGGTAACTTTTTAGATACAAAATAGACCGGTATTCAATGTTAGGTCAGAATGATTTTAATCTGGGTAGTCAAGAATACTTGTATCTCACAAATAACTATTTTTCATTTTGATTCCATGGTACAAGAAAGTTAACTAGTTATTTTATTTAATCAAACTGATATTTCAGCTTCTACGCCCTACGGTCTTATACTCAGAAGTACAATTTTTTCCAAATCAAAGGATTTCGTCAAATAATACCAACTTTTACAATTTCCTTCAAACATGTTGGGAAGTATACTTCATAAGAATAACTCACTTGGGCTATGTTGTCAGCGTTGAGAGGCAACTGCAGATCTCTGATGGTGGTCTCAACTCGCTCTGCAAAGATGATGCTGCTCCCTGTCAAGTTTTCTTCCTCGATTTCAGATAGAGCCTGTAACCCAGTGCGCCATAAATTCACCACTAAATTTTCCGCCAATTTTTAGGCCAGAGGTTTTTTGTTGAACGATTTTTTCTACAATTTAATCATCAGCCCAGAAGCATTACAATAATGCACAATTATATATAATGAGGGCATTTTATAAAAAGATAATATTTTACCATAATTTGAGAATTAGTTTGATGCACTTCATCCCTAGCAAGAGCGGGTAGGCTGGCCATGACTTCCTTGGCAGTGGCGGTGCACTGACGTGCGATGAGGGCGAGAGCTTCGAGGTGCGCTGGACCGGTGCAGTTGCTCCACAGACACGAGAACGACACTCGCGTGGAAGACCCAAGTCCGGGGCTGGTGGGGCTGTCCAGGCCTGGAGGAGGATTGGCCACGGCCTGCTCTCTTGCCTCTTTCAACACCTGAAGTATGTTAGAAGATTGCATATGTCAAAGGCACAAAGTTCTTCTGGAAAATAATGCGATATGATCATAATGGTGAAAGATCAACCACTAAAGACTAAGATCATGACTTACTAAAATACATGAATTAGAAAAACGGTTATTTTTAATTCAAACAATTTCACCTTACAATACAAAAATTCTTACATAACTGGAACATATAAATCATCTTACGACATTCATAATAAAAAATTATGCAGCGAAATAAAACTTACGGCGGAAAGATTAGGTTTCTTTACTCGCTGCAGAATGCGATCTTTCTTTGCTCTCAGGCCAGGGTCAGTCTCTTGTAGCACATCCATTGTACGTCGGCCAATAAGCTCGAGTGTGTCCAGACCTCCATACACAACCTGTCCGTAAAGTCGTCACATTAGTTTGCATGGTCGAACGACCGAATTGACAATAATTATAGTACAATAAAAACCCGCATTTAAATTAGAGCCTTTAAACGTTCCACGTTCCTCAAGGAACCTATCTTTATCATTACAAGACAAATTTGATTGCAATTCATTTAAAAAAATTCGAGGAGTGTACAATGAAACATACATGGAACATCAGAAACAACAGTTCACTCACTTTACTGCCGGCGCTTTCAAGAGCGCCCGAAACGCCGGAAACAAGGGAACTTAAACCACCAAATCCGAGCCCTCCTAACGAGCTTCTGCTGTTGCTCGTGATATCCTTTATAGCCACATCTTCGGAATTAGCTGATGGATCATTGTCTTGTGTCATTTTTGAGGGATCCATTTCTTTGTTAAACTCAACACCTGCACAATTAGAAATAAGATAAATACATTACAATCTTACCAGCCATATATTGTCGATTAACTCGTTCACTTGCCATCTGACCCACTCCTAAAATTATGGTACAAAAATGCTCAACTGATCACAGTCACTTAGTTAGATAACCAGTAAATCCAAGTTATGTAATCCATACATAATTTTGACGCATTTAATTGTTTTATACTCATTCGGACCGCGGGCACCGGAGTGCAAGTCATGAAGAGAACACAATCCTTGTGGAGGCTGATCACCCCAGAGAACACAGACCTTGTGGAGGCTGATCACCCCAGAGAACACAAACCTTGTGGAGGCTGATCACCCCAGAGAACACATACCTTGTGGAGGCTGATCACCCCAGAGAACACAGACCTTGTGAAGGCTGATCACCCCAGAGAACACAGACCTTGTGGAGGCTGATCACCCCAGAGAACACATCACATACCTTGTGTAGGCTGATCACCCCAGAGAACACATACCTTGAGGAGGCTGATAACCCCATAGAACACAGACCTTGCAGAGGCTGACCACCCCAGAGAACACAGACCTTGTAGAGGCTGATCACCCCAGAGAACACAGACCTTGTGGAGGCTGATCACCCCAGTCATCCCAGAGCTGGAGCATCTTCTCGCGCTCCAGCTGCTCTCTTGCCAGCTCCTCTGGGCTGGGCACTCCCATGCCCTCCTCTACAAGCTCCACAACTGAGCCCACTCCGCGGCCAACCTCCTGAAGGACATAACATATTTTCAGAAAATGGAATTAATTCTGGAACAACGATCTGGACTTCTTTGCAATTCAATGGATTATTTGACAGAAAATGCTTTATTGCAGTAATGTAAATGATAGCTTGCATGATACTAGTCAATTTTCCCGCCTACCTCCATCCTCACCTACCTCCTTGCTTCTGTCCTAACCTACCACATTGCCAGCATTTTAACCTATCTCCTTACCATATTTTAATCATACTTATCATAGCAATTGCACTTTCCAAATTCATAATTTTCCTCATAGGCATTTGATTTTCAGTGTTTGAAAATTATAAACAAATAACTATATCTTATAAATTAGTCATATAAATATAAAGACATCAGTTTTCATATTTACAAGCTAAAGTTTTTGCAAGTAAGGTTAAATAAGAAGATATTCATCACCTGAGTAAGGGTGGTGGCTGCTGAGAGCAGGGTAGAGCCCCAGCTTCCCCATCCTCCTCCCCAGCCAGCACTAGCCTCACCACTTGTGCTCTGTTGATACAAAATTAGTTGTGTATACAATAAACTATACTCAAAACTTATCATTCGATTTATCTGAAATGACAAAAGAATCACGATAGTCAATAGCTCGGTGACCTGATAACTGACAAACTGAGTTTATGGCTCAATGTAATGAAATGAAAGTTAATATTTCCAGATAATGTCAAAAAGTTTAATGGCACAGAAGACTGAAAGGTAGGTTAATGTGTCACTGCTATTGCTAGCGCTAGGTGATTTAACAGTTTGCTCTATGGTAAGTGTACATATCAAGTCTGCTTGGTGCTATGGTACACAAGTTGATGGTTCAGTTAATTTATAGACACTTAATGCGTTTGCTACACAACTAGAAAAGTTGATGGTTCAGTGCATTGCTGGTTGAGGTTCATGGTTTATTGTATTACTATGCATGAATGTTTCAGTGTATAGACAAAATAATCAATGATGCAGTGTTTTGGTATAAAAGTTTAGATTGAGTGTACTGCTACAAGAGTTGACGCTGAGCCACCGCAGCGCAGTGGCAACAGCATTGAGATTAGAGGAGCTAAATATAAGTTTGAGCATTGGAAAGCTCAGTCCATTTCTCGGCATTGCTGGGTAGGTACATAAGGGAAGGTGTTACCTAAGTGATCTTAAGGTATTGAGGTTAGGAGAGTTATTAGTTCACTACTGAAGTGCTAAAATAGTTAATGGTTGGGAATTCTGATTTAGTTGTTCAAGTGCATTAGTTAGTAGAGTTATTGGCTCAGTGTACAGCTAAACAGTTGTAGCTTCAGTACCTACACTGCCATGAGGTTTGATGCTTCAGTGTATTACTAAGACAGTAAAAAGTTAACTATATTAATTGAGAAGGTTAATAGTTTGTTCTTTTGCTTAATAAAAATATGTATACCTATTTCAGCATATTCAAAGCAGCAATTATAGTAACAACAAATTGCATTAGCCCTTAGTCATGCACCAATATATTTCAAGAAAACATGAAATTAGTCAAATAAAGAAGATAAAACTTGGAGACATACCTATATCAGCTGTATGAATGCTAGACCATCTGCTTTGCTTACTTCTTTAGGAGGTTCAGACTTTTGATCAATTGGTGACCCAGAGGCCTGTTCAGAATTCCCACTATCAACAAGCGCGTCACAGCTGATGCCTTCCAAAGGTTTGTTCAGCCTCTGGGCAAGTTTCTTGGCCCCCAGCTTTTCTCCCAACTTCTCTCTGGGTTTTTTAAGTCCAATTTTAGAAGTCTTTTTGGCCTTTGATAAATCAATCTCAGAGTAGACAGAATTGTGGTCAGTTTCTGTTTTATGGGCTTCCAAATTTTCCAATGTATTGTTATCAGCCACAAAATAGATAGAATTTTCTGTTAATTTTTTAGATTGAATCTCTTTTTTCTTACAAATATCAATTGATTGCAACAATTCAGATGTTTCTGACATCTCTTTACACCGAATATTTGTCACCGAAGAATAGTCATCAATTTTTCCTTGTTCAATTTCTGTAGATTCATTTGCAAGATCAAAGTCACTTAGTACATTTGATTCTATTTCACTAACAGATTCTATCAATTCAGAGTTCTTATCATCAATTGTCTCATTAGTTGATTCTTTCTTAATTGCAAGTCTGTTGTTGGTGGTCAATGAATTATATTCATCCAAAATAGATCCCCTTACACTTAGATTCTCCAGAGATTCAATAAATTTATCAGATTTATCTTGAGAGTCAGGACATTTTTCAGGACCAACTTGGGAATTAGGAGCAACATTAGAGACATTAACATCAATTTCTAGGAGAGAGTTAATATCCTTTGTGGTCACTGCAGATTGCTTCCTGGTAGAAGAGCTCTGATTTGGAGATGTTTCCCTAGGCAATGTGGTTGATGTTTTGCAAGATGAAATTGGGAGTGGCAATCCCTTGTCACAAGTTTGCACTTTTTCAGAGTACCCATCAGAATCAGAACCTTCATCAGCTGACTGAAAGTCTTCCTCACTATCAGAAGCCATTGTTATGTTTCCTGAAAAACATGTATATACATTAAAAACAATTTCCATATCAAATTAGACAATAATATAAATTATCATATCAATATCAAAACAATTAATAAGATTATAATATAGCAAAACATCAGGCAGTACAGGTATGTATTTGGTTAAACAACAAAAATGAAGTCATATCAAGTGTAAAAAAAATGGCCTAAGTAGGTATTCAAAAGAGGCAGGTTCTAAATATAATCTTGTGTGAATTTACTGTGAAATAAAGCATCAATGATCAATGATAAGGGGAAACAATCAAATAAAAGACAAGACCACAAAACTGCAGCATCAGCTGCAAACTTATCACACACGCACACCTCATGTCATGATGTCCTACATATAGATATAGGCTACCGGCGCGCTACCTATACAGTACTAGTGTGGAAAATATCTACCGTATATACTATATACTGCATCTAGAGATTTCCTGTCATTTACAATTACAAAACTGCCAGTAATTCCTGCTAGATAAATTACTTTCTAACAAATTGTTGATATAAGACAATTGGGCCTCTGTATTTCAGTAAAAAGTAGGAAAATCTTAATTCCACATATATATAAATATACTAAAGACAAAGTTCTAATCATTTGCAAAATTATTGCAGAGAAAGACAGGTGATGCCATGCCAGGAAAGGGATTTTTTAGAAATTATCAACTTTTTGTTAAAAATGTTACTATGGACATTTTATTAAAATTACAGTCAAAAGCTGTGTATTGTACATTTGGGCTTGTTGAAAGTTATTGGTTCTCAAGCCATTTTCTGCTACAAAAATGGCAAACAGTAAAGCTTGAAGCCTCATTCTTGGTAATGCATCAATTATTTGTCACTACGAGCATGAGTTAATGAAGGCCACTCTCTTGCATCAATTGGATCGTCGATGGTAATCATGATGGACATTGGTGGGGGTGACTGGATACAGGTGCAAAGATGAACTCACTTCAGGTTCAGGACCTAGCCTCCTAGGCAATAACACATAGCTCTCCGCCTCTCAGGCTCTCACCACAGACTGACACTGACAGACACACGGTATAGGTGTAAACGGACTAACGGTTCGGCGTTGAGTTGCAGAAACAGAAAGTAACAGCGACTGTCACATCATGTATGTCATTCACTACATCACTATCGATAGTCGATACGAAAACATTAATGAAAAAGTTTTCGTCAGATTCTGTCATTTTCTGTAGGCGTTTTGGATTTGGATTACGTCAATTACAAATAATTGATCTTATTTCCGCTATTGTTCGTAAAATGTGCATAAATGCAAACTTTGGTTTAAGCGTTGAATTCTAAGTAATTTTGCCGCTTACTTATTTACTTTCTATTGCTTAAAATAGATGTATACACTCTAAACTTTATTATAAAATTGTTTATTCATACGCTAGCATAATAGCTCAAATGATTGACATATTTTCGCAGATAAAAATCTAACCAAAAGAGGTCTCAGCCTCAGATTTGATAATGTTTTGTTCATTTTTTTGTCAGTTGTGCCCAATTTCACACATCACCTCATATTTCTCACTTAGCAGGCACGCTAGTCTAGAGAGCATAGTAGTCTATGAAGGTAAGTGTTTTTAAGATACATGTAAGTCCTGGCGCCAAGCCCAGCCTCAGCAAAAACTTTACTCAGCTACAGACTTCGCTGGAACACCGAAAGCCAGACCAGTGAAAAGCTGCTCAAATATAATAGTGCCGTACGTCTTCAGCTTGCTCGCTCATAAGCAGGAGGCTTAACATACGAGATCCGACCTCACCTACTCTACTCCTGCCTAACCTATTCACGCTGCTCCGCCTCCGATACACCAACCATCTGGCAGCCGACTGTTGGCTTTCCCTGCCCACTTGCCCCTCTTCCTTAACTTCCTGCAGCGTGCAGCCAATGATGTTAGGTGAAAGCCCCGTCCACACGCTCAAACTTATCGTCAGTCTTGCATGTCATGCCAGGTTTGACTACAAGACAGAGCGTGTGGACGCTCAAAGTTTGACGTCTTGCATGACGGGTGGGCGGAGTTTGAGGTTTGACAAACCTGGAAAAGACGGACGGGCGACACCTTTGGGTTCATGCAAGATTGACGATAAGTGTGAGCGTGTGGACGGGCAACCGACTAATTGGTCAAACTTTTACTCTATCTCAGTCTATATTGATGATGAGAGCTGTGACATTATTCCTCGCTAGCTCTAGTTTTTCATATCCCAGGATATCCGACACTTGTTTCACGATTTCTTGATTTCTTTTGGTGAGTTTATCGAGTAACATCGTAGTTTCCCATGTTTATGGTAAATTAAATAAAAAAGCTACAGTCACAAGAACAAGAGAGCACAAAGAAGTTGATCATACAGCCAACAAAGACTTTGTAACGAGGAAAATAAACTCTTTATCGAAAAGAATATGCCACAGTGAAGTTGTCAATGCTGTCTGGTGCTGGTAGGAATGCTGCCTATCAACCCTCATTGTGGTATTTTTTAAACCATTTTCGGGACCACCGCGTACGTTTGCATCGCTTTAACCTAATTTTGGTGGCACAATCTGCGATCACTGCAGCGAGCAGCACTTCCTTCGGCCGGCAGCCATTGTCGCGAACGCACAAAAAACTGAAGGAAAGTTTGAGCGTGTGGACGCTCTTCAGTCTTCCGTCAAAATCGGTCAAACCTGGCATGACATGCAAGACTGACGATAAGTTTGAGCTTGTGGACGGGGCTTAAGTCCGCTCAGGTTTGTTTCCGCAGAGAAATGTTGCGACGTGTGTAAAGGTATACGCACACAGTGAAAGCAGGTTGCCAGCGTGCTGGTTACCTGCTCAGGCTGGCGCCTGAAGCCATAGAATACAGAAGCCTATTCGTACAGGTTTTCGCTGTGAACACTTACATTATTATCCTATGTTCATTCTTGTGGCAGGTTGGAGCAGGTTGTCCGCGCGGGCAAACCTGCTTTCACTGTGTGCGTACCCTTAATAGACTGTAGGTTAAGATAGAATAGGTTTGGCCGGAAGAGGTTCGGCTAGATGAAGTATGACCACGCGGCGATATGCCTTTAAGATCTAAATCTAGAAGTCTAGATCTTTAAGATCTAGGCTTCATAGGCTGTTATTCCGTCTTGAATTTTTGCCCACGAAAAAGAATATGACTGAAGTGTGAAGTTGGGTGAAGGTAGCCTCCAGCATGCGCTGTTGCACCCCCACGCTTATTTTTTTTAGAACCCCGCAAGCCCACCCTATATACGCAGCTACAATAGTCTTGTGTATTTGCAACCTCAGAACGGCCACACTTTTTTACCTCACATCTCCAACTTGTTGCAGCCAATGACTGGCGCTACCTTCCCGCCTCACTACCTCGATACAGCTAATAATGAGGTCTCTTTAGGTCCGGTTAAGGTGCTTGTCCACCGGCAAAGTTTTAGCCGGTAAATACTTTTTATCTCTACGTTTACCGGAGCGCGCTTATACACGAGGATATAATAGCTCAACAGTATTTCCAAGCGTTCATGCATTATGTTAGAAACTTAGAAGCCGTCGAGTGAAATTTGCGCTTTGGGAATGAATATGGAACGCGAGTTTAGAGAGGCTGTTAATAAAACAAAGTATAGAATCGTTGAAGTTCTAGCTGAGGAAAAGGAAAAAATTGTTGATCAACGCAGAGTGTGGGTGAAACACTGAGTAGGGCGGAGAGTCGAAAATAAAAAATCTCTAGAAATATTATCGGCTTCGGTCGGCTACTCCTGGATATCATCGGCTTCTCTCCACTAAAAAAGAATTGCTGAATCCCGAGTTGAAATCGGATGAAAATGTAGTCATTTTCAGTAAGGAGCGCATGCTATAACTTGAACGATATTGGCGCGAGGGTTTTCCATTTCAACGTGCTGGCGGCCATGCATGATAGTCCTGGGTTCTGACTGAGTACAGACTAAAACAATTATTTCATCCATCGCAATTTTACATTGCAGATAAACGCAGCGGGATAATGCGTTCATTTTCGAATGAAAGTTGAAGTAATCATATTTTTTATTACAATTGCTAAGTTTCAGATATTACATGCGGCTCCAGCCTGTGAGGTTGCCGTTTAATGTTCGTGCATTCCGTGAATTTTGGATTGAATCGGACTGAGTGAATAGACACGTGAGGCAGAGAGCTCTACAGTCTACACCCTGATTCATGCCTCAACGAATATCTGCCCGGTTCTTCGCTGCGGCGTCTAAAATCTGAAATGCAGATCTCAATAAAACCATTAGCATGATTTAGTGGCAATATTAAGCCAGCAAGCAAGTAAATCGCAGATTTTTACCCGTTCATTTCCAGATTACGAAGCAAAAACTGATTTATTATTACCGTTTGTCAAGTGTTGTATAATCATATTTTTTATTGTAATGAAGAGAACTCAACCACAGTTTTAGTCATTTCGGAGTTGGTGCTATTTAATGTTATTATTTTTGAATACATTTACCATGTCCTGATAATGTGTTCGTTGACAAATGTCATTTGTCAATATCATTGTTAGTGCCGCTATAACAGATGGGGCAAGAAAATTCTCTTACTCCCTAACTGCAAAATGAAAATGTTTTACTGTTTCACACCTACTGTCTGTTTCGGAAGGAATCTAATACACTAGATCTACGGTTTGTAAACTTTTGGGCTGAGTACCACTTTGAAAACTTTATTGTCGGAGAGCCCCACTAACATAAGTGTAACTGCAAATTACTGTGTATGACAAGATTATTAATAGACTAACCATGAATGTGTTACTACGAGTATATCGCAAGTTCGCATTTCATTTGAATACATGAAGTAAACCAATTGATAATTGACAACAAGACCTCATCGATCATATTTATTTCAGCAAAAGTTTGCGAACAAACACAAAAAGTTAACAATGAAAACATTAGACAAATAGTATAAAAGGTCACGTAATTTGCTCCGAAAGGTCGCATCAGCCCTTTTTGTTTAAGATTCCATTTATGAGTTCGAAGGTCGTGGTATCGAGCTTTGTAAAACAGAACGCTCCGACTAGTCAACAATTATGAATGTCAATTTTACAGTCATAGGAAAAAATTGTCTAAAAATATGTATTTATTTCACAAACAAAATGTTTATTTCACAAAGGTATTTCACAAAGGACATGTTTATTTTACAAGCAAAACTCTCCCAAAGTACCCGTCAACAATCATGAATGTTAATTTTACAGTCATAAGAAAGAAATGTCGAAAAATGTGCAAACATTCGTTAAATTGTATAAGTACATCGAATGCTTCGCTCACGATCACTGCTCACCATTTCCGTCTGGGGAGAGCGAAATGCGATAGTGACATCCGGACAAGTCGGATTTTTCGTCTAAAAATAGCTCAAGCTGGAGATAATGAGTACCTTTGCTCTATATTTGGGAAATGCCGAGACCTATAGCGGGTTTCTCCTTTTAGTGAAGAATTTGTGTAGAGCTAAGACGCAGTGTTAGTCGGTATATCCCGCTCATTAACTTATAACTTGAAAATGAAACTGATACCTTCCAATTTTTTGTTATGACTTCACCATCTCACAATTTGTATCGATTATCTAACCATGCAATAAACAGTTTTTACAATTATATTCCGCTGTTTATAAAAGAAATTTTACTGAATCGGTGTTTTGGGATAGGATAACATTTTAATGCTGTAAAATTCACCTCGAACTTTGATCCTGAGCCGCAATTATCTCGCCACGCACTACGGGACGAGCCACTTGCAATCACTAACGACATTTCTTATCATAATTCGACGAAGGTACCGATGGTGATCAGAGGCAGGCAGTGTCTTCTTGTAGGTCAGTTCGACAAGTGATGTTCATCGTTCAATATCCTCGCATATTATTCTTTCACAATGCGCCGGTAAATATTTTTGTAAAAGCATTGATAGCTTGCAGACGTATCTGTTTAAAACCAATAATGAAGAAGAATGTGAATAGTGTTTGTGAATAGCTTCATCAGTGAGAGCTGTGAAAAATACACTTTATTTTGTATTCAATTGAAAACAGTCAATTTCGCATACAATTTTAAGGCCGTAAAATTTTTCGTCACGAAGGTGTATATTTCCATAACTACGTCGACATACTTTTAAATACCATCTTCAGCATCATGCGCCGGAGAAAAATATTATTAATTACGTTCTTACTATCAATTACGCTTACCATTGAGGGCCAAGAAACTGTATCAACTACCACACTCGAACACGTGTCAGATGCTCCCGGTACGAGATCATCCGAAGGAACAAATGACAATTTAACATCGCGGGCTCCCAGAACCTCATTGGGACTACGGGACCGACCTCTGCAGTGCACAATCGCTCGCTGCTCCGGTCAGGGAGGAGCTCGTAATTATTCAGGTAAAATATCAAAGCCTGAACTCTGGGTGACACTTTGTCCAAATAGCGAAGCACTTTTTCCCTCACGTGGGTCATCCTGACCCAGTTTATCCCCTAAAATAGCGCATCAGTGCTACATGCAGCTAGTGTGTCGCTATTTAGACAATATGACCCATTAAAAACTTAAAAGGAAAGAAAACTCCAAAAAATTCATAGTATCTTTCAAGAAAACGTTTCGGAGTCCAGCTCCATCGTCAGTTCGAAAATTTTCGAACTGACGAACTGTGTTCTAGAATTTTCGAACTGACGATGGAGCTGGACTCCGAAACGTTTTCTTTAAAGATACTATGAATTTTTGTGGAGTTTTCTTTGCTTATAAGTTTTTAGTGAATTTGCGATTCAAGCAAACGAGTGACATTATTACTTATGACCCATTAATTTTAATGAGTGTAACATGAATCATATGCAAGAAGTTAATGCCTACTACTACATGTAGCGCTGATTCACAACAAAATTATACTGTTATTTCCCAATTAAAAAGAGATTTTTTTCATGTACTCATCCACATTTTTCAATACAGTAAACAATGCACGCTCAAACTTAGTTTTTAAACTGAACAATACGATAACTTTCTCTTCAAGGATATAACGTACAATAGCCGATAAAGTAAAGCGCGCGAGTTTTGTTAGGATGTCCATAAGGTTCGAATTTTGAGTCGTATAAAATGATTTATTATTAGGTTCGAGCTCCGAGAGAACTTTTCCTAATTTATTGGACGAGCCTGTCACTGATGACATAACGATGGAAAGAACTAGCTCTCAATGTAAGACGAATCTTACTGAATGTCGCCATCAGCAAGAAATACGAGTGTGTAGGTTGGACGCACTGTATCGTTTTCCGATGTATGCTCCAACTATAATTTATATTCATGTTAATCAAATACCTGCTAAGATTATAAACTAATAATCGATCGACGTATGGTCCATTTATTTATCACATGGTCCACGTGTTATTTTCAACCAAATTTTAAATCAAACATATTTTCATGCACCAATTTGTAGGAGCATTTCATCCACAGCTCTGATCGCACAAAACATTCCAATCACAATTCTCACGTAAAAATTGCCTATTTTCAGATAAAATGCTCACCATATCTTTCCTGACTGCGTGTGGGACGGACTGGACCAAGAAATTCCTTGGCCACAAAATCGTAGGTGCGCTGTCGCTCGCCGTGGATGATGTAAACCGGCGGCGACTGCTGCCCGACAACTACATGCTCAAGTTCGAGGTAAATCCCAAACGCAATATCTAAGGCTACATTAAAAATATAGGTCCCTATTTTCGCGCTAACTATTCAAAGTCCAGCAAAACCTCTTTAAGATGTCTTCTTGCCAATATGTAAATATTTGATTATGTTCAAGGTAAACCTAGAAATCCTAGAACTTATAATTATATATCGCTGCATTAGTATTAGTAATTCTAGTTCAGTCGCTAGACCGTTGTGGGCCGCTATAGATTCTCCAAAATGGCCTCTCTATGTCATGTCAAAAATGGCCTCGAACGAGCATATTTTTAACACCACCGATATGAAGCAAGCTGAAAGAATTCGTAGAAAAAAAAGGTTCCGTGACAATTCAAATCGTTCTATGACCTTCTTCAACCAACATAAATTTTTCCACTGGATTACCGGGTTTTTCGATCCCCATCTACCTAATGCTGAATCTAAATTTTCGGTGTCACAAGGGGACATCAGTGATATGGTATGCAAGCATTCTTTTAAAATTAATTTGTTGAACTTAATAAACATAATTCACATATTTTTAATTTGAACAAGCTGGGAAGAGAGAGTAATCAATGAAAAGAAATTATATTTAAGAAATAATTTCACTCAAACCTATATCTTTCCTCTCCTCTGAGCTTACGTCTTGAAAAACTATGCCCCACAATCAATTGAATAATGCAACGGTTTTAACGTTCATCAGGCCGTAGGCATTTCGCCGATTCCCAACATCGCAGAATATTCACAGTTTTTTTGCGGTCTCGAACTCGCAAATCGCTGCTCAGCAATTTCGATTTGTTAAGCGTTTACCGCGCGGCACAGAGCCCGGGGGTGAACCCGCGTCTCTCTGCTCCCTCCATCCTTATACTATGAACTGTAACCACTGGGCCACATTGCCTCTCATTTTAATAATCTCATTTTAAATTGAGCTTTTAAATCAGATAATTCAAAATGTTACATAAATAACAGTCGTCAAAACTCTTTTGATTCGCATTGAATAGCGTGATATCCGCATTTTTTTCCTCAAGGTAAAGAACACATATAATCTGCTGCTGCCGAGCGTGAGGCAGGTGTGTATAGACTCGCTGGCTGGAGTGAGCGTCTTCATCGGACCCGAGCATACCTGCGACAAAGAGGCTGCCATCGCAGCCTCCTTCAATATTCCGCTGCTCTCTTACGTAAGGAACTTGGCAACAACAATAGACTTGTTTCGCAGTGTTATAATATTTTTAAATGATGGAGTGCTGATTTCCCTTATTTGAATTATGAAATGCAATCGACTTTATTCGCAGTGTTTTTATATTAATAAATGATGTAGCGCAGGTTTCCCATATTTAAATTTGTATTTCTCGCTGTAGATATTCTTCAAAGTTGTTTGTTTGTACTCAAAATAATAAATAATGATATAGAATTACGGGGTTGAAGTATTTCCATTGAAATTTATTGACCAAAATATCAATGTAAACATTAATCAGCTCAACGAAGGGTAAAAATTTACATAGCAATTTTAGAACTTTCGTCTTCTAAAGGCTTGTGAAGAAGCTATACGAGGTCAAGACTCAGACCAGCCGACCAGGTACACTGGATTACGAGGTCAAGACTCGGACCAGCCGATCAGGTATACTGGATTACGAGGTCAAGACTCGGACCAGCCGACCAGGTATACTGGATTACGAGGTCAAGACTCGGACCAGCCGACCAGGTATACTGGATTACGTGGTCAAGACTCAGACCAGCCGACCAGGTATACTGGATACGAAAACTTTGTTGTGCGCTTCAACCCTACGGAAAAAACGGTAAGGAGTGACGATTAATCGACATTAGGCACTTCAATTTTTATGCGAACAAAATATGCGTTTAATTAACGACATAAGTAGATATTTGAATATTTAGGTGCATTTTGTAGAAACAGAACTCATTGTGTGGGACTTAAAAATCACCAACGCTCATTAATAATTATACAAATTAGTTTAATTCCAACAGCTAAAAATTACGTTACGTGTTCGTCAAGTGCGGTATTCATATTAAATGATTCTATTCTTATAAATTTCGTTCAGCAAAGTTCTCTAACTATCTCCTTGTTATTACTTTTGAAGGAACTGAAAAATGTCGTGAACCTGTTGAAGGAGCACCGATGGCGGATTTTTCGTATAGTTTACACCAGCGAAATGAAGGACAAGGCCGAGCGACTGTACAACCGAGCGAAGGATGTACTTTATCCTCACCCAAGGATGCAAGTGAACAACCAAACGAAGGACGGACTCGCTCCTCGTCCAATGATGCAAGCTGGCAACGTAGAAGAGATCAACGAAGTGCTGCGTACCACCAAAAACTCGACTCGCAGTGAGTAACTCGTGGATCGTTGAGACAAGAGACAGTAAATATATACACGAGTCCTGGAACCAAACAATCGAGCATGAATTGTAGTATAACAGTTTTAGACTTCACTAAAACAGCGGTTATGGACTAACAATCCTTGCTTAATATCTGACAAATGCATATCAACGTTCAGAGTTTGACTGCTGTACCTATAAATCTTTTACATTTTACTCTATCGCCAGTTTACGTGCTGCTCTCGCACCGAGTGGTTGTAAGCGTTTTTCTGCAAGCAATGTTTCTACAAGGCATGTTTACGAAGACCCGTGAGCAAAATTACCTACTCATCTACCTGGATACGGAGGGCCATCATCACAGAGACTGGACGAAATATGTTTGGGGTAGGATCACTAGATAAACAGAATTTACTACATGTATTGTCTCATGTTACTCATGTATACACATTTCAGTGTGTTCCGATTCGCCGTCACTGTTTGTGTAGACAGCATTGGGCTAAGAAAAGAAATTCGTGTATAGTTTGGGCTTCTTCGCTCAGCTGAAAACACAATAAAGCATATCATCAGAACCAATGATAATAATTCAACGTATAGACTGAAGAGGCAATTAAACATATGTAGAGAATAAATTCCAGAATAATGAGAAATAAATTACAAATTTAATGTAATAATTACCATTGCAGCCCATATATCTTCACAAATTATATCGAACTCATAAAGGTGCTCGCTCATGACAGTAGATTATTACAATGAAGACGAGGACCTATTTTTTCATGTCGGCGCATATCTTATTACTGAAAACCCTAAGTTATTACAAAACTCGGCAATAAGTAGGTAAATCACTGCTAGATCCTGCACTTCTTAGAGAGAAAACACAAAACTATCTGCGCACCTCAGTGAAAAGTGCACATAGTTTTCGCGACATCTGATAATTGTGAAGCCGCCGGCAAGATTTTACTCATGAAATAAATGCCGGCAGCCAGCTCGGCAGTGTTTCATTTCCCGGGCAAGCACCCTAGTTCACATTCCTTGCCGGGGCAAGCACGCCAGAGGGCATAGACGCATAGTAACATATAATATAGCTGTTTCAGCGTTTATTAGGCCGGAGGCCTCTCGCCGATTCTTAACATTGCAGAACATCAACAACTTGTTGCTGGCTTGAACTCGCAAATCACTGCTTCAATTTTACTTTGGTTAACCACCCGACCTCTTTGCCAATTGTGACCTGAAACTGGCGCATAGAGCTGGGATCGAACCCGCGCCTCTCTGCTCCAATCTTGGTACTCTGAACTTTAACCACTGGGCCACCCTGCCCAAGCCACTGGGCCACCCTGCCCAAGAAGTTTTTTATGCCAAAACGGCGCGAAATTCACACCTGAACTAACCTGCTCTCGTTACCCCGATTCTAACACCAAAACAAACCTGACTAGGCATAATCTTACCTCACTGGCTGCTGGAAGGTGGAGAGGCGGGGCAAGTGAGGAGGTAAGCGGACATTGCCTGCAAGAAGGTGAGAGTCGGGGTAACGAGAGTAAGATTGGCCAGATGCGTTTTTGCCTGCCTAGTAAGAGCGTCTGTGAAATTACCACTATGTGACTTAATTAACGTAGTGCGAAAGTGGCATCTCTTGTGTTGTTTTAGCGTGAGCTGCGCCTTCTCTCTCTATGGTCATGTAGATATTGTATCTGACGTTGAATAAATTTTGAAATAAACGATGTTTGGTTGCATCAACGTCATTTGCCTGGTGGGGCATTCAAGCTGAGGTTAAGCGTTCACTGCGCTTTCAATCATTCGTCAGCAGCATTCAAACAATTTAGTATAATGACATAAAGCCCTAAGGAAACGTCCACAAATTGTATACTTCATGATCTACTTTATTCTCCCGTCTGTTCCCCTTTCAGGATCATCAATGACTTTTTTCAGCTTAAAAAAACAACATCTGCTACTGCAGCAATACAGCAAATCCCTTCTTATCATTCGAGGCACTTTCCCTACCGCTGACTTCTCCGAGCAGAGAAAAAAGATCATATGCAAGAATATGCAGCCACCTTTCTGCCATTCGTATGCACTGCCTGAAAAACTTGTGAGTTTCATGTAGAGCATAAGAACAGGTATAAGCATTGTTAAGCAATACGTTAAATCGATTTATTGGGATTCAATAGATTAATAAATATCATGTTTTTTAATAGTACGTAGACTTTTCAGCAGGCGATGAACGCGATTACTTCATTTATCATGCTCTATGCCAAGTTGAACCAATCGGTGTTTAATGAAGTGGTTTGCATTTATATTGGCTACTGCCATATTTATATGTAGGAAGTTTTTAAGCAAAAATGCGAACATTTGCTCACTCGTGGACAAGTTTAAGCCATTAATGTTTTACCCAGGACATACCGTATCAAACAGCCGCGTATCTGTACGATGCAGTAATTGAGTATGCCAAGGCTGTGAGTTCACTGTACACGGACATGAGGCGTGAGAACTTCAACATAAATGTCGCTCAAGCGGCCAGAGATGGATGGCGCATCGTGCAGCGCCTGCGCAACTATACCTACAAAAGTAATGTATTCCCCTCATAAACATATCTATTAGAAAATTCTTAATTTAATCGATTATTTTTACTCAGAAATTTATAAACTGTTAAAATAATATCTTGGCTATTATTGCAGTAGCCGTAGATGCAAGTTCTTCAAGTGAAGAAAAATATACAATCATTGTGATCTAAGATTTAAACCGCACGATTTCTGTGCAGCTCGATCGGTGGCTAAGGAGTACGGCAAGGAATGTCGTGCGTTCACTAATAATTATTATGAAAATTTTAAAAATGGTATTAGACTAAACCATTGAAAATTAGTGAATAAATTAAAAAGAGACCCACTTAAGCGTTTGACGTTTCTCGTACCTTAAATATAAGAAAAATAACATCCTTTCAAGCAAAATTGTATGAATGTTTAAGAATATATACTCATGCTTTAATGCGATTTTTTGCAGGTATCAACGGATATAATGTAACTCTGGACAATTATGGCGAAAGTTATGGTAACTTTAGTGGTTACTTGTTCTACAGCATTCCTACTAACTCTACTCGTCATGTACGAGTACTTCGACGGCCTTCTCAGACTGAACAACAATCAAAGCTCAACTGCAGCAATTACAGCGAAGGCGTATATGCACAAGAACAGGACGAGCACGAAAACATTCACAAGAACAAGAGGAGCACAAGCGACCAATTTTGTAGTGCCCACTTCTCTAATCCCCTCATTGAGTCAACCGATGACTTGGACAATCAAAGCGATTCGTGTTTCGTGCTTGTTGTTGATTTTCAGGTGAATGGGTACTTATCTTTCATTTACATATTAACCAAGTTCTCAGGTGAGATGTGTGCATTTCCGAATAGAAAAATTTAAATGACATTCTTTCCTGACTTAATTTTTGACAGATCTGCTTCGCGCTTGAGTTTTCTTAATAGCTCATCGATGTTTATTTCAGAAGGAAGAAATCAACAACACTAAACTCGCTGGGATTTTTGACGAACCAGAATGTGGCTTTGAAGGCGAAAAATGCCCAGCAAAAGGTTATTGGAAAACAGTGACTTCAATAATTCTGGCTACTTTTTCGTTTGCATTTTTTCCTATCATACTTGGTCTGATGCACACAATTTATATGGCCGAGAGCAAGATCATGGGGCTGGAGTGGAGCATTGCTCTTGCTGAAATTGAAGAAACAAATTGTGGCAGGCCCAGAGGATCGACGGTGAGTTATTTACGAAATTTTTTTAGAGAGATGCGTTGACTGCGCTCATGCTTACACAAAAAGAGTTTTTTTACCGAGTAAAAATTCTAAATTCGATTCAACTCTGAAAAGTTTCAAATCTTTGGGAAGCAGATAGAATAGAATAGAAGTATAGAATAGAAGTGTCGGCGTTGAAGAAATAGGCCCATGGCCTGTTGCCGATTCTCGAACTTTTCGTGACTTGATTCACAAGGGATCCGGCCTTTGGAACCCGATCTTTCCATAGCTGACGATTGATAAGCAATAGATAGCTTTCCATAGCTGACGACAGATAAGCAATAAGCATTTGATAATAATTCGTGAGCATTCAGCAGCGTTAACCATTGCTCTTCAACCGAATTCGTCACACATCAGACCGTGATTGTTGGCTTTACATTTTAGCATAATCGCTATAAATTTATTTCTGTTACATCGTTCAGAGAAGCTTGGTACATTTGAACCCGTCCGGGGACTGCTACTACCCTCGCGTGGGCCTCTACCAGGGCACCCTTGTGTGCCTGAAGCCCGTCGCGCAGCACAGCAGCAAACTTCGAATATCGCGCTCTGTAAAAAAGGAAATCTGGTACGAGTGTTTGCTCAACTTCCTTATACTACCAAACTATGCGAAGCACGAAAACAGTTACTTGTAGATTGAAAGAAATAGATTTGGAATATGTTAATAATTATAATATATGCTGTTGAAAGTAACATTTTATTTATTTCACGATACCAAAACACCTACGAGTATTCAACTGCTAAAGTAGCTAACAATAGTGAAATATTCCCGAAATTACAAGAGACTTGCGAATATGTTTGCTTATCAAACTGTTGCCATGTTGTTTAGAATGGGTTCCACTTTTTATAGCAAGGTTGAAACGCTAAGACTTGCGACTGTTTATATTTTCAAATGCTAATTTTTCATCTCGTGCCTGAATATTTATCCACGTTTTATCAAGACACTTGCTAGGAAAATTTATGAAATCAGCAGATTCTTTATGTGTGAATTTTTTTACATTTCATGCTTGTTTATTTAGTCCGTAAAAACACTAAATTTTGTTCGGATGCAATTCTATTAGTTCTCACCTCTGTGGGCAATTTGTGGTCGCCACCACAAGTTGAGATCTACCTTCAATTCGTAAAAATTCCCAATTCCCATTCATTCACAGCTGACATTCATTAATTTTATCAAATTCCAAGTATCGTTTAAATCCGAGCAGCACGATTCGCGCAATAAAGCACCACAACGTGTGCACTTTCTACGGAGTTTGCGTGGACGCGCACTCGGCGCTGCTTGTCTCTGCGTACAAGGAGCGCGGGGCGCTCAGAGACGTGCTCAGGAACGAGCTCACGCCGCTCGATGAGCCCTTCATAGACTCGCTCATGATGGACCTCATCAGAGTAAAGCTTAAATCTAATGAGATGTTTTTTATACGTTTCGTGATTATTTCTACTGATGATGGTCGAATGTAATTACATTGAGTAAATGAGAGATTGTAGCTGATTGCATTAGTAGAGTAGTCGTTAGATGCAGGTCATTTTCTGTAAGGACTTTAATTTTTGCGTTGAAAGGTTAATGCTCTAATAAAACTACTAACAAGCTGCACAAAAACAAAAAATTTTCATTCACAGGGCATGTGTTACCTACATGAAAAATACGGTCCACACGGGCGTCTAACGTCGAGCAACTGCGTAGTGAGCGGCCGCTGGGTGCTGCAAGTCACCGACTACGGCCTCGACGAACTGAAGGCAAACCAGCCTCACGCCAAGGACTCATTCAAGTCTCTATTCGGTGAGTGAAACGCGAGAGCTCTTAGCACCAAAAAGAGTTTTACGTTAATTGTCCACTGCACTCTCTGGTAGCTATCGGGTGCATACTTTAAAATTTAGCTTTTTACGATATGATTCATTTTTTCATAGTAATCCAGTCAGGACATGAGAACCGGATCGAACAATAATTAGAGAAAAACATTCTATTCCCGCATTTACACGTCCTCACACTCTCTGAATACAGCCTCATAACCTTACATACTCCAATGTAATAAACTTCAATTTGTTACAATATGAGCCTGCACCATATTGAAAGATAATGTCTATGGATCAAATTAATTGCACAACTACAACACGAAGCTGGGAACGCATGACCTGTTACAGACCAGCTGTACCGATCCCCTGAGCTGCTCAGGAGTGACGGGAAAGCCTCAAAAGAAGGCGACGTATACGCGTTCGGTGTCATCCTACACGAGACGATCATACGTACCGGACCTTTCGGCCTCAGCGAGGAGTCATTCGATGGCAACTACGAAGCGGCCATCACAGGTCAGATCGTCCTTTCGTAGAAGCAAAAGCACGCATGGCTCCTTGAGTTTAATGAGCTTCGATACAGAGGTCATCATGCTGAAATAAATTGCCTTGAAAATTCATATTCACATTCAATAATATTTACATTGTAGTCAGAAATTTCTCTTTGAGTCGCGTCGTGTTTTTACCCGCCGTTAGAATATTTTAAATTTAATTCAATGTATAAAAAAATATTTGTGCAGAGATCTTGAACAGAATAAAGCGAGGGCCGAGCACCGGAGACCCGCTCGAGAGGCCCAGTTTAGCGCAGATCATCGAGCGGCCGTTCGGCACCAACAAGTCCGTGGTGGCGACCATGAAGCAGAGCTGGGACGAGAGTCCCACACAGAGACCTACCTTCAAGTTCCTCAAGACCGACTTTAACAAACAAAGGAAAGAACTGTGAGCTTCATTCGCTATAAACTCCTCTGTATATAATATATTTATTAAATTTCATTGGGAGTATATGAGTGGAAATTTGAATAAACTTGAAGACGAATGTGTGGCAAGCTCTGCATAAATAGTTTAAATTAGCGTTAGATTGCCACATTGCAAGCAAACAGTTAATTTTCATTTAGTTTAGTTCGCTTAAGTTGCAAGGGAACTCCCATCGTTAATAATGTCATTTCCGAAGTCGGCGCGGGAACCTGGTGGACCATCTCATGTCGATGGTAGAGAAGCACTGCAACCACTTAGAGAACCTCATCGAGGCTCGGACCCAGGAGCTACAGAGCGAAAAGAGCTTGACTGACCAGTTACTGTACAGCCTCTTGCCCAGGTGGAGGCTTCCAGAATGACACTCTTATCGGAATTAGATAAACTTTGATAAATCAAAACATGTGACAAATTCGTAAAAATTCCCAATTCTTCTGAGGTGGCATTCAACTAATTTATTCATTTCTTCTGTGTCTTTACTTAATGGTAAATATCCGCGAAAGTAGTCATATCTTTCCAAACTATTTTTGGCCAATATTCTTGAATTGTTTTCGAGTTTCAGTCAAGCTTAATCATCCTGAATTTTCTTATTATTTAGAGCTGTAGCAGAGTCGTTGAAACACGACATTCCGGTAGAGCCGCAAAGCTTCGAAAATGTCACCATCTTCTTCAGCGACATCGTGGGCTTCACAGCTCTCGCTGCCGAGAGCACACCGTGGCAAGTTAGTGTAAATACTTTGTTAACTTACAAAATGATTACAGTTTACTATTTTTATCTGAGTTTATAAGCTTTGCTTGATTTATGATGAAAATGTTTGTCCGGAAGATCGTGAGGTTTCTGGACCACTTGTACCGCATGTTCGACGGCATCATCAGCGGCTACGACGTCTATAAAGTAGAGACTATCGGCGACGCCTACATGGTCGTGTCAGGGCTACCTGAGAGGAATGGCTTGAAACATGCTGGCGAGATTGCTTCCATGTCACTTGAACTCATAGAAAAGGTAAATGTTTTGAGTTTGAAGATTTTATATAGGCTAAAACGCTGTAATGTCAATCGTAACTTTCAGCAACAAGAAAATTCAGGTCTTCATCTGAAGTTTAATAAACATTTTAGCGGAAATTTAGGCGGTGAAAACTACTATCTAAAAGAATAATGACTCATTAAGAAGTGTATTTCAAAATAAATTGCCCTCAAAATAATTTACGTAATACGTTTTTTGATGTTAACATGGTAAAATAATTTCATTTTCCAGCGGCAATTAAATTATTATCACAACTCAATAAATACAGTTTAGTCGAAATTACATAGAAAAAACGCTATTCTATTAAGAATATTTATCAAATACGAATATGTTTGCGCTGCACCTCATGAATGATTTGCGAAGTCATAAGTAAAATTGAACAAAAAGTTGTACACCCAGACCCAGACAGACTTCGTGATCGATCACCGTCCCGACGATCCCCTGAAGCTGCGGGTGGGGATACACTCGGGCCCCGTGATGGCGGGGGTCGTGGGGCTCGCCATGCCCCGCTACTGCCTCTTCGGCGACACTGTCAACACCGCCTCCAGGATGGAGAGGTCGACACTTGCGTGGAATAAAATTAGTAGTTTATATAATAAGTTACTTATTATATGATAATTAGTATTGAATACAATTATTATGAGATCACGGGTAGTTGACCGAACCAATGAATGGCAACCAATACATACATAATCTACCTATAAATTTTTCTAGGGGTGTGATGGTAAACGATGCTCGCGATACGCTAAAGGAAGTGCGAATTTTCAGATTTACAGTTCCATTAAGTAGTCACTCTACTAACTATTCGCGGAAGTTCTTAGATTAATTTTCAATGGTGACTCTAGGCGTACAAGTATAGCAGATGAATAGCAGACGAAATAAAAATGTATAGAATGGAATAGAAGCGTCGGCATTGAAGAAATAGGCCCATGGCCTGTTTCCGATTCTTGAACTTTTCGTGACTTGATTCACAAGGGATCCGGCCTTTGGAACCCGATCTTTCCATAGCTGACGATTGATTGAGATAGCTGCTGGACTAATTAACTGGTCCGTAATTTGCTAGGCATTTTAGGACTGAACATATGCTCCTGCATAGCTTCATCTAGTCTGTTTAGGTTGTAAAAAAAATCAAATCAAATTGGTTCGGGAAATACATCAAATCAAACTAGTATTTCTTTCAAATGGATTTGAAATAATGATCGATTCATCGTTATTGACCATTCAAATTGATAATTGATCGATAATTAAATTGATTTGAAAATAACTTTTGCGATGTCGCACGTACAGTCATGGCCTGCCGAACAAGATCCACATCTCATCCTCGTGTCGGGCGGCGCTGGAGAAGCTAGGAGGTTATGTCATGGAGAAGCGCGGCCTCATCGAGATGAAAGGAAAAGGTTGGAGCTTATTAGTAGATATCAATTGATCTGTGAAGGGGTTTTTTTAATAAGAAACCGTCGACACTACATCGTAGACAACGTGGATCATAAATTTTCCCGAATTAATCAGAATGTAATCGGAAAAATTACAAAATAGAAATGAAAACAGTGGCATAGAAACGAAGGCTAACTTTGCTTGTGTAGAAGTGTGATGAAGCATCAATAGGAAAGCTTTTGTTTTAATTGAAAACTATCATTTTGATTGAGTTGCTTTTCGTTTTGATTGGGGTATTTCGTGCGTATCACGCAGGCGTGCAAGAGACACACTGGCTTGTGGCCGCTACAGACGAGGCGATCAAGCGGAGAGAGACGCCCGTCACAAGCCCGGTCAGGCGGCCAGCCGACCTGCACAGACGGTCGTACTCGTCATGCCGGTGAGGACATGGCTCATTATTAAAATTATTAGGGCGATCAAATTTTGTTAGTTATATGTTTGGATGTCTTTACATTTAAGGATAAAATTATAGTTACCCTGTAAAACTTGAGACTAAAATTGAGCGTTAGCCCTGCTGTTAATTCGCATTCTATTTTGACAAGAAAAGTAGAGGGAAAGTTACCTAGAAATAATTTTTCCTAGATTCCTTGCGTTGGGAAATTGATTGGGCTACACAAATTGTCACTAAATATGTGTCTTCCTACGAGATTGACTTGGACGTGGGAATATTTAGGTAAATTTTTATTGGTTTGACGAGTCATTTCGTATGAAATGAAATAGCGGTTTCGTCGTTTAGTAGGCCGTAGGCCTGTCGCCGATTCTTAACATCGCAGAACATTCACAGCATTTTGCGGACTCGATTCGCAACTCACTGCTACAATTCTGTTGTGCTTAACCGCCCGGCCTCCTCGCCGATTCTAACCAGAAACTGGCGCACAGAGCTGGGATCGAACCCGCGCCTCTCTGTTCCAATCTTGGTACTCTGAACTGTTACCACTAGGCCACCCTGCCATTTTACGAAAAAACATTTTTACGAAAATACTTTACCGGGCCCGTGATAACAAACTATTAGTAGCTATTATTCCCAGTAACTGAAGGTTATTTTCTTCTGCATTGTCATCGATGTGTCGTCCTTAACTTTGATCAGGAACAGCGTCGGTGAAGCCAGAACGAGTAGCTCCTTGCCGCGTCATCCCGCCGACGTTGCAGTGACTCCAGAACGCCAGAGGCTGCTAGATCCCAGGCATAGGTAAGCACCATTCGAAAGAAAATTATCAATAATTAGTGCTTTGGTCACAGCAATATTAAGGTTTGATGCTAATCATTATCGAGTTAAATGAACCTCATTATATTCAATTGGCGATGAATTCAATTGTGGTGGAAGGAACCCAGTGTCGAAGCTCTCGTATGGTAAAAAACGCAGTGACAGAAACGGTTGCCCAGGAAAATTTTCTAGTCTTGCTCTTGCAGCACAACAGCAACCGCAAGTATGCAAGATATAATAATATGCGTTTAAAAATTACTTTTTAAAGACAACACTCCTGAACAATCCAGTGTCTTGGATGTTGCACATGTACAATGAATTTCTAATTTTATTTTCAAATATTTAAAAAAAAAATTTTCAAAAAATTTTTAAGATATCAAAATTTTGTAAATTTTCAAAATTATATACTCTGTCAATTGATTCATGCATTGTCTCTGACTTTGCAATTGTGCAAAATTTCAGATCAATTGGACAGTTCAAATTGTGTCATATATGGATTATAGATTTATAGCAGATGAAATTATTTTTTTTAATAATGAAAAAAATTGTTTTTTTAAGTTATAAAATTATTTATTCTGTCATTTGAATCATGCATTGTCTCCAACTTTACGCAAGTGTGCCAAATTTCAGATCGATTGGACAGGTAGAAGTGTGTTAAATATCGATTATAAGATTTGTAGCAGACAGACATACAAACACGAAGTGAAGTTAAAGAGAAGTCTTGGAAGAAAGTTACTTAGCTTATTACTATAATCTTAAACTGAACACAAACGATTTCTTCTAGTTAACGCGATCAAACGAGAGGAGACTTAAATATATTATACCCTAGAATAAATAAAAAATTACTGGGCATATTACTATAGTCTGAAACTGAACACAAGCAATTTCTGCTTCAGCTGAACACGATCAAACGATAGAGACTTAAATATATTCTACCTTAGAATATAAAAAAAGTTACTGAGCTTATTACTATAATCTTGAACTGAACATAAGCGATATTTTCTAGTTAACGCGATCAAACAATAGGTAACTTAAATATATTTTTCCCTGGAATATATTAAAAACTACCGGGCATATAATTATAGTCTTGAACTGAACACAAACAATTTATGCTTGTGAGCACGATTAAACGATAGGAGACTTATATATATTATTCCTTAAAATATAAAAAATTACTGAGCTTATTACTATAATCTTAAACTGAGCACAAGCGATATCTTCTAGTTAACGCGATCAAACGATAGGAGACTTATATATAATATATCCTAGAATAAAAAAAATTACCGGGCATATTACTAAAGTCTTGAACTGAACACATGCAATTTCTGCTTCTGAACACGATCAAACGATAGGAGACTTAACTATATTACACCCTAGAATATAAAAATGTTACTGAGCGTATTACTATAATCTTGAACTGAACACAAGCGATATTTCCTAGTTAACGCGATCCAACGATAGGAGCCTTAAATATATTATAACCTAGAATAAATATAAAAATTACTGGGCATATTACTCTAGTCTTGAACTGAACATAAGCAATTTCTGCTTCTGAACACGATCAAACGATATGAGACCTAAATATATTTTACCCTAGAATAAGTAAAAAATTACCGGGCATATAACTATAGTCTTGAACTGAACACATGCAATTTCTGCTTGTGAACACGATCAAACGATAGCAGACTTAAATATATTATACCTTAGGATATAAAATAATATGCGTTTTAATTTATTTTCTACTTTTTAGTCCACAAGAAAAACGTGGTTTTTTAAAAAGTTTTTTTTTTAAGTATTTTATTTTCTCCTTTTTAGTCCGTTGCTACACATGAAAAACGTTGTTGCGAGCCAATTTACTTGACTTGACGTACGTATCGATGATACGCAGCGTATCATCGATTTACGCAGTCTAAACACGAATATCCTCTCGAGGATGACGTGCATTAAAGGTTCCCAACCCCTGCTTGTGAGTTCCTTTAGAGTTTATAACTACTGCACAAAGGTCAGCCCTCTTACATAATATTTATTTTATTTCAGTTGGCCACGCAAATGCACGAAAGAAAATTCTTTTCGAAGTTCTGTAGAAAAATTGTATTCGAGGGGATACATTGTTGTTCCCGTATTTATCTGGGTGCGTGGCTGTAATAAAGAAAGGTTCCATTGAATAAATACGCCTGGAAACGTGCAACAAATGATTGATTATTGTATTGTCATCGGGAGCTGAGCTTCCCTAAAAGTTTCAGAGCGCTAGCTAGCAGGAAAGTTGGTGAAATATCGATTGCAAGATTTGATCATCACAAACAGACAGACAGACAGACGGACACGAAAGCGAGCTAAGAAAAACGTGGTAATAAAGAGAAGTCTTGTAAAAAGTGTTTTTTTTTTTCAGGTGCAGCAGCATCAGCGTGATGACGCGTAGCACCCTGGCCTCAGGAGGCCTCAGAAGTGGCCTGACTCCCATCACTTCCTCGCTAGACAAACTACCACCCACAGCAGGGCCTAATCTTAGGGGCCCACTAGCCGACCGTAAACCTTTCATCCTCAAATTCAACAGGGATGCTCCTCCCCGAAACCGAAGATCCCACCCACCGTCCCCACTTGTAGAGTCAGACTTATAGTTCAGGTGTGATATATTAGGGCGAGCTCACCACGAAGGTTATATTCTAATTAATCAAACCGATTTAGTGCCCGTCTTCGCACCGTTTCGTTCAGTCACCAACATAAGGGTACACACACAGTAAACGCAGGTTTGCCCGCGCGGGCAACCTGCTCCAACCTGCCACAAGAATGAACATGGGATAATAATGTAAGTGTTCACAGTGAAAACCTGTACGAATAGGCTTCTGTATTCTATGGTTTCAGGCGCCAGCCTGAGCAGGTAACCAGCACGCTGGCAACCTGCTTTCACTGTGTGCGTGCCCTAAGAATCAAGTCAAACCGATTTCGTGGCCGTCTACTTATCATCAAACCATTCAGTGCACGAAAATATGAAAATCAGATAACACATTTTTACCAGCAGTCAAGGTAGTAATGATTTGTATTATTGAGATGGACATTTTAAGCGCTATTCATTTCCGTTTGCAAGCAATATTATAGAAGCCGGTTCGTCTTGGGAGATAATGAAGCACAAGTTCAATAAATCTCTTATTGTTGCAGCAACCTGATTATTTGATAAGAATTGTCAAGAGTTTACGCACGGAAATCCTGTTACGTTCTGTTAGCAGATGAGTTAGGCAAATTAAGTAGCAATGCCTGATACTTAGAAAATTATTACGAAGCACAAAGTAAGTCTAGTTATAATGTATAAACTTGTAAGCAGATTCACCGTGAATGCACATCGAACTATAAATAATACATTCAACAGGAGAAAATTATTATCCCATTGCAGAACGATTTTCATTCGAGTTCAAGAATTACTGAGAGATGAAACGAACGTTAATATTTTTCCGACTAAAGTAGATCAGTATGCAGGAGAATACACAAGAAAGCATGTTGCTTAATTTCATGTTTCACGATACTTCAGTTAAATTTACGCAACACAGATACACTGACCATCCCAGCGACACACAGCGTCCAAGGCCGTGCTATCAAAAAAAAAGTTTCTAGTTCGTAAATTTTTTAGCAAGTCACTGACTGATTTTTACAGTAAATCCAACGCCAATCACTGACGGGGAACTGGAACAGGACAAAAGATCTTACACTATCTGCCAGACTTCGGATTGGCGGCACAGGGAAGTGCATGAACTGGCAAGGAATCATGCGCACAACATGAGTTCTGATAGTCCAATAAGCGATAGCAAATGATGCCTTGTTTGAACGCAGTCGCTAAGCGTTAACAAATATTTTAGAAAAGTTAAGAAGTTCTCTTCACATAGTAATTATAGGTTTCTAATTAACCAAGTTCCTCATGGTAGTAGTGAAACCTCTTCTAATTTTCTTGTTCATGAGAATCAATTTCAGTTATATTGATCATACCAACACATGAAATACAAAAACAACAAGACAAAAAGAAAAGATTAGCACGAGATTTATTCGCGAGATCCAGGCAACCCCTTAGAAGAGAGAGGGACCCATAAGAACACTCAGTTCCTAAGCTGAGAGATGTAAGCAATAAACAGTAATAATTTTACTGAGAGTAGCCGGGATAAAATCCCATCATGAAATCAATCCTAAATTCTGGGTCCACTGTCCCCGTCCCATTTAGATCCGGCATACCTAATTAACGAACAGCGATTATTCCCATAAAACTTTGTTCAAAGCAACCCTTCCGTTCAGCCAATAAATTATTCAGTTTACTTTGAAATAAAAAGACAATTTATACCGGTGGACACGGAACACAGCAGACCACCGCATAACATGGATTGATCTCATCAATGAGAATTAATACTTTAGTACCTTCGAAAGCATATAAAATAAAAATTAAGCTTCAACCGAGCGTGCTTAAATATACAAAGTCAAATCCATAAAAACCTGTAAATTTGAGCTATGTAAATAAAATTTAACTCTTATCGGAATAGTGACGGTATTTTAGTTTTGATTAAATCCACTCATTTGGAGCGGAATTAAAGACATGTTTAGTCAATGAAAAACATATTGACATCGTGATTTTAAGTTTCCATGAAAAAATTCGTGACTCATTTTGTTGTAGCTGTGAGAGCCAGCATATATCCACCTGTACTCGAGTTACCTCGGAACATATTCATACATCGATTAGCTTTAGAGGAAAGGAATACAGATTCATCTCATCTGAAACTCAGTGAGAAACGACCACGAAAATTAAATCCTTGACTTGAGAAAATCTTTAAACACTCCGTTGCTGGAGAACCAGCAACACGTTTCCTAATACATAAAGCTTAAACTACACTAAAACTAAGTAATGATAGCTTAATAACAGGTAATTATTATATACGCCGGAACAATTTCCTGTATAAAAGGTCGGGAAATTTTTGAGTTTTCCAAGCATGTTCCCTCTGGTAGCCTCTTTAAGAGCGTCTGTTCGAATGCATTGAATTCACTGATCGCAAAACCAAAAGAATTTGAAACAAATTTAAAGCTTTCGTTTAGATTAAAATTTAATCAAGCTGATTATGAAAATAAAATAAAAAGTCTGGCAGAAATATTCAAGAGGGACAACAGCTCGGCCACATGCCGTGGAAATTTGATACCGACTCTATAAACTTGAGATCCAACATCAAGGTAACGACGAGCAGGAATGCTAAGAAGAAATATATACATAAGACGAACTCGACATGAGACGAGCGATTTGTACAGGTTTGTCTCGACTACGACGAGACGTCAGCCACGATGAAATGACCAACGACAAATTTATGATGACGACGAATGAAAAATTGCGTAGTTCAGAAAACGTAATTAGGTTTTTTCATGTCCAGAATGACTCAACTACGTGAGGGATGATTAAATTTCTGAACATCATTTTAGTCGCGTTTAACGCACGCTACATGAAAAGAGCTTAATTTAGCGAATCTCGAAACTAATGAACTGCTTACCGTGTAACTTTTCGCAAGACATGCCTAGTGACCTGTCGCGGAGCGAAAGGCGGCACGTGATCAACAGGAGCGAAAAAAAAGTGTATAAAATCCATGACTTATTCGTGCTCAGTTCAGCTAACTGAATAATCAAAAAATCTATCTCACTAGTGATAGGCAATCAACATAGGTGGCAAAAAACTAAAATCTTCACTTATTTAACTGAGTCATGATTTGCGCGTCCATACGGAGATTAAAAATGTCTCAGGCAGCCGCATTGCAAGCTGTAGTTTTTTAACAGCACAGGCCTACAGCACCTAAATCAATATAAATACAATAAATGTAAATAAAGCAAAAAAGTAATTCACAAGAGCACGCACAAACCTGAAAGCTGGACATCAGAAGATGTCTTGCGATAAGTTTTCAGGAATGCAATGATAGATATTGATGATTTTGGATAATTATCAACATGAAAATGAACACGCACGTCAAGGGTTTATAAATTCCTATTCACATGGTTTTCAGACTTTGGGTTATAAAGAAGGCAGACTAAATATCTTTGGTGGCATCGCACAGAACGAATATACATCAAAACAACAACAGAAGCAGCTTAGATGAAAGACGGACGAATTGGAGAATTTCTTACGAAATTCAATGTCTATATACCAAATCCGGCCCATCATGGAGATCCTGAAGATAAACAATAACGTTTCCAACCAGCTGAGTCATACAATAAGATTTCTTTCTCATTTAACTTCAGGCAAAATGAGGGCGGATGAAGATGATATCTACTCTGCAGGCGCAGTGGCAAACACCTCGTTGATGTACCAATGTGGCAGGAAAGCCACGGCCGAAGAATTTTCCCCGAGACATTGGCAGTGAACATTTGGACTGCCAGGCTGACGTGTAAGTTGATACACGAGATTTGGGTCGTCCTCCACCACCTGCGACTTGACCCAACTCAGGAACTGGTCCAGGAAGTTGATCATCACGTCCGTCGACCAGTAACCCTGTCACCACGACCATGCAGAATTATTTTAGTTACCTCCATCTTTGGATGAGCACAAACAGAAGATATTTCATCAACACATCCATGATACTGCGGTACAACAGGCATGCAAATGAAGAAAATAAGGAGTGCTACGTAGCTGCATCGTTCCAACGATATAATTATTGATAAAAATCCATCAATTAATCTTTAAATACAGTAAAAGATACTAAAATATGATTATTTTAAAATTTACTTTAATATATAACTATAAAATTACATCTTCTTTTGACACGTAGTTGTTGTGCATAGATTTTATTTACAGTTAAATCTATAATCGAGTTCAAAAAATATTTTACTCATAACAAGTATTTATACATTGCAGTAACTGGTTATTTGACATTTCACATACTACGCTTTGATGCGAGTAAACACACAAGGTTCAAGTTCCTCCTGCCATCCTGACTACCCTGGAGCAACGTTGCTCACCTGGCACTGGTTAGGCATCGCGCTGACAGCAAACGTCTGCACGGACCTCACTACACCAAAGTCGTCGCGAAAACCACACACCACCCGCGGGATGCCAACCAGGAAAGACTGACTCCACCACTTCTGGAACTTGAACTTGTGCAGGATTTGTCTGGCGCGTTTCGTGGTAATTTCTTTATTAGTTTTTAGTTCTACGAATGGAGTGAGGTGTCCATGAGGTGGGTTGTAGCGAGTAGGATCTGCTCCGTCCACTTCAGCCCCGTACACGAGGGAGTGTGACGCCAGTCTTGAGCGCAGCACGCAGCAATATTCCTTGTTCTCGTCGTGGCCTTCATTGGGATCAGCACCTGAATGTGACACGTCGTAAGCCAGAGATACAGAAGTAATGGGTGCAGATACGGCTCGTCCGAAATAAAATTTAATTTAATGCTTATAAAAAATAGATGAACTCTGGATTAGAGCTCGTCTAATTATTGAATGATCAAATAATGTAGGCTCTTCTTAACTAGAATGAGGAAATAACCCCGTAAAGAAACGTCTAAGCTCACGAAGATTGCAGTCATTCATAAGTCACATAACAAAAGCAAATGTTGGATCGTTTTGCACAGGCGTTTGAAAGAAACGAATGCAGGGAATATTTCTTGGTCATTACGGTAAAGATTGTGCCAGCATTTGTAAGGTTAAACAATACACACGATAAATTATCACTGAAGGCAGAACTGATCTGGTCGCTCACCGTCCGTCATGAACTGCTCAAACTTGAAGCCCCACGAGCACAGGCGCTTCTGGTTCTCTGTTTCATTCTCTTTTTCCAACTGCTTTTCTACGCTGTCTATGCCACACAAGTAAATTGTGCGTCTGAATCTGAAAAAAAGTGCTTACACTGCAGCAGCGTACAAAATTTAAGACAAGTGGGTGTCTTAATGATATATATGGTAATATATCAAATCATAATCATATCATAAATATATCAAAAATATATAGATACGTTGTCTTCACACAACAAAACAAATTTCCCAGTTTTTTAATTCTTGCACCTCCTATTATTATAATCATACCATTTCACCTTATACCCGTTAGGACACGTCCACATTTCGAAGGACAGACACAAAAGGCCATAAATTTACAGTGTTTTTCCTTAGGAGCAATATTACGGTTCTTTTCATTGTCATCTGCGAAATTTACACCATCGCCAACTCATATTCTTCATTGAAAATTAGACATATTCCACATGAAATCTAATTAGAAAACTTGCATAAAAATGAAACGTACTTGGTGGCAAGAATGATCCATCCTTCCTTCTGGTACGGCGAACACATCAAGTCTCGGAGCAGCCCTCGGTAAGTAACAAAATCTGTCGACAAACTGCCCAGGCCCTCATCATTAATAAATGAAGAACATCCAACTAGTCCAATCTATCAGAGAATTGATCACGAAACTGACACACGAATTCAATAATTAAACTGATTCATAAGAATTACTTCCATTTCTTACAACACTTCTCTTTAACTACACATCTTGTTGTTGGTGTTTGTTTGTCTGTCTGCTACAAATCTTATAATTAATATTTAACACACTTCTACCTCTCCAATCGATCAAAAATTTTGCACACTTGCGTAAAGTTTGAGACAATGCATGAATCAATTGACAGAAAAAAAATGTAGAAAATTTAATTTTTTTATTAAAAAATTAAATTTAAACATTACTTCTTTTAATATTTGATAACAAAATTAGAAATCCATTGTACATGTGTAACATCGGAGATACTGGATTCTTTAGAAGTGTTGTCTTTAAAAAGTAATTTTTAAACGCATATTATTAATCAAAGGGTCGTATTAATCAGGCGATTTTAGGAATCAAATGATTACCAAGAATCAGTTCCAACGTTACAACGTTCAGAGACCTAGGGGGCATAATTATGGAGAAAATCTTGGAAAAGTGAGTACCTACTACTCAGGTGACAGAAGGAAACAAATTTCCTATTAACTAAATAATTCCTTTCAGTATTAACACAAACACACAAAATAGCGGGACCTTGCATGTTTATGAAAATATCAGCTTTCTGGTAAATTAATTAATAATCCGAACTTAATAAAGGACAATAATTCACGGAGAAACAAATGATGGAATATATACCTAGTAATGGGTCCAGAAGCAGCCAATGGATTCTGAAGGGAGTCGACCGAGGCACCTCTTACAGGGTTGGGCCGAGCAGACTTGGTGGCGTCCCCATGTGAGGAGCTGTGGGGCTGGCCTCCCTGCTGGGGCGCTTGTGAGGAACTGTGTTGTGAGGGCATAGGAGCAGTGGGGGGAGGTGGAGGAGGGGGCGACACAGCAAACTTGTATCTGTTCAAGAGGATCCACATGAGCAGGTTGTCCAAGTTCTCCCTCACGCATCGCTGGTAGTCCTTCCGCTTCACTTTGTCCATGGCAATGTTGAGGTCATATTCAACCTGCACGAACAATGTGGCTTGGCATCATTACATTTACTCACGGACTTAAATGAGTGGTGTACAAATCCACTTGAGGAAATACACGAGATTTATTAGACAAAAGACGTATAACTAATGAACGCTAAATGCGTGTGTAAAAGATGTGCACCTCGAGCATCATGCTGACTGTACATGCAGACGATCGTGTCAGCTGTACGTCCAGACGATCGTGTCAGCTGTACGTCCAGACGATCGTGTCAGCCGTACGTCCAGACGATAGTGTCAGCCGTACGTCCAGACGATAGTGTCAGCTGTACGTCCAGACAATAGTGTCAGCTGTACGTCCAGACGATCGTGTCAGCTGTACGTCCAGACGATAGTGTCAGCTGTACGTCCAGACAATAGTGTCAGCTGTACGTCCAGACTTTGCTTTTCAGGCACCAACCTTTTTTGTCTGTGACTGATCCCAGTCTATGGAAATAAATCCCAGACTCCTTCTGTCATGATGAAATTTTCGGTCCCCATCCAATGAAAAATCTCCAATGAACAAAGGATGCCTCAGTGTTGGAGCAGTTGTGGTGCCAAACCTAGTGGAGAAAAATAAATTTAGTATCTGCTAATTAGATAATTTACAATTCAACTAATGGTCTGGATTTTTTAAGGCAAAAATTCAGTTACAGAGGCTATTTATATTTTAAAACATGACAGTATTTTCCTTGCCACCATATCTACTATTATTAGATGACAAAATCTCCATCAGGTTCTATAAAAATTATAAATTTGTAACTAGAATAATCACTGAAACAAAAAAAAAGTTATCATTCAATCCAAGTTTATTTGAAACATGAAAACAGAACAATCAAAGCTCACCTGCTGCTTGGAATGATTGGAAAAGTAGGAAGGACTCTTTTCTTAGCAGCTTTTTCATTTGAATCTTCTGATAAAACATGTTTTGTTCCAGTCTGGATATGAGTTGAATTTTCCATTTCTGGAAATAATGCTGACAGCTTGCCAAAGATTGGTTAAAATAACAATTAAGTTGCAAAACAGTTCATTCTCAACTATTTTGAAGAGTTAAGAACATTTTTGTGACTTATTTCCTTATAATTACTACAAATACCTATTTTAAAGTTCCCTTATTCATACCAAACAATCATCTGTTGGAGAAAAATCCCATCAGTGTTTAGTATTAAATGAGCTCAATAAAGTTGAATAAAATGCACAAAATACTTAAAGATACATAAAACAAATTAAATATAAGAAAAAGTTTAGGCAGAATTTTTTTGGAAATGGAAAGTAAAAATGATTATTATATTGGTGATGTTCAAGAATTGATGCCCAAGAGCTAGGCTGTTTCTCTCAAATTATGCACAAAAAATTAGGTAAGGGCCACACAAAGGAGTGGGGTTCTCCAAAGTTGTGGGTAATTTCTCCTTAGCTCTGGATTTTCACTTTTGGTATAAGATTTTCTAGTTTGGCTCCAATCTGGAATTGAAATCTCAGACAGTATTTACTGATTCTGGTAACCATAGTTAAAATTATTGTTTTACAGATGATTTTCAAAAATCATAGGCATATATAATTTTTTCTTAATGTTTACAAAATAAATTAGGCAAGGGCAATTGGCATTAAAGCAGATGAAATTTTTCACGTGCATGGGCAGTTTTATGTAATTCATGGGAGGCTTCCACAAGTTAGGGTTTGGGAGTAGAATATCTAAGCTATTTTTTGAGCCACAATCATAGTGACCAAGGAGAACATTTTTTGTTGCGCTTCCTAAAGTTAATTTTTAAGTAGACTAGTTACATATCTTGGATATCAGCAATATCATACACAAGAAATTAATTAAAATATTAAGTACCGTACCAGTAGATGAGAAAATTTTGAAATGAACGGATTCTAAAAAATCTCTGGTTTGCCATGATAGCCACAATTAAAGCAATCCCACCATTTTTGGATTCACAGGATTCTTATGAATTGAATGTAACCTATTCAATTGATAACACAAATGAATGAACAAGTTATGAGATTCCAAAACTAGTGAAAATCCATCACTTTAGAAATTTGAGTTTTTAGTATTAGTAGGAATTTACCAATCCTGAGCCTACTAGTACTAGCAAGTTGGCAAAAGTATGCACAAATGATTTGACAGGATAAACAGGACTGGCAAGAAATTATTAATACCGGTAATAAAATGAATTGAGGTCCACAATTACTTATTCAGGAATCAGGATATTAGAAATCTAGAATACTATAAGCCTCAGTAGTGCTTTTATCTTGAAATAGATGATGTCATGTGTGAGTACAGTGAGTTGAGAAAAATGTGAAGTTAGGAGAAATTGGTGTAATTCGGCAGAAGCTTTCCTTTTAAGAAAGTTTGATTGAACTCAGATCATGCAAACAAATTCTAGTAAATAATGGGTTTTCAAATAGAACAGTTGACATTGAAATATCAATTTACCAATTGAGAGAAAACTAAACCAACAATGAAGCAATATCTAAAAGAACCATCACAATGGTCTTCTACCAAAACAAGATGAACAGAGGCTACAAAGTGGATCAACAAGTCCCACAGTCAATCATCCATAATAATATCAAGAGCACAGTGGATAAGGGAAAATAAATCTTCTGATCTACTACATAAATAAGAAAATTAAAAACTTTGTATTGAATAAAATTCCCGGTAAAAATTATGGACTGCTTCAAGTAAGTAGTAACTAATGTTTATAAATTCTCATGCAATAAAAAAAGTTGTAAACTTCTTCATACATAAACTACATTGGTCTTACTAGCATGACCTTAGCCAACAACTCACATGCCATTTAATATCTGGAGGAGGACCAAAAAATTACATGCAGGACTCAGGACTGCAGCAGGAGGATCACAATGAGACCATCACCCGAGCAACACTGGAGGCATGCACGATGCACCAGCATAGTTATGCAGTGCCCTGACTCATCGAGACTGGCGATAGCTAAAGCTCTCATTATCAAGAGCAAGTCTCCTGTCTCCAGCTATCAACTTCCAAACTACAGGATTTGTCCAGATGCTGAAATTATTTTCTGAGTAATTTTAAGCTTATATTTTAAATTGTAGGGTAAACGCGGTATATTCCGACATCGTAGGTAATTCCGTCACCTCTCCAGCTTTTCCTTCATATTAAGCTTTGTTTTAGTTCCATGCGTTTGTTGATGGTTGAAATGGTGACGTCGTACATTTGCGCATCAAAATACTGCCAAAACACTAGGTCTTGGCCATCTAGTGGGAAAATATTGAGATCCAAAGAGAGACAATGCATGCCACCTGGTGAGATCATCGAAAAATGTGTCAAATTTGACAGTTGACCTTGACACATTTGACAGTTATTCACCAAATAGTGAATAACTGTTTTTATAGGATTAGGAAGAATATTATGGTTTGAGACTTTTAAATATGTCTGTGAATGTATTAGGAATCCTTTAAGTATACTTGTATTTGCTGATTTCAAGTCGTAAATAAATTAATAGATGATGAAGTTGAGAAATTATCCAAGATACTTTACTGGTCTACTTATAGGACTCAAAAATGAACTTGAGGAAGAATCTAAAAAACTCTCTGCTTTGCCACTATTTCTCACACAGCAAACGGAATTCGAACACATGGATGTCGGCATTACGTATCAGTTAAATTTGAAGCACTGACGCAATACAACTCACCACATGTCGAATATTGCCACACACAGTGACGGAATATAGGGATTTGGTAGGTTTCCATTCTAAAGGCTTTTTGATAAATATGGCAACATTTTGTGACGTTTCATCGTTGCTGACGCGTAGTGAAGTGTTTTGAGAGTCACGTGAAGGCAAAAGAACTTACGTAACGCATACGTTTTTTTATAGTTTTTCATTTCTTGATGCGTCCTCAATGTGTTGGAATATACCGCGTTTACCCTATCTACTATACCATTGAATGGCATTGATGTGTTGTTTTGTACTACTGTCATTTCCAAAGTTCAATTTCAAGTGTTGCAAAACCTTCACCTGCTTGATAATGAAAATAATATTTTAAAATAAAAGCATTGCAATCCATTAAATTCATCGCAATCTGAAACCGAAACACCATAATCCATTGTCATTTGCCATTTGGTAGGCATAGTGGCAAACCAGAGCTTTTTTAGAATCAGTTCATTTTTAATTTCCTCATTTACTCAAGATTTAAACCAATTTCTTAAGTATGATAATGCTGGTATCCAGGATACTTTAATGGTCTTCATATAGGACTCAAAAATGAACTTGAGGAAGAGTCTAAAAAACTCTCTGCTTTGCCACTATGTTGGTAGGTAACCTGCTTTTTGATCTCCCGGCAGCTCCAGGCTCCAGCAAGAAATTTTGTTCAACTAATTGAAAAAAACAAATAAGAAGATCATTGATACAAAGCATGATCTGGCATTCAAACTTGCATAAAAGTTGAGACATTCAACTTCAAGGATAAAGGATTGATCCTGGGCTGTCAGCTGTTGGCGTCAGGTAACTTGATCAATTCCAAAATATTACCTAATATTAAATGAAAATATAGTTACAGATATTTTAACCTAACGTGACAAATTACATGATGTGCTAGTGCTAATGACTATGAGTACCTAATGTGCATTTTGCACTCTCACTGGGCCACTGGCCACTGAGCACTGCTCAGTGAGCACTGAGCAGTGATCGTATTCGTCCATTTATTATTCTTCCTAAATTGAAACCAGTAATAAAAATGATAAATAAAATTACGAGCAAATTTAATTATATCACAAATCTATCACTTTTGGTTTTTCTTAATCTAGTGAAAAAAATGCATCAAAACATGAACATTTGTTACCATGTATTCACAGCGTCACTGACAAACGTCCGCTTTTCGATGTATAGTTTGTTAACTCTGGCGCAGATGTCTCCGGAACGCAATACGTCTTCACGGAAATCTGTACGGCCTCACTGTAGTAAAAACACGAATAACGCATTTAATTTTATGAGATATCTTTGTCCCACACCTGCCAAATCATTTAACTAAATCAAATTAATCGGCATTATTTAGCTCCATGTACAGTTATTTTTCTGTGATTCGCATTAGTGGACGTCATAGAGCTATTTCAAACTATCGTCAGTTTGGAAAAGAAACCGGTCGAATGACCTGTTTTTAGATCTCCTGTGGACAAGTTAAGAAAAGTACATGAATCTGCGACAGTCAACATCAGGCCTATTCTTCAGCGCCGACATCACTATGCAGTATATGCAATGCTATGCTATGGTGACCAAATAAATTTGTTATAAATGGAGATGGATATATGAAGTGAAATGATCTAAATAAATGGAGTGATAAACGTGGTGAAGTAGCAGTTCCCAGTCGCAGAAGACCACCAATCGCAGAAGAATTTTGCTAATAAACTAATTGAATTAGGATATGTTTTTATTGGGACTAGATCGGTTTCGATTGACGAAAGTTATGCATGCACAGAGTACGGCATGAAAGCGCCGTAATAAATAGGATATAGCAATAATAAACCAAATTGCCTCTTGAATTCCTCTTCCCCTTGTTTTCATCTCACCCTTAACACGAACTTTCGCACCTCTCCAGCCTCCCCTTTAATGTCGCTTCTACCTGCTCTCCCTTTCCCCTTCCTACTAAAATGAATATGCGACGCGTGGCTCATGGCAGTTGTAAAGGCCTTACTCTGGAATGCCCGTTTTCAGAGATACCACGCCCAAAATACAAATAATTAATATTATTATCATTATTATTTTTATTACCATCATTATTAATATTAGTAGTATTAGTAGTATCGTTGAAGTCATAATAATTTTATCTTTTCTATAAACCTTTGAAGCCTCCCATCTCATCAACCTCCCCTTCATCCTTCACACATTTTCTAAATATATCTCTCCACTCTCCGACATGACAACAGTCACTCTACTGACTAGCTTACAATAACATTGCAATCCTCTTCTCGCATACATCACACTCAGACATCAGCTGGGTGTTCCACAGTTTCCCTCCCACCCAAGCACACTTAAAACAGACATCTTCTCACCCATCATTCTATCTGTACATACGTCTATTCATAATTCTTCTTCTTTGCAATAGGTAGCCAACATACTGATGAATGTGCTACACCTGATGAATAATTGCATCCTGAATTTATCGATCATTATCACCAAAGGAGGGCAACCTTGGCCCAAAATGCGTTCGACAATGGGGTGATTTTCTCTAACAGTATTGAGTTATGCTGAAAAGGACGACATACTGTTGAGGGTGGGATTTCTTAGTATTTTACATGAAGCAGTTGTCGACATGAAAGTGGCTGGACTTAACGGTGCCTAGGTTAGTGTAGATCTTAAAAGCATGATACGTACAGCACGTCTTCGTCTGTCTCGCAACGTTGGCCACTTCAGGCCGTGTAGCATGTTCTCCACACTGGAAGCCTAGCAGAAACGATGCGAGACACACCGTGCTGCTCTACGTTGCACTCTTTCGAGGGTGGCAATAACTTTTGCTGTAAAAGGATCTCACTCACACCGGGCGAACTTTAGTATGGGGCAGACTAATGCTTAATAGGTAATTACCTTGATGGATTTGCTGGGGATCCTAACGATTCGTCTGATGAAGTCCAGGGTGCGGTTCTTTGTCCTTGTTGTTGATATTAGAAATATATGGACCCACACTTCAGCTCCTTGGTGAGTGTGACCGAATAGTAAATCACCTGGGTCTCTTCAATCAGGCTGCAACTATGATGCAGGTACCCAGCCTTCGAGGTCGTCTTGCGGCGAGTCCAATGAGCCGTGAAGCATTTTCGTGGGTGGAAGGACATCTTCCATCGTTATACGCTGCAAGGGCATTCACGTCAACTTGTACGAGATCTTGGTCTTCGGTTATTTTGTCCTGCGGCATGCAGTGTCATCGGCGAAGAGCCCGGTCCTTGCAGTTGATCCAGCCGGAAGGTCGTTAGGTCGTTTATGTACAAAAGGAAGAGTGATGGACCCAATGTGGGACACTGAGTAACCCCTTGTTTCACTGGAACGAACTCCTGATTCCACTGTAGCGATTTCTGACTTCAATCCGTTGACTAAAACAGAATATTTCCTTTCATTTAGGAAATTTTGTATCCTGGCGTTTACCTTTTCGCTGAAAACCGTGGTGGTGGAGTTAGTATATGACAAGATGTTGTGGCTCACTTTGTCTAATTCTTTCAAAAAAAATCGAAAACAACTAAGTCCTCCTGGAACCCATGCTCGAACGTCTTCGATTCCTAGTCCATATACCAAGCAACTAAGTCTCACATGTGCTTGGTATATGGACTAGTGAAATGACATTTCCGAAAGCCATGTTGTTCTTTACAGAGAATTTTGTGTCCTCACAGTATGCCATGATGTCACTGACGAGTATCATATTCAATTGCTTACAGGGAATACCGGTCAGCGAGACGGGTCTGTAGTTCTGTCTGTAGTTCTCAGTAGCGTTCTCCTTTCTTTGACATAAAGCACGCCTGTGCAGTCTTCCAGTCCGCAGGCACAACGCCAGCGTCAAGGGTCGTCTGGTACAGAAAGGTGAGCGATAGTGCTAGTTATGTCGCCCCTCCCTTCGATACGCGAGGGCTGATCCCGTCCGAGTCACAGGCCTTGTAGGAGTCAGGATTACGTAGCAGCTCCTCAACACCAGCGCTCGAAATGTGTACATGCTCCAAGAGCCATCAGGGGTGTCAGAAGGTGGCAGCGGGCATCTTGTCTTGAACTCCTTCTCTGAGAAATACTCACGGCTAGTAAATGCGGACAGAAAGATGTCGGTTTAAAATTTCAGCGTTGTCTTTGTTGATAATTTTTTTCATTTGAAATAGTTTGAGTCTATCATTTATTTACATTAACGTTGAGCGTCTGTATGCGCTGTTGTTTGGAGTACCCCCGCTCGCTCGATGATATTTTAAAAGCTTGCTAATATATTTTCCGTTTCTACAGCATACACCGTCAAGTAATTTGAAAGCAACAACCATTCAACTTATAGGTTATCCCCTCCCCCTACGAGCTAGGTGCATAGAATTTTTTGTAATTTGAATTGCTTGTGTACCAGTTTCACACGGTTTTATTTTTTCTTCTTCTATCGTCAGAGCATGTCTCAGTAGCTTGTAGTTTTTATTTATGTCAGCTCTGCACATCTGTGAGGTGTAGGCGCTCTGAAGGGAGGGGGCCGGCACCGATTGGAATTTCAAATAATTGAAGTCGCTGCACGTGACAGTTCAATGACGACAACTCTAATTCTTTAATTTCATTAACTTTGGACTTCATGTTAGAGAATTCTGCCAACAGAAACACCTGAAATTACGAAATTTGAGGCATAACTCATTCACAGATCTGGGCAGCGCTACTTTGAAATGTAGCGGCGCTACCGCTACCGCTACATGCTCTATATATAGCGGGCGCTACCGCTACCGCTACACCCACTAGCTTGCAGTGAGCGCTACCGCTACCGCTACAGTGAAATGTAGCGCCGCTACATTAGCCGCTACAATGGCCAAAATTATTGGAAATTTCTAAATATTTATCGTTCTGCTATTGGGATTTACTCGTAAACATTTAATGATAATAAAACATTTTCGAAACATATCAATGCAACTTAACTGCAATTAACCTAACCGAACTAGTACGGGTTAGATGCAGTAAATAAAAGTTGCAGTTATTTTTAAGTTTTACCTCTCCGGCTTTTCTCCTACTTTAATCTACTAATCACAAAAATTATACACATATACATATAAAAAATCAGTCTTTTATTTGTATATATATGTGGATTATTTTTGAGATTGGTAGATTGAAGTAGATATCCATGTAGAGAAGGTGAAACATAAAAATAACTGTAAAAATAACTGTAAGCAAACTGAAACATGAAAAAATACATGTAAGTGGTAACTGGTATTAACTTAACCAGTAACAACTAAGTTGAACTAACATGTTGACACTAGTAACAGGCTGAGGTTGACAAGTTGACAACATTACACCGAAATCTTTCGTACAGTTTTGTTCTGTAATTTATATTATGTATGAATCATGCTGGTTTTTAAATAATATTTAATATTATTAAGTAAAATCTAAAGGCTTTATCTATAAATGTAGCGGTAGGGCTGTAGCGGCAAAATCTCGTATCGCTACTTAAATATGTAGCGGGCGCTACAGCTACAATTGCTTAAACGTAGCGCCGCTACCGCTACTGAAAATGTAGCGCGCTACTGCCCACCTCTGCTCATTCAATGAAACCTATTTCAGTCTCAGGAAGCACAAAAAAACTGTAAAACGAATCTGAAAAGGCGGCCATATATATAATCGCGGCTATAATATTCCATGAGAGGAATGGTTGATGACATACAGTACAGGGTATAACAGGGATCGATTGGGATATCAAAAAATGGAAGAAAGAAATAGAAAAAGGAGGGAAATTATGTGGTTTAGGTGTGTGGAAGCAAGGAATAGAAAGAAAGGACAGTCTGAGATTATGCAAAATGAAAGAGATGCCAAATTATGAGTTCATATATGATGTCGGTAGAGGGGGGGAACATGATGTTCTGTGTGAGAGAGAATGATTTGGGTGTGTATGTATGGAGGTACAGGTAAAATGAGAGAGGAGACTATATATGTTTTATACGTGACAGAGTTGAGAGGGAAACGGGGGAGTATCTGATGATGATGATGATGATGTGCGATGCATATATAGAAGGGAGAGAATGGAAATGATGAGAGGGGTGAGGGTGATGGTGTGATGTATGAGAGAACGAGAGACGAATGGAGTGCGATGGCCAATGATAGTGGGCCTGCCAGCAGGGGTGACTGCAACCATGAATGAAATTGGAAACCAATAGGAGAGGAATAAGGGAGAGAGTGAGATTTGTGAGAATAGAGGCAACATGGGTATAAGAATCAAGCAATAATAAAATAATAATAATAAGTGTAACAAGAGTAATTTAATAGAACACAAATAGCTATTTGGGGCCTGAGATATACCAATATTTAATATAAACCATGAACCACAGCGCAATATGTGAGACCTAGCAAAATATAATAGACAAATAATTTTCTTCTTGAACTTCTTTCCCTTAATATAATCATATTCTTAACACAAACTTTCCCATCCCTGCAGCCTTTGCTATAATACTACCACTATCTGACCTCATTTCCTTCTTCTCCTACTAACGCGTGTCAGCTAGCTGATATTGAGACTGATTCATTTAAAGTCCTTTTCAGGGTCATCGCGCCCCAAATTCAAATCACCATTTTTTCATTATCCGCATGAAATAATGTGATTTTTCATGGTAAATTGCAAATTTTTGTAAATCTCGACAGAACAATGCTATTACCATCACTCCTGAATTACTATTATAATATTTAAATAAAATATGCAGAGTTATCTTACCCAGAAAAATTTTTGAACACCCAGTGCGTCTACCAGAGGGTACTAATTCAACCGAACAACTTCAGCAACGTTGTCGGTGCCCGCCATTGTGGATATTTCCTGTTCGATGTCGGTCATTCTAAAACTTATGAAGAAATACCGAAGAAAGTGATTGATATTTGGAGATACGGTAAGTTACTATCTGACCTTAAATAATATGCGGCTGAATAGATATTTCGCTTTTAAATATAACGTGTTAATTTACCTTTGCAAGATGCATGTCAATACTCAATAGAAATAATACTAATTATAGAATATGGATTCTAGCAAATCTAGGCTCTAGCGTCTAGCCTATTTGACATCAGGAACAGGAACAATTGCTTGGTAGTTGGGTAAACCGGTAAAGTATAAAAATTACAAAAATCGTAATAAATTTAGAAATGGACCGACACAGACGTTACAATGAGTGATGAATTCTTATAGGTACCTAGTAGCCTACTTAACCTTAACGGCCCATAGTGGCAAAGCAGAGAGTTTTTTAGACTCTCCCTCAAGTTAATTTTTGAGTCCTATAAGTAGACAAGCAAAGGGTATTATTGCAGATTAACTTCATCCAAAAAAAAGGGTGTTTTTTTTTAATTATATGTTTTTTGGGGTGTAGATTACGAATCTGAAATCCATTTTTGGCGGTCGGCATCGGAAAACCGATTTTTTTTTGCGACTTACTAACATGGGGGTTACGTAACTTACGTTGCCCACTCACCTTTATTTACTAACATGGGGGTTACGTAACTTACGTTACCCACTCACCTTTATATAAAGGGTCGGATTGTTCATCGAAATTTTACAAAAAGCTCTTAGGTTGGGTTAAGTCAGCCAAGTTCATTTTTTTAGATAGCATTTTGATCTAAAAGGAACCTGGGCAAACCAACCCAACCTGCGAGTTGGCGTTAGGTTGTGATCTCTCGATGTGGCAATGTATCTCCAGATTTATGGACAAAGAAGACGAAAATGTTACCCGTTGCAGTGCTACGGGTAACATTTTCGTCTTCTTTACCCGTTGCAGTGCAACGGGTAAGTTTCATTCAAGATGTTAGGCATTTTTAGCGCGATTTTTGGGTCGGAAAAAAATCGGTTTTCCGATGCCGACCGCCAAAAATGGATTTCAGATTCGTAATCTACACCCCAAAAAACATATAATTAAAAAAAAACACCCTTTTTTTGGATGTAGTTAATCTGCAATAATACCAAGCGAAGTATCATGGATACCAGCATTATCATACTGCATACATAAGAAATTGGTTTAAATCTTGAGTAAATGAGGAGATTAAAAATGAACTGATTCTAAAAAATCTCTGGTTTGTCACTATGCCTTAACCTATACCTAAGCTAGTCTGGAAAAGTCCTATTTTTGTCTGAAATATCGCGGCTCATATATCATATAATTTCAGTAGGTATGAAATCTCGCGGCTCGAATGTCATAAATTTTTGTTTGATTAAAAAATCGCGGTTTGCACTTTGCAAACATGTCATTTCATAAAATTTTCAACTTCTGCATGGCGCAATCCGCATTGCTTTACCCGTTTACCGTTCCCACCAAAAATATCTTGCAGAAAAAACATAAACATTGTAATGTAAACAGATCAACGAAACGTTTTGTTGAAGATCGCGCATAGTTGCGGTCATGTCAAAGCGGTCAGACTCACAGACTGCATTAATGTGTGCTGAACTTACAGTAGACACAAATTTTATTGTCGCCGTTTGACTGTTTAAGGGTAAAGTTAGAGATTTGGGGTAACATGTGCATGGACTTCGTAAATAAATTTGCACCTCGTAAATGGCTTTTCATGGCCAAGATATGGAACTCACGGTTCGGTGAAATCGAATCACGGCTGGCAAATCCATAAAATCACGGCTCAAAAAATTCAGTCGCGGCTTGCCAAGTAGATATATTCCATGCCTGTACCTATGTATCATGAGCTCAAGTGAGACAGTAAGTCTGCACTCTGCAAGGTGTGGTTTTTCATGATTCAGCTAATCAGCTTCAATAGATACATGAAAAAATGCGTTGAAAGTTTGAAACCTTCAATCATAATTATTATACAATGCTATTTCAAGAATATAGCATATGTTTAGAGTAGGTCCTATGTGCAGAAAAAACATTAATAGGTGTTTATATATGCTGTATATCTAGTCATATATTTATTAGGCAATAGGCATTAATAGTTTTTGTATAAGTAGGTTGTATCAAAATGCTTGCCATAAAATGTGCTGACTTGGACCATTTTTAGTGCTTAGGGTAAACGCGGTATATTCCGACACATTAAGGATGCATCGAGAAATGAAAAACTATAAAAAAAACCGTATGCGTTACGTAAGTTCTGTTGCCTTCACATGACTCTCAAAACACTTCACTACGCGTCAGCAACGATGAAACGTCACAAAATGTTGCCATATTTATTAAAAAGCCTTTAGAATGGAAACCTACCAAATCCCTATATTCCGTCACTTTGTGTGGCAATATTCGCCACATGGTGAGTCGTATTGCGTCAGCGCTTCAAATTTAACTGATACGTATTGCCGACATCCACGTGTTCGAATTCCGTTTGCTGTGTGAGCTGTATTGGGATACAACACGGCTTTGAATTAGAACACTAAGAATATTGAACACTACTTAATTACGTTTTAATTAACAGCTATTAGGCTTTTAATTAAGCAAATTTCAATTTTTGTACAAAGCTTTGAACGATCTGTGTGTGTCCAATTCAAGTTGTGTCGGAATTAGTTTTCATGTGTCTAAATCCAACATCTCAACTTAATCATCTATTAATTTATTTACGACTTGAAATCAGCGAATACAAGTATACTTAAAGGATTCCTAATATATTCACAGACGTATTTAAAAGTCACGTATTTAAAAGTCTCAAACCATAATATTCTTCCTATAAAAACAGTTATTCACTATTTGGTAGAGCCATGTCAACTGTCAAATTTGACACATTTTTCGATGATCTCACCACGTGGCATGCATTGTCTCTCTTTGGATCTCAATATTTTCCCACTAGATGGCCAAGACCTAGTGTTTTTGCAGTATTTCGACACGCAAATGTATGACGTCACCATTTCAACCATCAATGAACGCATGGAACTAAAACAAAGCTTAATATAAAGGAAAAGCTGGAGAGGTGACGGAATTACCTACGATGTTGGAATATACCGCGTTTACCCTACTCAAGTGATATAAATATTCTGGGCACAGCATAGCTATCCTTTGTATCATGTTTTTTAGTGCATTTTCTCATTTATGGAAAAAATGCACTATTGCGCTCGCCATGTCCGTCCGTCTGTCTGTCTGTCCGTCTGTCCGTGACCTCAAGTTTTTGTTGACGAGAAAATGCGCGCTCTGTCACTCACTGCAGTGAGTACTGAGTTATATTTTTTTTTTCAATTTCCCCTGGAGGCCTGCACCAGCATAAATATGCAGTGCCCTGATGCTTTAAGACTGGCTATAGCTGAGGCCCTCATTATCAGAAGCAAGTCAAGCTATCAACTTGCAAACTACAGGATTTGTCTGAATGCTGAAATTATTTTCTGAGTAATTTTAAGTTTAGATTTCTAGCTGTATATATATGTATATATATTTGTTTAGTAAGGTCTTCATTTATGCAGGTTTGATTGAAGACCAGAGCATACTTTTCATTACCTTTTTTTTTTCAATAAGAAAAACAAAATTTTTTGCTGGTGCTTGGAGATCAAGAAGCAGGTTTTCCAAATGACATTTTACTGAAATACAATATTTTAAATAATCAATATTCATTATAAAGTAGGTGAAGAGTTATTAGTACAACGCTCAAAATTGAAATTTGGAAATGACATAAGTACAAAATAAAGTATCCTAGATACCATTCAGAATTGAAAATTGAATTGATTTGAAAATAATTTTAAGGTCCTGATGAATCTGGTGGTTTGCAAATTGAGAGCAGGTGACTTGTCCTTGATGATGAGGGCCTCTACCATTGACAGTCTCATAGCATCGGGGCACCGCATGATGCTGGCGCAGGCCTCCAAAGTGGCACGGGTGATGGTCTTATTGTGAGCCTCCCGCTTATGATTCTTTGGTCCTCCAGCTTGCAGATGGCATGCAAGTCTGCAGCTCAATGTCATTCTGGTCAAACCAATGTAATTTACATTTTGGCGCAGTTAACAATCTTCTTTCAAGCAGGAGAATTTGTAAATAACATTGGTTTCTTGCAGCAGTCTGGACTTTTTACATTGATTATTTTTCATGATTAAATTCCTGATCATTTTATTTCTCTAGAAAATAAAACATTAAATTAATATGGTTAAAAATAAAAATAATTAATATGGTTAAACAATCCATACCTAACTAGGAAATTGGATTGATTTATTTGAAGAGAATCTTTCTAAAATTTCAAAATTTAATGTGCTAACTCATGCTTTCCTCTTTCACAGGTACTAGCAGTTCTCACAGCAGACAAGTTTGTCACTTGCCAACCAATTCATTGCTTGTTAATTACCTATAGAGTAATCTTTTTCATCAGTAAATTGACAGTTTTCCATTGCTCATATTGATATAAAATTCAATTATCTTTGATTTTCTTCTACAAAATTATAAATTTTCCTTTTTGTGCATCTGTCTTCAATGATTGCTAGTAAGAGGAAGGGTTAGTCTCTTAGTCATCCTCATTCCATTCAGTTTGAAGGTCTATTCTATTTTTTTCTTTCTAATTCTGCATTGTTTCTTGTACTTGGAGCAGTCAGTCATGTAGGCCTTCAATGGAAACATGCTTGATCCACACTTACTTATTGGCCAACAAAACACTCCAAACCTAATGCATTCAGCAAAACTAGGCTATTCTCTACTTGAGAGGAGCAATATTTCTTGAAGCCAGTTCATGAATTCAGAATTTACACTAAACAACTTGTAAGAATAAGTGATGGCTGGCAATATGGAGGCCCTAAGCAATGTTCAAGTGTGTGAGGATCGCTCTGACTGTGTGGAGCTTCTTCAAAGTGCGGGTCTCTATCTCAAACCTCATGCACGGATCAGCATCACGGTCACGCTACCCAAGCTCAAGACTGGCCAGTCTATCTCCAACATGGAGGTAAGTATACCTATTTGCTTGTGAAGTTTTATGTTGTGTCCCAGATGATTTTTACTTGTGTCTTAATTAGACGACTCCATAGGTAATACATTTTTGGCCTATAGATAATTCTTGGACCTGGAATGAGCTATTTTGATCAAACTCATTTCATTGACCATTCACCTCATGGGGTTAAGGTTTACTACTGCTAAACCTCAGATAGGTTGGACTTGTTCCTATATTCCTTTATTAGTAGTTTGGATTTGACTACATGCTGAAATGAGACATATTTTTACATTTTTATGTAAATCTACCATATATTTGTCATCTAATGGAGCTGACAAAAAAACTTGAAAAGCTTTTAAATATGTAGGAAAAGGACAGCCAGTAGTCATTTATTGATATAGTTTACACTCCTCATTTTGATATGCCTGCATCATGATCATAAAGCTTAATTTAAAAAAAAACATGCATTTCATTAATATTTGAACTTTAAATGTGAGCATTACGATGTGGTTAAACAGCCTAGGACACAAAACTCCATTGCAAGCCACCCTTCCTAACTGACAGTGCATGATGGTAAATTTCTATGGTGTTCTACAATTGAAATGAAGCTTGGAAAAAATGATTTTTGTCCTTTAAATGGCCTTTGATGACTACAGTTTATTTATATTAACATTAATCCTTGGCTGTGTTAGGAGTATATGCATAAATGCAGTATCTAATTATCATTGTGTATTTACAGATTATGGAGAAACTACGCCTTGCCATCAAGCCCATCAAATTTTCCTCTATCAAAGTCACAAAGAGCTCCTTGGAATTTGTTCGCTTTGATGCTGAAATCAACAACAAGAGTAATGTTGAGTCTGTTATCAGAAAAATTGATCTCAAAGTGAGTTCTTCAGATAATAAAGCAATATCTTTCTGATCTTTTTTTATGTCTATTCCAGCTTATCCTCCTGTGAATTGTATGAGCATGTTGATAATTTATTATTTTATTAACACGTTGGCCGCGATGTGCGCCATATATGTACACGCTGTACTTCTCAGAATCGCGATGTGTACACATGTGGTACATTCTTATGAAAAATACATATTTTTATAAAATCTTATTACTCTTTCAAATTTAAAATTTCAATGATGCAATTAAATAGGCATGTTAGGGAATGCTTTGAAGTCAACTACAGCTTAGAGAAATAGTTTTATTTTCAAATGCAAGTAATACAAAAATTACGAAATTTGTGTCCATTGATAAAAGCAATATAATTAATTAATATCTTATGATATTAATTAATTCTATCTTTGTATGAAAAGAAAATATAATATTTTCTTATTGATCTGAAACTACAAAATTGGGTGTTGCCAACATCATTATACTTCATACCTGATTGAAAAACAATTATCGCACATGTATGACTTTCCTTCACAGTCACCAAGGTATTTTTTTATCCCTTGAGTTTCACCTTTGCTACGGCACTTCCCTCATTTGCTGAGAGTATGTTGTAGCATTCGTGGCAGCGCATCCTGGCTTTAGTTCTAGTTGGTTCAATGAAAGTGGGCTGTCCTCTGTCCCACTCGATAATTTGAGATATACATCCTGATTTTACTCTTCTCTGAAATGCTGCTTGTAACAGAAGCTCAAGACAATATAAACGATGAATGATCTCTATAAGGTAAATATAACTGAACTAACAATGTAAATACCCTCAATTTTATTCAGGATTATGAAAACCTGGACACCAATCTTTTTCCATAGTAATTTCCATGCGTAAGATACATCGTTCACAAAAAGCTATTAGATACCGGTAGTCATAATGTGTGCAATTATGACTCAAAACTAATGTAGATTTCTTGCGCGCATCATTCACAGTGATAAAAGTGATAACTTTAGGCGTTTTTCTGCAATATGAGCCATAGATGCATGTTTTTGCTTGATACACATCGCCCACAGTATTAGAAGTGATTACGATAGGCGGCGTGAGCCAATATGAGCCACAACAGGCGTGGCTTCATTTGGTACACATCGCCTGGAATAATGACGAATTTCAACCCTGAGCGATGTGCACCAAATGCGGCCACGAATTTTACGTGACACAATGACAGAACATACCCCTGCAGAGCTGCACACAACTTTTCTCCTTGCTATCTGCTGGGTAACTGAAGATATACAAGTTTGAACCTATCGCCCGTACGGCATTCGGGCCAAATCAGCAATCGCGGCCAACGTGTTAATGTTCAATTATTTTATGCAAAATGTTAAGATTTTGTTTATTTTTTTCTAACAGGGCATCAAGCTGAGTGGCTTCACTGATCTTCTGAAGATCAGGGCAGCTGAGGGAAAGGTTCCCTTCCCCACTCGCCACGACTGGGACTCTTTCTTCCGAGATGCAAAGCATATGAATGAAATGAAGGCTGGAGAGCGACCAGATACTCTTGTATTCAGGGTAAATGATGCATTTCTAGAAATATCTGGAAAATTTATAATTAAACATTATTTGAAAATAATACAGGCCAATTAGGAAACAATTTTTTGTCTAAACTGCCAAGTTAATAAAGTACATGCATGATGATTTTACAGAGTAATAGAGTAAAGGCCAGTCCTCCTAATCTTCTTGTGTCTTGACCTATTAATGGCTTATATTTGATGTTCTATTTGGCATGCTTGCCCAGAAGTAATTAAATTATCTTATTAATTGAACGCTCGCATTAAGAATTTGATTTCTTTTATTGATCAGCCTCAAGACCACCATGCTTCCAGTACATAAATTTCAAAATACTTTTAACAAATAAATTGGATGTATTATTGGATATCATTTTTTGCAGGGTCTGCCCATTCGTTGGTTCTCCCAGTTTGCTGGACCAGCCAGCAACCGACCGAGTGATCAACTCATGCTCAGAGTAAGGCAGTCTGGAGTCTTGTCAATAAGTGTCTCAATGTTGTGGTTTAATTCCATGTCTTTTTTGTAGCTTTATGTTTATTGTCTCTACTTTCGTGTATCATATTATATAACAAAAAAATGTCATCACTTATTTTTGATTGACTGATGGGAAAAGCTTGTGATGCCGATTGTTTGAAAGTAACATTCGAAATGCCATTAAAATTAAAAAGGTAATACCATGTGATGTAGTTAAATGCCATACACTCGTACATTTTTTTGTTACCGAACCTTTAAATGTGTCCTGTAGTGAATACATCAAAAACCTGAGCAAGTGTATCTCTTCTGGCGGCCTCATAGTGATTCTCTTGTTGCCACTGCATTTGGGTCACCACTCCTAAAGATTTCAAAAGCTTTGTCATTCTTTTTTCTGTTCCTGAAATGGAAAAAATTCAATACTGATCGGTAGTAAATAGGTTTTAAAAGTGACTTAGAAGTTAAGTGCACCTGTGACTCCAGTTTTATTGTCAGTGGTTACTTCACAACAATGTTTGATAGAAAACCATTTGTGTTAAAATTGAATACCGGCATTAAATTTTCTGTATTAATGTATAATTGATATTGATTTGTTTGCAGATCATGAGTCAGTTTGGAGAAGTTCGCTACATTGACATCCCTACAAATGATCCATTGAGGTCTAAAATGTCGGCCACCGTTTCTGGCTTGACTGCTGCATCTCTGAGTCATAAGGACATTCTCTTCACGTGCTTCGTGCAGTTCAGGGAGTACATTGGTTTTGCCAAGTGCATGCACGAGTTCCAAGGCAAGAAACTTGTCTATGTTGAGGACGACAAGGCGTGGAGTTGCAATATTGAGGTAAAAAGAATCTTCATGTTTTCACTCCTGTAGGTTTTGTTTATAAGCCTTGAACTCTTGCTGTCGCTGTTTGATTGCATTTTTTAAATTCTACTTGAAACAAATGAAATTTGTTTTCTTGATAACTTGCCTGGCTGTGCCATTTCATTCTGTATTTACAAGACCAATTATAGATGTGAATTTTGGATGTATTCATGTGCGTGCAGGTTGATTTCGACCGGACAAAGCATCTCACAGACTATAGCATTAAGAAGCGCAAGGAGGAACGTGAGCGACTCCAAGCATTAGATAAAGAAAAGGAAGAGAAATTACGTAAGCAGAAGCAACAAGAACTGGCAGTCCAGCAGCAGGAAAGGTAATGATCGCCATCTGACTGTCAATTATGTTTCTGAAATATTAACCAAGCAAATATTCTATTATACTGAAATGGAGTACAAATTTTATATTGAGTGGTTTCTCCTGAGTAAAATTGTTTCACAATTTTTTGCCATCTTATATTCGATTCTAATTTCTGATGTTCGAGATCAGTCAAAGAGAATATCGAGAATATTGTCAACTTACCCCTCAGGGGGGACTTCTGACGGGTGTCTGTGCTCGTCAGAAGTCCTATGGGATTTCGCGTTCCTAGGGGGATTGTTCCTGAGCGCCCCACCGCTGAGCTCACGGTGTCTGACTGTAGGTCTCAATTGTGGGGTTAAGGTATTATGTAGGTAGGATTCCTTAAATTTCCCTTCTCTGTCTCTCTCGTGCGGGCGGCCGACGTCCCGTGTAAGCGACCTCTTGTTCGAGTGTCTTCGTTTCTGATGCTTTTCACCTGTCCCTCCTTGTCACTTCGTCTCTTTGAGATGCTAACGCTGCTTCTTTCGAGCCAGCTTCAGCGGGCTGGACAATTGAGACCTTCCGCCCCTTGTGGGTGATGAAAAATTGAGACCTTCCACCTCTATGGTGATGTTCATCTTGACTTTCGGTGCGAGATAGCTAAATAGCTGAAGCGCTAGTAAACATTTGGCCACTAAACTAACTAACTAACTTGTCAACTTAATCAAATGCAAATGATCCCAATATCGGAAATTGTAGTATTTATTTCACTTCACTTAAATTAGGGACCGAGAGAATGCAATGCTGCAAGCACATCACGAGAAGAAGGAACTAAAAAAGAAAGAGAAAGCCGAGCGTCGCGAGAAGAGGGAACAGATGAGACGTAGTAAGAAAATGAAACAGCTCGACTCTGGAGAAGACGTTAATCTTGCCCTTAAGATTGCTTCAGAGGAACGAAAACTGCTCATGGCTCAACGGCGCTTGGAGAGCATTAGGCTGCTTGACGAACTTTTTGACCGCATCAGAGTAAGTCGAAGTATACAATTAGAAGTTTGGTTATGTTGCTCAATGTTGTTGTGTATTAATACTTGAAAACAAGTATCGAGTAGCGGCTAGAAATATGTATTAGTTTGGCTTGTTGCATACAAGATGCTAGTCAGTTTTAGTCCAACTATTCCAGATGAATCATGTCAGATGATTTTCCTGTAAACTTGTACATAATTTTTACTCTTACAATATGAATTCCTAACTAGATTCCCAAATTGAGTCTGCTCGTCGTTCTTTAAATCTGAACTTGAATATGTATCCCCTTTATTTCAGGTAGTCCGACAACGCGGCGATGTTTCTAAAAAGAAAGAAGACGCGACTCCTGAGAAAAAAGGCAAAAAGGTAGGCTTTTTATGAGGTGCTTTTATTGATTGTTTATTACTTATTAGGCTTAGTTCAAAAGAATATTAGTGTTCACTCGATCAATAGATAATATTTGGGACGAAATTGATTGCTCCGCTCCAGACCGACATCTGTGACCTAAAGGATTTCAATATTGGCTAACTTGACTGATTTTGCCTCTCGTATTCCCTCGGTTTTGTTTTGGCCAGCTAAGCCGATTCCACGTTCCACGTGTTGAATTTCACTTCATTGTTTCAGAGTCATGAGCGTCAGGAGGCAAAGCGCATGGCCGACCAAGAGCAGCAGCTGCGGGACAAGCTCGTCACGTCACTCAAGCAGCGGCAGGAGGCGGTCATTGGACACCATCAGCGCCACTTGACTAAAGCACAGATGGGGCAGGTGCGTACTAGACGGATACAATGTATATGCAAAATAATGAGAAGGAATCAGTGATATATTTCTCGTTAATTTAGTTAAGTAAAGTTGGTAATCCTAAATTATTTAATCTCATTCCTATTTTTTTCTATCAGTTTGAACTGTTGTTGAAAAGAAGTAAAATACAGTTCGGGTTTTTAACAATAAGAAGAGTGAAATCAGTTCTGATGTACTTTTTTCTCACAATTTGCACTGCCAGTTTCGTCTGAGTAGCGTCGTTCCAAAGGATGCTATTGATACTCTGTCATCCATTTCGAGCCGCTCCATTGATGGCCGGTCTGACAGCAGCCAGAGCAGCTCTGACTCCGACACTGAAGATAAGGCCGAAGTCAATCAGACCAACCAGGCTGTTATGAGTGAGTATTATTTCCGTGCTCTCGTTTGAGTGCAATCCCCTCACACTGAATCCCAGTTTTACCGGCTGATGGAGGATTTTTCCATCATCATTTTCATTTTATTATTTTTATCTTCATTTGATCCAATTTGGTGAAGCCAAATTTTCTTGTTTAATGTATTATTTCTAATTCAACATACGAAGAAAAAATTCATTTGTACAGATTAATTTTCTAAAATGCATATATCCTTCTTACTTGTACCCATCAACTCATTTTCATGATCGCTCTTGTTTATTTCTGAAATCACTGAAATTGACTTCTTCCTGTTGTGGTGTTAAATTAGTTTTTGGCTATTGAGGTCTTGATGAGATAGAAATTGCATTGAAACTTCTATAACAATAATAGTTTTAGCTCAATGATTCAGATTTTCTATATTTTTCTAGAAATGGGCTTTGTTATATATGGGCTCTGATATATATATATATATATATATATAACAGAAATGGGCTGTGTTATAATCAAGTCTGTTTTAATATAGTTGTATAATGTCATATTTTCTGCTTAATTTTGTATAAACTGATATGCAATCTGATTATATTTACCCACTTCGTTGATATTTACTCGAAAATTCTCCCCTCCACTTGCTTTCAAATTGTTGAAACGTTCGTGGAAATTTTTAGTTTAGATGAAATAATTCATTTCACAGGTGGGCCTCCTCCAATGGGTCCGGGATTGATGGGTCCGGTTCCTGGCATGCCACCGCCGGGGCCAATGCCGGGCCCTCCAGGCTTCATGCCAAACTGGGGGCCACCTCCCCATATGCAGATGCCCCCACAGCCTTTCCCGCCGCAGGGCCCTCCTCCTACTGATGGTCAACCTCCAAATTACCCTTCATTTTACCAGCCTTTCCCGCCAAACGGTCCGCCCATTGGCGAGGGGGGTGGCCCACCTCCCGGGCCGATGTGCGGACCTGAGGGTCCCCCTCCAAACTTTGGCATGCCTTTCTTTGATGGACCTCCTCCTGGTTATTTTAATCGTGGGCGGGGTTTTCCCCCTCGAGGGTGGCGTGGAGACTTCAGGGGCAGGGGGGGTTGGGAGGGTGATCGTGGTGGGATGATGAGAGGCAACTTTAGAGGTCGGCGGCCTTTCCAGCATTATGGCAATCACGAGTCAATAGTTGAAATAGAGCAAAAGAAAAAAGATGGGAAGTTATTTTGGTTCAAAAGAGGTGCAATTTTGAACGAGACTGACAAATCTTCGTCACGTTCAAGAAGCAGGTCTCGCTCGAGGCGGAAACGATCGCGATCTCGTGGTTGGTCGTGGTCTTCGCGATCTCGATCAAGGTCTCGTTCAAGATCCAGGAAGCGGGGTAGATCTCGCCGACGATCGCGCAGCAGGTCCAGTAGCAGATCCCGATCTCGCCGCTCTAAAAGTCGGGAGTCCAAATCTCGATCACGCTCGAAGAGCCGTGAAAACAAACCCGAAAAGGATGACCCTCAATCTTCACCAATGAAAGCATCAACTAACGGCAAGACTGACGGTGTTGACGATAAAACAAATGACGACAAATCTGACCGAAAAAGTCGCAGCCCTAGTCGACATAGTTCAAGCAAGAGCAGTAGCCGGAGTCGCAAAAGAAGCGGCAGTCGAAGCAAGAGTGGAAGCCGCAAAAGGAGCGGCAGTCGAAGCAAGAGTGGAAGCCGCAAAAGGAGTGGCACTCGAAGCAAGAGCAGAAGTCGAAAACTGAGTGGTAGTCGAAGCAAGAGTAGGAGTAGGAGTAAAAGTAGAAGCCGAAGTAAAAGTAGAGGCAGAAGCCATAGTCGTAAGCGTAGTCGCAGCAGCCGTTCTAGTAGAAGCAGCAGCCGAAGTCGCCGACGTAGCCGTCGCAGCAGGAGTCGTAGAAGTCGCAGTCGTCGTCGTAGCGGCAGTAGGAGCCGCCGCCGTAACCACCGCAAGCGCGACCGTCGCGGTAGCGCCGATGGTCGCGATAGTGACCTGGACTTGTCAAGTGACCCCGATGAAATGAATGGTCCAGGTCCGAATGATATGCAAATGATGCCTGGTCAACACCCATTTTTCTATGGTGGACCTGACGAGTTCTGGGGTGGTCCGCCAGATGGCTTCTATCCCGGTCCTGGTTTTGACGGAGGGTTCGACGGGAACTTTTACAACATGTATCCTCCGCCTCAAATGGGAAATCGTGGTGGGAACAATCAGCGAGGTTTCCGATTCAACAACAACAGGCGGCCTTGGGTCCCAAGGCAGCGAGGTCGCCCCTATGGTCGCTGGCAAAACCCCGGGCCTCGTTTCCGTGGTGGTTTCAATCCTAATTTCCCTCCCTTCCCCAACGGGCCACCTATGGATGTGGGCTTCAATGGACCTCCTCCCCAGTTCATGGGTCCAGGAGGTCCTCCCCCACCTCAGGCGGGTCCATCTAGTGATGAGCAAAGAGAGCAGTACCACATGTATCAGAAATACTTTACTAGCATTGCTGAAAAAGAAGCTCGGCGGAATGATCGAAGCAAGAGTCGCGATCGTTCTGAAAGGGGTAGGGGACCGTCATCTGAGCGGCGTGAAGTTAATTATGGGGATAAAATTCGCCGTAGTATGAGCAGCGAGCGTGTGTCTCTTGACCGCTCGCGTGAACGAGGAATGCGACGAGATCTATCGCCCAGATGCAATTCAAGAGAGCCTGATCCACATTTAAGGAGAGAAGGCTCCTTCATGCGGGAACGAAGTTTAGACCGCGTGCCTCGCGAAATTAGGGGACGATCGCCTGTGCGGGGCAGCCATTCTCCTCCTGCCGAAGTAAATTATAGCGATAAAGGAGTGGAAAGAATTCGACCAAGGCCACGATCGCCAGTTATGCTCGATGAATTTGGTCCCGAACCTCCGAAAAATTTGCGGCGTAGCATGTCTCCTCGTCCAGACGACAAGCGTAGTCATATCAGAAAGCGCGTTGTGGAAGATGATGAGGAAGAAGAAGATGACATGGCAGGCCGTCTTTATTCGGACAGAATTGAAGCTGACATGAGACGTCGTATGAATGTACGCGGTCGTGGTCGTGGTAATTTCGACCGACGCTTCGAAGGACGCGGTGAGATGCGTGGACGAAAAAGATCTTTCAGTCGTAGTCTTGAAAGGGAGAACAGACCTGCTAGTAAAGTGATGATTGTTCGAGGTGAGCACGAGATGGAAGTGTCTCCTCCGCGAAGGATGGAGCGTCATTTTGAGCGCAATAGAAGTGGTAGCCCGCCGATGTTGCGCAAACCTCGCGGTCCAGACCTGGCCAATAAACCACGTGAGTTCTACTCGCGTGACCACGATGATCGGTTCTTCGACGATGATCGTCGGGGTAGAGGTAGAGGACGAGCACGAGGTGGTAGGGGACGAGGTCGTGGCGAACATGATTATAGAATGACTCGCGAGGAGTACAGAAATCGTGAGTCTGAGAGACGTCGACGACAAGACAACCGTTCTGAAGAAGACGATCTGCGTGAGACAATCAGACAACAAGAGCGTCTCGAATTCGAGTCTCCCAGAAAGCGTGGGGTTGTGCTCAGAGATAAAAACCTTGAACAATCTCGGGAGCCGAGCCGGAATCGTACACCACAGGATCGGCGTCTCCGGGAACGGGAAGCGAGTTACCGTGAAGCTAGTCAGCGCAATAGAGTCACGAGTCCGGAGTTCCGAGAGTCGCCCAACCGAAGCAATCGTGGTCGCATCGTAGAAGCTCGACACAGACAACCGATTGTCGAGGAGCCGCGACTTCGACGACGATCTTTAAGCGACGAGGAAGTTGAACGGGAAAGAAAGCAGCGTTCTTATTCCCCGTACAGGAAAGGGAATAAGAAAATCCAGCCACATCAAGGTCATGGACGAAACCTTGAGGAGCTTTACAATGAACAAGATCAATCTGATGGGAGCAGCGATCATCTACCAACAGCTCGCAAGCACAAGAGAGCGAAGGTCGAATCAGAAGAAGAAATTCAACAAAGTGTGGACACCGAAAGTGACGATGCTGTGAAACGAGTATCTGAGGGCAGCGCAGAGGAATATTCCGATGACGGCGATGTTAATGTAAAGAGAAAAAAACACAAGAAACATTCCAAGAAGAAGAAAGATAAAAAATCGAAAAAGAAGAAAAAAGACAAAAAGTAATCGGCAAACAGTCCCAAGTTACTCATGGAGATGCAACCCTGCTTATCTGCTCGCTTTTACAAAGTTTTTTTTTTTTCTGCGTAAAGGATGGTTACCTGCAATAGAAGCATCGTCTATTATGTGATTGACATTAATGAAAGCCTCATTACATGAGGTTTTAGTCTCGAGCTGTAGAATGTCCGATATAAAGTGAAATTACCGATACGTAGCCGGAGGGGATCAATCTTGATCACCTCTTGGCAGTTGTAATAGTAGAAGAGATTGTTGTACATTCTAAATTTATAGTCAATTCGTGTTCAAACTTATTTACTACGTTAACTGTATATCACCATATTAAATAAAAACCTTTATGTTTATGACATGCGTAACCTATAACATGGTTTTGTATTTTTCAGGCTTTTTCAGGTTCTGAATCTTCAGGAAAATAAGTTTCTTAGTTTCATGTTAAATATTAAATTTCCTAACTTTGCTCAATATTTGCTACTGAATTTGAAGCGTGATACGCTGATTTAGTGCATGGTACTTCCAGCAAAGAAGGAACGTACAAAAGCGACTAAAGGGAGCTGAAGCATCGTACGCTCGACCACCTTCAAGGAAGTGATGTGCCTACCAGCGTTCACACGAAGTTCTTCATTTGCAGTGTTAAATCAGTGATCAGTACAAAGAAAATGCATTCAAATATTTCTGACTCCCGAGGTATTGTGTTAATTTTTTTACTGTTCGTTGCCTCGTGAGGAGCATCCAAGATTGCTCGTGGTGATAAACCATACGAACATCGAAAGTGGTACGCAACACATATATCACAAGTGTTCCAAAACGATTATTTTTCTCCAGCGAAGAAATACCCGCACGTTACTTCAAAAACATTGTTTCTGCTCCAGGATGTTCAAAATTTTCCATTTTCTTTAATATAGCGGAAATTCTTGAATTTTGATCTAACAAGATCTAAGTAATTTAATTTTTACTCCACAGTGATATAATGCAGGTTGGGAGTGGAATTGGGCAAAATTCGTCTCGTGTCTGAATGCAAGTTTATTCAGGGATTTCGATTTTATAGATCATTCTTTGGCCGCAGTTACTCCCTCTTTCCAAATTTTATTCTCAGAAGATACAAGTGTTTTTATTTTCACACATCGAACTTTTGCAATTATGTACTTGCATATATTCATCTAGCATCGCAATTTCAGCACTTTCGTTCTACGCTCATTCTTTCGTTTCATTTCCTTATCTTGATGAGTTTCATGTTGGAATTGATAAAAAAAATTGCCTGGATGATTTCACAAATGGTTTTAAAATTTTTATCATTTTTGCTAACTAGTTGATATTGGCGTACTACAATTTCATGAAGTCTGATAATTTTTCACCCACAGGGGATTTTTTGTGTATAACCATTTTTCTGTTCCAGACGTTTCCTTACAGATCTATAGTTAGCAGGTTAGTAAAAATGGCGAATATCTAATTGTGATTCTTCTAACAGGGTTATTCAGAAAACTGAAAGTGACTTAAATTGAAGATCTCTGGAACTGTGAAAAGTGAAGTTTATGAAAAAGAAAGCCTTCCAGCCAGAAGACTAACGGTTGCTGCACGTTAAAGATTGGTTCTCAGGATATTCAGAACAGATTTTCTTGTATTATATATATTGAACCAGGCGGTAGATTCTGTAGTATTAGAACCTTACAATTAAACGGTGATATACAGTAAACGTGAAATTTTGCTATAATTATCCCTCATTGGTCCTACATTGAGCTTAAGATGACCGTTTCTTAGCACATGCTCAGTGCTGCGATTGAAAGTTAAATCGACAATTGTTAAGTACATGACAAGAAAACTTAATGCCAGTTAGAACGGAGTTTTAACAGTCCCCTGATTTTGTGACATTTTTTCTTCTTGGATCGCATAGACCTTCATTTTGCTTACTAACAATTTGAGTTCATTGATAAATATAGTTGCCTCATTCAAAGCAATGGATCTACATTAGATTGACTGCATTGTTACCCGATTTTCTAACCCGATGAACAGAAGAAAGAACATCATAGCTAAGCCTCAAACAGCTAGACTGACAAAAATTGTCGGGCACAAATGCTAATGGAGCCCAAACTTTCTGCAACAGAAAAGTCTTCTAAAATGGAAGGTACCCTCATACGAGTCCCAAGTATTTGATAGAAATTAAGGTATGCAGGTTGAAGGCAAGAAAAATTTTTAACTTAAAAATGAAATATTCGTCTACATGGACGGAATTAAAATAAAACCTAAGTAAAACGATAACGTAATTTTCGCATTGGAATGAAACGCATTACACGAATCACCACTACGAAGTTAAATAAATCTCAAATTGAAACATGCCACGAAAGGTTATTGAATCACAAACATTATTGCATTGAAATTTCGATTGCACACTAGTATTTCGCGAAATTCACAGAGCGCTCAAATAAAAATTATCACACCCTAAACACAACGAACTATTCCAAAGTCTTTCTAATATGTAAGGTAAATAGTCACCTATGAAATTAACTCAACAAAAATTTGAAGATAAATCGGATTGTCTTGAAATATTATGCCTTGCCGGTCAACCTCGCACAATTTAGCTGTTGGCAAGCAGTGGTTGAACACAACACCTCGGATCTTCATTTCCAATTCACGAGAGAAAAGCTTAGACATTATTGCACAAGTCTCAATTTTTTTTACAGCTTGTTAAGCTGCAGGATGAAAAAGCACCATTATTTATTAGATGCAAGTAGCTGTTATTTAAAATTCGTACGATGACGATTATTTCATAAATTATACGGAAAACTATTAATTTGTTAATTTTTAAGGCAAATTTAGGACCGCAATATAAGCAATGCTATTTCGGAGGCAATTATATAAGAAATTCTCCGTAAGCATCAGGACAGGCCATCATTATTATAACGATTACAATGTTGACATTTACCGGTAGAAGGCGCTTCGCCTTACGTACTTAGCTGGAATGGTGTTTGAAAAAATTAACTCAACATTTAAGAGATCTAACAAAGATGCAGAGCAGAAGTTCAGAAGGTAGAAATGCTAACACGATATTTACAAATTACTGTCATAGTTCATATCGAAAAAACCGGTTAGTGCACTTATGGACAATGTTTGATAGATAAATGTTATGTAGCTGATATCGAGCTCAGCTACACGAAAGATTCACTCCAAAATATAAGCTTAATTTTTATTTGCAACTGACACGTGTACTTCGCAAATGGAAGTTCTAATGCACTTTGGATGCCCTGAGGAAACCTCAATGCTCAACACGCTAAGACAAGTGGGCACGGCTAAATGTACATCTCGGTGTTACGCTTGACTTGATGACCGGTCCTGGAGTTCTGCACGGCCCAGTCGGCATCCGGGGCCAGCTCAGCACCGTCCGCTTCGTGGGTGCGGTAGTCGCCCTTGTGACGAGCGATGTATCGTCCAATCAGGATACCCAGAATTATCAGGATCAGGAACAGCACAACCAGAATCCCTGCACGAAAATTAGGGGCAGAGATTATACCTGGTGATGTAACAGCGTCAAAACAACTTTATCCCCTCTTTGGAAGCACTACTCTAATTATTACAAGCAATGCGAGTTTGAATATTTTCAAAACGCGACAAGAAATTAAAATGTTGATCAATTGCAATCGAAGTCACAGTCCTACCTCCCAACAGAGCGGAATTATCGTCGTAGAGCTCCATGAGCACCTCTTCTGACAGCAGTGGAGGAGGGCGCGTCTCTGTTTCCTCTTCCGGATGACGGATAGGTTCAATACCGCAATAGTCCTCGAATATCTTGCCAGCTGTTCAACGAAATCGATCAGTATCAAACAAAAAGTAATTCTAGAGTCAGTCTTGACATGCTTTACAATTAACTACTGAACATCTTGAAGCCCGAAACTTGAGAAGTAAATTCCAGCGATACAAGACGAACTTCGGTAGGGCATAAGATGAAAAAAGTATTCTAATTCGAAGAAAATACTCGTGATTCCTCAGGCATTTCAAGTTGAACAGCTGGAACAATTTGAATTCGCCAACGACTGTTAAATTGTACCTGCTTTATCCGGTAAATGTATTAAAAATCAAATCAAGTTTAGTTCAAGAAAATCTCTAAAATAAATTTTCTATTGCCGATAAAAATCGTTTGATCACAGTCAGTTAGTTACAGGGTGATTGATGTAAAAAAAATGAAATCATAAAGCATTGTCAAAACGCTTGTAACGATCGAGCCGTCTGAGCGGAGACACTCTTGCTAAACAACGCACGAGAGAAACCTTACAAGTTAGTTCAGTATTAGAAAAGCCTCAAGCCGAGTATAATTCAAAACAGGTTTTCACCTTTCTTAAAACCTATATAACCAGTTCAATGGGTAAACCAAATAAGCAGCTAATGATGTTGGCGATTTAATAGTTAAGGAGAATAATTTCTACAATTCACAAAGTTGTGGCTTGAAAAATACTGCACGAAACAGCGAGCGTTTCGAGCAGGAACTAAGAAACACACTGTCGAACGCCAGACTGCAATGCATAGTGCAGCGAAACCGACGGCCATCTCTTCCACATTTCATGTTTACACGTGAAGCATTGGGGTAGTTTGTTTATGCTCGCGGATGTTTACTGCTGCTGGCATGTCGAACGCAATTCTTTTCAGATTGCATACTTCTTTTTCACTGCGACTGCTGATGCACGAACAGGGATACCGAAAGCATTAAAATTGAATGATTTCAATTTTAGTCTAACTTAAACGAGAAAACTATAAACATGTTAAAAAGATGAACAGTAATGGTACTCGAAACAACTAACGAAAAAAGTGATAAGTGCTAAAACTCTCTAGGACCAATGAACAAGTTTTTTTTCATGCGTATGATAAGTCATTCAAGCATATTTGTTTCGAATTAATTTAATTGAAAAGATTTGATTAAGATAAGCGATGCATTACATAATTTAGGAATTTACTTATAGGAAAAATCTTTCAGAGACATTTTCAGATTGGTCCCCGCGATCTTCAAGGAATCATAGGATTTACCACGAATTAATCCAAAAGATTTTGTCCACAGTACGAAAGCATTCCGCAAAGAGAAGCAGTTTCCAGTAAACGGGTCGCCGCCATATGAATCAGATTAATAATCAGCTGTAAATTGAGAGTGTAGATTACTTGCATGCAAGATTATAAACAAACAAGACATAATGGTTAGACGACTTACTTGACTCAGCCTTGATGTTATCTGGTCCGTCCTGCTGGAACAAGAACTTGAGTGGGTAGATGTCGTCGAACTCGACCCTTGAGATGCACCCAACGAAGCCCTCAACCATACTCTCGTTCTTGCCTACGTACATGTACTGAATGTTGTTGAACTGCGCGTCGTCTGACTCCTTCACAGGGAACGTCCACTCTCTCGGATCATAATTGTCTACCTGCAAGATGATGAAAATGGAACGAGCGTTATTTCAAATGTACTGCAATGTCACTAATATTTACTAAATATACAAACCAATCTCATTGTAAAGTCTAAAACTATTGATGCCCAATTATTAGTATACAGGAATAACCCTTGTTTACTATGGTTTTTCCTCACAGTGATTTGTTTTGTTACAGAGGAAGAACGTAATTTTATTCTAGCACAAGCATACAGAAATCTCACCTCCATGACCCAAGTTTTGCCGCCGTCTTTACGATAAAGCCGCACGTCGTGGTTCTGGCCCTCGTGGAAGGTTCGTCCCTCGTACACAAATTCGTGACGCTCGAAACCGAAGTCGAACGTCACGCGCAGATGACCTGGACATGGAATTTTGAATTGAAATCTGATATTCAATATTGAAATTTAGAAAAATTGTAAAACTTGTACAGCAAATATGCACTAAAATTAGAATTACACATGCATCAAAGACCAAAGACAAGCTCCCGATTGCATCCACTGATGTATCGTAAAATATTAATTATGTCTATAGCCGAATCTCCATAGTCACCAGAGTTGGATAGAGCAAGCGTGAGGTATTCCCCGGTCATATTGCTGTAGAGACCCACAAGGAAGCCGCGAGGGTTGGTCGAGGTGAAACCCACACGAATCTTCTCAGCAATAGTGGACATGTAAGATCCTGGGATCTGATACTTGACCATGGTGTCCGTCAACATTTTAATGCCAATTTCTGTAGCAATAAGACAAAAATTTTACATGTGATTATAACAATGAAGTTATTATAGCTACGTAACAAAACACTCAGCAGTATAAAAATGTATATGTCGCCCCAGCAATTCGCTAAAATTCTTTGCCAGCTTGGTTCAAATCGTTTATTCAAGTACAAGAACAAAATTGGAGAATTTCAATTTAAAATTAATATGCACAAACACAGTCTTAATTTTTTGGGGGCTTCCCAGTAATGATTAGAACCGTCAGCGATCATATTCATAAATTGAAAGCATTTAAATAAGCCAGATCCATGGGTCAATAACATAACCACGTAACGAACCATCAGCACAGATAGGTCCCTTGAAGGCTGTCCAGCGACACTCGCAAGCGAAGCTATGGTACAGTTCGTAGCAGGTGCCGTTGTTGAGGCAAGGCGAGCTAACGCATTTGCCCACGCAGCCGCCATGCACGCCATACAAGCCTCGCTCAGCACGACCTCGCAGGTCCTGTAGCTCACCGTTCAGGATCAGCGCTCTGATGCAACCCACGTAACCGTCGCGGTAGTCCACTGTAGAGCCTGTAACACATTTCAGTGGATGACTTTCTGTGATTTTTAATGCAAAAATATTCAGTATAATCACAATCATTCTATTCGCTTTGCCGTGTAATCATGATTAAAAGCTAACAACAGGTGTTAGCAATGGTATTAAATAATCTCAAAATCATCACGGCAATCATAACACAAGAACGAATACATACGGTCACATAAATAACAATTTTTTAAATACCATAGAGAATTGAGAAATAATATAAGTAATATATGGAATTAGGGAAATTTTTTGAAGCATGCTCGATAAGGAACGGCGTTGAGCGGTAGTAAATATTTAGACTTTTTAATGCGCTGTGTTGAATAACTCGTTTTAAAACGGTGAAGCGTCTGATCTTCTCTAGAAATTATGCGTTAACATAGTTAAATAATACAGAATCCTGCTAAGCACAACACACATGGACTACAATGACTAGCGACTGAGTAGAAAATCTTACCAACAACAAAATCAGATGTGAGGTAGAGAGCTCTGACAGGACCGGGTGGCTCCTTGACAGTGGCCTTCCTGCCGCTGTCAACTATCATGCGCGCCTCCTTCCTGTTGCGCTCCACCAGCACCGAATGCCACGTGTCATCGTTGAGGACATAAGCCGTCTCTATGGTTACCGCCATGGGGCCAGCGCCTGCCTGGTACTGGAACTGCAGCACCAATCCACCTGCGTACAGATATAATAACAATGAAAATAATTTCGTGGCTAGACTTTAAAAACTTGCTTGTGCACCAGATTTATCGTCTATGATTGGTGGATTCAGCTTGAAAATTCGTCTATTATTGGCATACAAAGTTTTGACCATTTTTAATAGCACGGTCCTTGTTCAACCATTCTTTAATAGTACAATCGTACCATGTAAAAATTCCTCAAATATCAATATTATAATGGCGATAGTTACCGATAATGGAAACTTTGATGAAGTCTTCAGGTCCCCGGGCATGTATTAGGCAGCCGTCACGTGTAGTCGTCTTGAATTCGAAGTAAATATCCCCTGCGTGGCCCATGTCATAGCGTGGCAGATTAATGCTCGCGTCAGCCTTCCGGAACGTCACTACGTTGTCAAACACGTCTGCAAGACATCACAACTGTAGGTACATCCAGCATGCTTTACTGATGATTAAATTACTATTATTTCTCCTCAAGGTCATCCTCGTTTCAAGTCTTGGGCAATAAAAAATGAAATTAAATATTTAATATAAAACAAATTCCTGCATGATAATTCCCTTAGAGGAGAGTTAGAGCCCAAGTTATCCCGTTTTGGACCTGAGCAAGAATGAATTCATCATAATAACCATGTATTTCCGATTTTACAACGATTTTATTTCGGATTCAGACTGAATTTACAATACAAACACATAATATGAGGAGATTTTACTATTCGTTATCATTTTGACAAGAGTTTATTTCTACCTGTAATAATATTTAAAAAAACTAAGGAGCTTAATTTACATGCTAGCTGACTAGAGAGACAATTCTAATAATTGTGAAGTAAGTAATCGATCGAAATTTTTGGATTTGTTTACGAAATGTGGAACCTCTTAAAATTAACAAATAAAAATTTAAATTTACAAAGAGGCGAAAAGTTTTAATGAATAAAAGAGGTAAGATATGCTTTAACGTGTCGCAGTTTCCTCGCCCTAAATATATAACATAAATCATTGCTTACTATCTCCATCACAAATGAGAGGGCCGAGCTTGAAGCGCGCTCGCTTGCTGTCCAGAGGACTGCCTGTATCACCGATCCGCAGTTGCCGCACCGGCAGATGCTCTTTGATGGTCAGGTCCCCACTGTCGAATAGCCATGAGTCCCAGCCTGACCAATGAACGGAACTCTGGTTAGTCATGTACACTGAGAGAACATCGCTAAGACGTCAATTCAAAATCCTTCATGTATTTCAAGTCTGTTTTCACAGGAAAGAAAGTCATAAAATAAAATGCATTACTGTAGCGATACAGATACTAGAGTGAACTTGTTCATCATGGACAAGTAGTTTCGATGGGTAAATAAATATTGCAAAAAAGTTCCCTCACCCGAGTCACAATTACACCATCTAGTGGCATCCATGCAGTTGCCCGTGAGGCCGCACTCGCACTTGCGGGAGCCCGGCAGAGAGCCGCCCCAGTAGTCCATAGGCTGGTTGTGTCGGCTCACCCACCACGTTGAGGGCTAAAGGCATACAATTTCACCGAACTACAGTTGAAAGACAATAAAAAATAGAGTACAAATGTGAAAATGCTAGATAATTCTTATCAATGAACATCGCCCAATAAATTTGAGTCTAGATAAATCTGACCACGAATTTTGGCCATTAATTTGACTGAAAATTCATTCACAAGTCACATACCAATACAAGTGATTTATGACACAATACATTTCACTGTATTGCACATGCGCTAGGGATAAAAAAAAATGTTGCAATTTAAATTTTAGATGGTTTAGATAGTGAGGAAAAAATCTTCTTCCATTAACGAAAGAAAATATTGCAGTGTTACAAATCACTCACCCTAAATTGAGTGTCTTCATTGGAAGGCGTGTTGAACAGCCTGGCAGTAAGGCACTCAAAGTGAAGACGCTGGCGACAATTCTGTGATCTATAAGAAATAAATAACAAAAGAACAATCTTAGCCATAATCACACAAATTTAATAAAAAGCATGAGTAAATATATACTTAAGATTTGTCTTACATAGAAGAGGACACAAAATATAACCGATTATTAGCTTCTAATTATGAGTATTTACTCAGGCGAAATTCCACACAGGGATGACTGACCTGTTGACAAGCACTTCTATCTGATTGAAATCAGCATCATATTGTATATCCTGGACATAAGAACCAGCCGCACTGAAGCCGTCTACGGTGGTGAGCTGATTCTGCTTGTGGTGCAGGTGCGTGTATGTCTGGTCGTCATCTGCAGACATCACAATTTCAGTAACCGCACAAAATTAATTTATATGTATTCATAGTTAACGAAAAACTAAAAAATTATGCAATTGGCCTCATCCTACCAGTTGTTTAAACACGAATGCTGAAGATTTCAATGTCTTATTCAACTTTTTGGGCATTCTACATTATTGTAGAAGGTTTATGCTAAAAATAATGTAGAGAATCATAAAAAAAATTTCGCGTTACTATTTGCATGCTTCAAAGCTCAAAGCAAACTAACTGTAAAATTCGCAGGTGACAGGGAAGGGCTCCAGAGGTCCTGAACCATCAACGTCCAAGTAAATGTCAGCTTTTTTCGTGTGAGGATTTTGCTTGCCATATGCCGCACATGACACAGGATTCATGGCTGAAAAAACATTGTCTTAAAACATTAACGAAACACTAAACTAACATAAAAAGCGTAACAGACACAAAGCATTACATGAAGCACATTTATGATGGAGCAATTGTTCAACTTGTCTCAGAATTCAGCACTTGAGTACAAAGACTTCTATAATATATGCCGCCTGCTCACCGACATGACACACGGCACCGGAGTAGCCAGTGCCCGTACAGTCGCAATGGAACTCTTCCGAGTCTTGGTAGCAGGAGGCACCGTGCTGGCAGGGGTTAGGGTTGCAGCGGTCCAGTATTTCGCACGCCGCAACAACCACGTCCTCGGGCTGGATTATTTCCTATATGCCATGTCCAAGTTAAGTATATCTCTAAAGAATCAAATAACACCCAAGTCTACTGACACTAATTCAATATTTTGAAGCATTGAAACTTCAACAGAGTCGTTCAGAACATACATCTCATTTGAATCACATGCTGAGACATTTTGATTGGGAGTTCCATTCCTTATCAAATATTGAGGCTAGTATAAAAACGTAATAAAACAAAATCCTAAAGCATTAAAGTGCAGCTCACAAAAAGCTTACGGAAACCCTAAATCATTAATTTGGTCAGAAAGTTTCATCTAGTTTTATGAGCTTACCTCAGGTTTGGGCTTTTGGTGGTAACCCACTACAGAAATTTTCCGCAGACAACCCATGAAGCCCACAGACCCGTACACGCCGCCTATTGCACGAGAAAAAGCGAGCAACAGTAACTACAGGACAAATTTTCAACTAGATACACAACACAAAATTGTAATTATTATGACAAGAGTTGATGATTGCATCATATTTATTAGTTGGTGCGAGTGGAGAGAAAGCATTCTGTTCATCAGTGCTTGTTCATTTTTACTCACCAGCGATAAGGAAAAACTTGCCACTCTTGATATCGATGAGCCTAGAGGTGTGCATGGGCACGTCGTCAACCACAAGTAGCATTTTATTCTTACCGATGACAAGCTCAACCTGAAAGTTACATGCAAAAAGAAGTTGAAAAATTGTCTCATTGAAGGTCACTTAGAATACAAGGCATTTTAATATGAAGACACCATACAACCATACAACTGAAGAGTACACAATAAAGGTCAAATAGTTTATTTTGTCAAGCAAAATGACCAACGTTTAAATGGTACTCAACAGTCAAAAGAAAGCTTGTAATACAAGATTACCACTCAAATTGCGGTAAACAATACTGGTGTTAGAAACAAATCGTAAATAGGCAGGAAGCAAATACGACTAATAGCCTTCCAAGCAGGAAGCATGGGGTTAGACTGCTTCAGGGGGCTGTCCACCGAGGCAACAGACGTGGCAATCCGGGTGCTGTGACCTCCAGCTGGCGAGATGCGTGGCGCAATTATGTCGACCTTCTTTGATTTAAAAGAGAGTCATTTTAGCGCCAGTAAGTCGACGCACAGCGCAGCGACAATCGTGCGTTGATGCGTTTTCTAGATAAACTTATGGGAAGAAGTCATACAGATGCTTTGGGTGACGTTAGCGTAGAGGAATTCCATGCCGTTTTTGGAAACAAACCTTCTGCTATGAGAACGTCATCCGCCGATTTTCCGTCGGCAACATTTGATTGACTGCGTGCTCCAAGCATTCACTTGCGTCACAGCTGATAATGTCACTGCTGCAGTGCAAACGCTGCCTAACAAGGAATGTGCCAGCGATCTGCTGCCGACGACATAACAAGGGGAATGTTGTAACCCTAGCACCTTTTCTGGTTAAACTTTTCAACCGCTGCCTCCCAAAGGGTGTTGTTCCAGAGAACTTCAAATCAGCTTACATTACGCTTCTTTTAAAAAAAACAGACCTTGACGCTTCTGACCCAAATCATATTTACCCATTTCCAGCCTGTCGATTTTGTCAAGACTCTTTGAAAGAGTTGTAGCCTGACAGATGAATAACCAACTGTCTTGAGCAGTCCTGTCTTAAGCCTCTCCTCCAGTCTGCATACCCTCATCTCCACTCGACGGAAACCACTGTACTGAAGATGTTTTTTGGGTATTCTCCGAGCAGTATACCGCGGTACAGGCTTTACTAGACCTGTCGGCTGCATTTGACACGGTCGACCACGCCAATTTATTGCGTTGACTTGACGTATCACTCGGCATGCATGGCACAGTATTGCAGTGGTGCGAGTCCTATCTCAGCAATAGATTATAATGTGTTTGATGCGGTAACTCTTCTACGCCATCGTTGGTCATTTGTCATGTCTTATCATACAATGTCGATGTGTTGCACATGATTTTTTTCACATAGTTTGAATCCACAATGTTCGCTGATGACGCCTAAATGTATGCATACTGTACACCAGTTGACCCTGCAGTATTGTAGGACCGGAGTTTTGCATGGACGACATCTGAGACTGGATGTATGCCAACTGGCTTCAGCTCAATGCATCAAAAACCGAATTTATTTCGTTTGCGACTGCTCGGCGCCAGCATCAGCTTCCGGCCAACCTTGTTCACGTGAGCAACAGGTTTTTCATACCTGTGTCTTCGATTCGCAGCCTCGGCATTCAGCTGGACTTGGAACTTTCTATGAACAATCGCAATGCTAAAGTCTCCACCGCTTATTTTGGCGCTCTGCGACGAATTTGTAGCGTCAGCTGCTGTCTTTTGAGGCCGGTCCTCAAGGGCCTCGTGGTGCCGCTCGTTCTGACCACATTGGACTATGACAATGCCACACTCTATGGACTTCCGACCGCAACACTTGATAAACTGTAATCCGAAATGAAGCATGCCGCGCGACTTGCGTCTTTATGGTGAATTCGACCACGTAACGCCAATAACTCAATCTTTACTGGCTGCGCATGCAGTAGTAGGGCAAGACATTCAAGACCGACATTCTGACGTTGCAGGGTCTTCACAGTCTGGCGCCTCCTTATCTCGCGGAAGATTTGCAGCACGTGTTGGATCTTCCTTGTACTGAAGCTGAACTGAACTGCGTTTGTCATCAACAGCGGACCTCGTCGTACCATACACATGTCGTCCACATTGTTTCAGGTGTTTCGTTGACAACTAAACACAGAACTATTTTGTGGGGCCTTTGAATGTTGTGCAGTCACTTATCCATCCTCATCCTTTCTCGTGTCTTATTTTTCGCTAGCTATCAAATTCATGTGTAATGTGCCCTCAAAGTTTGTTAAAACCAGAAGAAACTACAATCGCTTTGTATAATAATAAATAAATACTAATAGTCTGAGCGCATACTGACGTAATGCCAGCGGCCGTCGTTGTGGGAGCTCTGGAAGTTGTCGAGCAAGATCTTGCCGGGCGTCTGGCGAGCCATCACCTCTACCTTTACGTGGCCGTCCTCCAGGAACAGCTGCTCAAAAACGTACATACTACATCATTGAAGACCAGTTTAGTCATTCAGCTTTATTCGCACAAGCATTTTTAAAGACCTGTCTAGTCATTCAGTTTTGTTTTTGAGATCGTTACTTAACAACCTCAATAAGGAATTTAATCTAAGTTTAGTAACCAGTTTTTTCACCTCACTAGCAAAGTATATTGGAGAATTTAGTATTCTAGGCTACAGAGAATCATTTAACATACATTTGTCAACATTGAAATTTACACTGCCTAAGCCATGAAGATGCCGGTAACAAAGCCTTATTTTTATTTAGTCTTTTCGCCCCAAAATAAAAACTGAAGAAAAAATTAGAATACAATTTTCACAGAAAATGGAAAAGTACAGCCAAATGAATTGATAACAAGTGTTAAGTAGACTTTTTCTTAGCAAGAAAATCTTGCCTAAAACTGAAGGCAATGATTACAAATATGAGAGGAAGTGCAAAACTATCTTCCGTTCGAACCTTGAAGTAGCCTTCTTCCGAAAACTTGTGATAGATGAGTAATCCTTTAGGCTCGTAGGTACGGAACTCAAGGGACACATTGATGCTGGGGAAATCTTCATAGGAGTTGTAGCGCAGATACGCCTCAGGACTCTTGAAAGTCAGCGTTAGATCCACCGACTCGCCGTACTGCACGAGGAAAGGAAAAACTTTTCATTAAAATGCAAACCGGTTTAACAACTAAGCTTTTTTAAATACTGCAGCACTAAAAGCACCAATTCTACAGTGTCTTCCATAAACTTATAAAATCAGATCCGACCCGTTGTGCTCAGTTATTGTCTTGCCCTTTTAGAATTGAACTCACTGGGCAAGTAAATTCCGTGTTGATGAGCTTGTACGTTGGCTTGCCGTAATACTCAGCATGCGGGTCAGGATTCTTCATCTGATGCACCACAGAGGTGCCGTTGATGAAGAGGTTCTCGAGGCACCCCGTGAAGTTCACGCGGCTCACGAGACCAGGCTCCCTGTTCGGAACTCCGCCGATGTAGAACTGTTAACAAAAATTTGAGCGTCAAGAAAATAAGTAAAAAAATCAGAAATTAACAAAGGTGTAAGTCCAGTTTAAAGATTGAAACCCAGTGCACAAGAATCTAAAAAGCTCAAAGATACTTGATTGCAGTTTCCTAAAACAAATTAAGCAAAGGGCAGTCGCACGGTCGAGAGTATTGAGCTTACCCGGATAACTTCGGCTTCCTTAGGTTAACTGTTCCAGACAATCAATAAGGATTCTTTACCAAGTAACCAAGCAAGTTATTCAAATATTCTGTTGCTATCATTTCTGCTAAACTGAAGTAAATTAATGTGTAGACATTATTCTTACTTTCCTGTTGAGGTCGAGTCTGGGATAATCTCCCACAATAACGTCATCTATGCGGACGCGGTCAGCGAGCAGCGAGATGTTGTTGTAGTTGCGCCTGATCTCGATGTCGTGCCACGCGTTGTCGTCAAGCAGAGACCCCACAGACAGAGACGTCATCTGCTGTGACCCTGTCATCCATCATAGTCGAAACATTTTCTCAGTTCTTCTATTAAAAACTGACGTTTAGTACGTTTATACCAAATAAAATTATATGCCTCACAGTAATGAGAAAAAGTTACCAAAAATTTATGTTTTTCACAGCGACTTGCAGGGGAAAAGGCCTTAAAAAACAGTTTCATGTTTTTCATCAAAATAGAGTAACATGACTACTATGTATATTTAATTCAGTCCAATGCAGTTCATCAAGTTGACTCATTGAGTTAACTTGAAGTAACGGTTACTACAAGTTGACTCATAAAAAAATTTATTCTCTTGGCCGACAAGTGACCTGCCCAAAATACATGTTTATGTGCAGCGTTTGCATTCATGAAAGCTTGCAGAGCTCAGTAAACATGACAATCCTCACCAAGGTTGATGTTCAGAACAAGGCGGTTGTTAACGAGCTGTAGCGCGAGGTAGTCGCCTTGAGACCCACGCCCGTAGAGCAGGACGCCGTCAGGCTGGTTGGTGCGCAGCCTGAAGCGCATGTGGTCCAGGTTGCTGATGATGGGCGCGTGCTGCAGGTTCATCTCCACCATTGATTGCCCACGGAAGCTGATGCTCTCGCGCACTGACAAATGCAACACTCAACAAATAAATCTTCCATCATGAACACGATATAGCGTGGAAATAAACGAGATGCACAAAAGTCATTGCAGCTTTAAAATTGATATTTCACAAGCAGCTAAATGCCAAAGCAAGCAGCTAAATGACAAAGTTAGCCGAAGCAATTGAACGGGTGTAGAACTGACCGTATTTGCAGCCGTAAACTTCGACCCTCATGGAGATCCTGTCGCGCCATCTGGTGGGGTTGATGCGAAGGTACCGCGCAATGATCTCCGTCTCAAAGCGCGTCACCACAACTGTGTTGCCGTCATTGTTGCCACGGAATGCCTGCCACAATACGGTAGGAGTGACAATGTGAACAATTAATATTTCAAACGAGCTTATTGAGTGATAATATGAACAATTATGCAGCATAAATTACAGCTTTCAAAATGCAAGTACATCAAAGCTTCCGGACAAATGCATGTAAATCAACAGTGATCAGTCAGCTATGTTGCAAAATCAAAGACAGAATATTTTTCTAAATTTACTTGCAATAGGTAAATAATGTAATACCATTAGTTATTCATTTGCCATCCAAGTGCTTCCATAACAATTGAGTTTAAAAATCGTCAATAAATGACTTTAAATTTCAAATAAATAATCACTATCACGCGAAGGTGGCAAGAAAAATCTATCACGTACCTGATCCAAGCTCAGCACTATCATTTTACCACATGCTAAAATAAAAGATTTTATAAATCCACTTATTGTTGTAATTAAATTTTATTAACGAAAATAGATACAAAAAAGTAGTGAAGCAGTAGAAGCATGCACACGCAGCAAAAAAGAAAGCTAAGAAGCAAATGAAGCCAAACATAGGATCAAATATTGTAAGTAGAATTATGAATTCATCAATTATTTTGGTCGCTTAGTACATAATATTCTCTTTGGTTCATCGTGCATATTAGATAATTAATTATTTTATAATTAATGTTTTATAATCTATGAAAAAATAATTAGATAGAGTAGAACTCACAGAATCTTTAATGTTTCAAGAAACTTTTGTTCAAAATTACGATACGTGCAGTTCAGAATCTTAGGCACAACGGAGCTGTAAAGTGTAAACTAACAAAACGGGGAAAAAAACTAACAAAGCCAGGCACACTAGAAAATCCACTCAAGACGAAAGCCAAGCGGACAAGCAAGTTTGGCAAGAGACCTCTTCTAGACCGCCCGCATTTTTGTAGCTGATCCATGAGTCGCCGTTAGTGGAGTACTGCAGTAGGAACTCTGACACGAACTCTCTTGAGTTCTGTCTGCCCTGAGTAGCGAACTTTGAGACGCGCATCAGCTCGGGCAGTTCCACCACCAGGCGCTGATAGTAATTGTTGTGATTGGGCGACCACGCTGAGGGGCCTGGACACGATCGCAGTCACACGCCAGTCGGGGGCAGCAGTAAAGAGAATAGTTCCAAGGTATGCTTTAGTCCAAAGGAGGAAAGAGGTGAGCGTGGTTACATATTGAAGAGAGTGCAATATTACCAGGGAAGAAGCCACCGCAGAAATAAAAGTATTACTTGTAGTTTGCAAAGAAATAGAAAAACTTTAAGAGTGCAAAAATTCAATCTTAGTGCGCGAGACTAGCGAAAATAAAAGATAGCAGCATGGACGAGTGTCAGTTGGAAAGAACAAGTTGATCATGGAAATAAACATAGGATAAAGAACATTAGGTTTGATACAAATCTGAGGACATGTATGTTCAAGATAAATAGTAAGAAATTAAAGTACCGCTCGTCACCTTCCGATTAAAATAAAAAACTTTTTATCCAAAACTGGTTCACATACCAATTAACCAGTAATTATTACGATCACATATCAGTCAGCACCAAAAACTTTACCTGATGCGTAGCCAAAATGTTCAAGGCGATCTTGACAGCATTTCGTAACACTCGCGCGTAAATTTCAAGTATATACTTAAGTCTGCATAACATTTGAATTTATCAGAAGTACTATGTGGCTGCTTTAGAGACAATTTATTCATACTCACAACGGATTGATCTTTGACAAACAAAAGAGAATGTTAGAAACAACGTACTATGACTGATATCAATACTGGTATAAAGGAAAAAGAATAATCCATCAGTACCGCAATTGAACTTGTCTCTGACTCTGCCAGTGCCTGGGCACAATACCAATGCAAGGAGTTTGTCACTCAAAGAACCAACTGAAGAACCAATGGCTTTAGGGCCGAGAAATCAGAAACCAGAAGTACCAGATGGCTGCATACAGGAATCCATAGTCCCGTGTTGAACTCGGAGGCATCCATGTAATGTGTATGAAGAAGAGATGTGGGGAGCGTCGACTCACCCAGATGCTTCCATCAGGACCCTTGATCTGTGAGAACAGAATGCCATCCTGCGCTGTGGAGAGTGTGAAGGCCGTCACATACTCCTGAGAGTCCTGCCGTCCCTGAGTGGCTAGCGCCGTGATGTTCTTCGTGTCGCCCAAGTCAATCTCGAGGTATTGTGAGTAATCCGCACTACGAGCTGACCACGCACCAGTTTCTACATGCACATGCATCAAACAAAAAAATGAATAAACAATAAATATTTAATTTAAAAAAGATTTAGAAATAAAGTACAAAATATAAAAAAATAACAGGGATAAAAGCAGACATGAAACATAAAAAAGTATGGCTCAATAGCTGCATCAATAATTTATTTTAAATTACATTTGAATAAAAATGAACTGATTTTGTATACACATTGAAATTAATTGCAGTTCTCTTTGAAGAGCCAGTAAAACAATTACAAGCAAAATTAAGCATCAGCGAATACTGATAAAATAATAATAATGATAAATGATAGTAACTCATGGGTTTAATGAGAATGTGTGATTTTGTCAATAGAACAAAATAATTTTTTCTGTTAGAGAGTTGAGGGATGATGAAAATGGCCGTATTACGTCAGAAAAATTAAAGCTTTTGAAGACATGGAAACTTCAATAGGGAAATGATTAAAAATAAGTTTCTGAGGTTTATTTATAATCAATATTTAATTATGTTTCAAAACAAATTGCTGGAAATGGCTACAGCAAACAGCATAAAAATAAATGGAATCGTACAGTGAAAGGTAAGTTTGTGTAATGACCTCTTCAAAACAATAAAAAAACTTGACTCCTCGAGTCATGAGAAACTCAAGCCATTGATCTAATCTAAGACGGGTGACATCTTATTAATGACCAGCACATAGGTTGAAGTTTCATTAAAACATTACCTCAATAAATATGATACACTTCCATGAGTTCATGTAATGTGCTTCTAATTATTTTCAGCAATACCATTCGTTGAATGATCTTAATTTTAAGAATGAAGCTAAATCTCTATAAAGTATCAGGCATTTGAATTTTAGTTTTAGAAAAAAAAATGGTTCCCCTTGAAATATACACATAACCTTGGCACACCTTAGCAACCTATTTTAATAATAAGATGTGGAGAAACAATAGCTCCTGATAGAAGTATGGACAAATGATTTATCAATATTTTTCCTCCGTTATTGGTGGAATTAAGAAGAAAAATATTGATCTATACACTACGCAAAAATATACCTAACAAGATGCAATATAGATATTTTGTCTACAATTTCAATTTTCAGCAAAGTCATTTTGCATTACGGGAAGATTTATTGATAAACTTGACACCAGATCTCAGTTCCCTTGATTCCTCTAAGACTTCTAGGAAAATTACATTAGATTTACTGGTACCTTACATTTTATGAACTACAACGTCAATGAGGAAATCTACAACACTCCGCCAAACATAATTAATCAACACCACCATTGCAAAACGTATACCGGTAACAATATTTACTTGGTGCTCAAGGTGGTATAAAACCTCATTTTGTCCATAATAATATAGGTATACAGTGCTTTTACAGACTTAAATCAACAGTAAAGTATCAAAGTTATTTGAGCTCATTTATCCAAGTGTAATAACATACCGGTATGTATGCATTAATACACCTATTGCAATAATGGCTAAAAATTGCTCATTCTGTGGATTTGGATTATTTTGACAAGAAAACCTTTTTAAGAGAAAGGGATGAGGATCATGGCAAGTTGGCCACATAAAAAAAAAAACATGGAAAAAAATTGTAGTTAACGTGAAACATAGTTACCAAATAAATTCTCAAAGCCATTAAGAGAGCCATGAAGCAAATTCTTTCTCTGTACACAACTGAACTACCTCATCAGAAACCGCAGAAAATTCAGTCAAATCAGCAAGAATATCGAGGAGAGATAGCATTTGAAAACTTGACAATGCACTTGCATTTGGTGATGCTTTCGTTTTGCTTTTGGAAGCATTCAATTGAAGATTTGGGAGGTAAGCAATTGCACAAGAATGTTTATCATCAAGCAAATATTCTTCAAAATTCCAATCTTGATCTCTTAATCCCTCCGCAGAAACTGTTGTGTCTTGAACAACCAAATTTCTTTCCAGTTTTGGAGTACTTAGTTTGAATGATATTTTCTGAAGATCGTACCCAATTCCAACACCCAGAGCTTTCACAAATGCCTCTTTGAGACACCAGTGGCGGTAAAACGAGGCCAACTGAGACCATTCATCCTCTTTGGTATAGATGGTGTTCCACTCCTCAGTGGTGAATTGCCTTTTCATCAGCCGGAAGAACTCAGATGTGCTTTTACCACCACAGTATTGAACTTTCATGACATCAATGCCAACTTTACACTGTTTGCCAGCAGCAAGTACCACCCAACTGCCTTGATGCGATATGTTAACATCAACATCATGCCCAGGCAACTCGTTTCTTAATACCAGTTCTGGGCGTCCCTTTTCAGAACGAACAAATTGAGCAGCAGATCCATGCAATCCCTGACATTTGGCAGCCCAGCGGCGTAGCAAGAGTCGGCCTACAAGACTGGAAACTGCTGAGTTGCTGTAGACAAACTCAGATATCCGCTGCACCTCTTCAGGCTGAATAGCAGACAGACAATGTCTCCAATTCTCAGCGGTGTTCACCCACTGACTTGTGTTGAAAGCCCACCGGGTAGTAATCATTTTCAGAAAATTGCACTAAACATACACAGTCTTTCAATTGATTTGAACAGCCTAATCACACTTTAAAAGAAGTCTTTGTCTTCGATAATTCTAGTGAACTTTCGTTGTCTGTTAAGTCTAGTAAATTGTACAAAATATTCTTTCTAATGAAATCCCTGCTTTTGCCAGATAGAAGCACCAACTTGCACCATAGATCTCATGACATGTAGAGTAGGTTGATTCACAAGTCCCATGAGACACCAACATTTGCACCTAAGAGAACACAGCACGCCATTACTGTCTCTCACAAGCTGTAGGTACAAATGATGGTATCTGAAGGGTTAAGTATTCATTGAAAGCTCTCTTTGATATCATCTTGAATTAATTATGATTGCCCTTAAAACCCAAATACTTGGTTGTTTCTCAAAGACGTTGTTCACACAAGACAATTATGGAAGCTGAATTATAAATAAGTGTTAAAATTTAACAAATCCATGAACCTCAGATTTTAAGATAACAAAGAACAGTACATTTAATCTCCAGATCTTTTTCCTGGTCTCAGTAGGTATGTTTACCTCTGGATTAAGAACTCTATAATTATTTAAATGTTTACAAATATATGCTTGTCACTAAAGCTAACATTAGCCTATTTCACTAGTGCTGCTACATCGACATATGTAATAAGACAAATATAAGTCCTGTTCCTTGTCATAACAGAAACTATTTCTTAATACTGAACACTGTGAGCTTACTCAATAATTGAAGGTTTACTTTGGTAGTGAAAAAGAACAAGCATTGAATAATTAGTCAAATCATAGAATGGAAAAACTTTAAAATGCAACTATGTGCAATGAAATGGCAAAGAAGTAAACAAGATTCTAGACTCACCATAAAGGATGGCTTTATTGGCCTCTCTGGTGACCAGCTCTGACGATGCTCTCAGTCTTGACTCGTGGATCAGAGGATATTCACACCATTCTGCAATATTATAAAACAGTGAGAAATTCTTTCTTTCTCTCTTTTTATTACATCAAAATTTCTGAATAAATCTTCATCACTTAGTACATAACAATACATATGTAATATTAAAACCACATGTGAAAACCAGTAACAAGTAAGTTCAAAATCACAAATGTACCTAACTTAGAAGTTAGGCAAATTTCTGTAATTGTGATAATTTCTGTGACTCATAGTGGTCCAGAATAATCTAATTGCAATCTCTTACTGCACAAAATTTAGTTTTTCTACATGCTGTTAATTATATATTAGTATAGGATGGCAAAATTTGTTCATTTAGAAAGTCTGAGTGAATACAAGGGAGCGAGTTTCCAGTTTTATAAATAATTTTTTTTATTGGCTTCCTCATTAAGTTAAACTAGATTTTTTTGTAGGTGTTTGAAGATTGAAGATCAAGTTTCTGAATGGCATTTTTAATATTTCCATTTTTTTTAATGTATCAACACTCATAAAGGTATAGGATGCATTGAGTAATGAGCATGTATCATAAATAACAATATATTCAAATCAATTTAAATACAAAATTCTGTATATATGATGTATATAATAAAAATTTGATTTGGATGGAAATAAAATGATAAAATCATATAAAAAAGAAAATGCTTAAATAGTAGTATATCATTTACCAATAAAAAAAGCCTATAAGTTCTGACAAATCTGGTAGTTTGAAGGTTGATAGCTGGAATCTCTTCCTTAACCCTTTCACAGGCAAGTTCCCATTTATGGTCACTGAAAATTGCCTCCACAAAAGATCAACCATGGTGTCTGGTTTGTGTGTAAGGCTTCCACATCATGTTTAAGTCAATCATTAATTATCTAACCATTGTTCCATGCATAGCATCACCACTTACCATGCCCAAAAATTAAACTATGAGCATTTAAATGAAAGTTTTGACTTGGACAATAAAATAGACACTCTTTCCACATTTTTTAAAAGGCAGAAAAATCAACATATATTAAATTATTCAAGATAATTTGATTAAATTGAATCAAATTTAATTTAAATTATTAATATTCACATTTGCATACAATAAATTTTAATTACAAAAAATAATTTTGTGTTGTGATCACATTTAATAAATTCTTCAAGCATAATTTACACCTCCAAGATAGAAAAACTTTTTTCTTAAATACATAATAGTAAATATTTCATATGAAAGTTCTTAATTTCTTGTACTAATTTCTAAAATTTTAATTTCTCAATATTTCTATGCTTGCCCACAAAAGGGGGTTAATGATGAGAGCTTCAGCTATTGCTAGTTGGTGACAATTAATAATGACAATTTTAATTATAATTAAATATAATTATCTCAATCAGCAAATTTGAGTTTGAATGGAAATCATTAAGGTGAATGAGTAAGAAAAAATAATCAATGTGCCTCCTCATCCCTGCCATATAACTTCAAGTGATAAGGATATATTACACATAATAATATAAAATATAATATATAATATATGAACATTATTATTGGGTAGAATTTAAAAAAAATGCAAGCAAAAACAAGTGTTACACAAGTAATTTTCAAAAACCATATGCAAAGATGTGTCATTTTTCTGAATTTGTATAGAAAAAATTATACAAGGGTCATATGATATACTGTATATATTAGATTTAGAATATATATATATATACATTAGAATACATATATATATGTATATATACAGGTTTGATTGAAGACCAGAGCGTACTTTTTATTTACAATTTTCTTATGTTTTTTTTTTCGATGAGCCGAACGAAATTTCTTGCAGGTGCTTGGAGATCAAAAAGCAGATTACCGAATGACATTTTACTGGAATGCGACGTTTCGAATATATCAATTACAGTTATTACAACGCTAAAAATTGAAATTTGGACATGACATAAGTTCGTACAGAAAGTATCGTAGATACGGTTCAAAATCGAAAATCAAATTAATCCGAGAATAATTTCAACGTCCTAACGAATCCCGTGGTTTGCAAATTGATAGCAGGAGACTCGTCCTTGATGATGAGGGCCTCCGCTATCAAGAGTCTCGTAGTGTCGGGGCACCGCATGACGATGCTGGTGCAGGCCTCCAACGTGGCACGGGTGATGGTCTTGTTGTGAGCCTCCCGCATATGATTCTTTGGTCCTCCAGCTTGCAGATGGCATGTGAGTCTGCGGCTCAATGTCGTGCTTGTCAAACCGATGTAATTTACATTTTGGAGAAGTCTACAACCTTCTTTCATGCAGGAAAATTTGTAAATGACATTGGTTTCTTGTAGCGGTCCTGACTTTTTACATGGATTGTTTTTCATGATTAAATTCTTGATCTTTTTGTTTCTGTAGTAAATCAAAAGTTGTATTCGGTCAGTTACTGTTGTGCAGCTGATGTTATTTTGCACAATTGAATTGAGGACTCGTTCGTCAGTCCTATGACCGTCGTTCATTTGATTTTGATAGTAAATTCTGGTGACGCAACCTCTTGATGGGGAATCATCTGTTCGGTTTTGACGTGCTCTGATATTTGAAATTTCTTTGTCAATTGTTTTGTTTGCATAGCCGTTGTTGACAAGAATTTGTTTGCAGGTTCGGAGTTCAGTTTTTAAGTCACGAGCAGAGGTACAGGTCTTGAACGCTCGATGTATGAAGGCGCGTATTGTGCTGATTTTGTAGCGCTGGGGACATTCGCTTTCTTGGTTCAGGACCTTTCCGACGTCTGTAGGTTTCCGATAAACTTTAGTAACGAACGAATTATTATCGTCTTGCACCAGGACGTCCAGAAAAGGCAATGTGCGATTTTGTCCGAATTCGTAAGTGAATGTCAAAACGGAATTGCATTCTAAAGCCGCGCGCAGCTCCATCATGTGAACTTCATCTCGAACGATGACGAAGATATCGTCGACATATCAACAGTAAAGGTCAGGTTTAATTTGTGCATTTAAATGCTCATAGTTTAATTTTTGGGCGTGGTAGGTGGTGATGCCATCATTGCTATGCATGAAACAATGGTAGATAATTAATTTGTGCAACGAGACCATCACCCGTGCCACGTTGGAGGCCTGCACCAGCATCGTCATGCGGTGCCTCGACTCTACGAGACTCTTGATAGCGGAGGCCCTCATCATCAAGGACAAGTCTCCTGCTATCAATTTGCAAACCACGGGATTCGTTAGGACGTTGAAATTATTCTCGGATTAATTTGATTTTCGATTTTGAACCGTATCTACGATACTTTCTGTACGAACTTATGTCATGTCCAAATTTCAATTTTTAGCGTTGTAATAACTGTTCACTTGCTTGATAATTAATATTGATATATTTGAAACGTCGCATTCCAGTAAAATGTCATTCGGTAATCTGCTTTTTGATCTCCAAGCACCTGCAAGAAATTTCGTTCGGCTCATCGAAAAAAACCATAAGAAAATTGTAAATAAAAAGTACGCTCTGGTCTTCAATCAAACCTGTATAAATGAAGAACTTCTGCCTAACTACACTAATATATATATATATATATTTAAACACGAGTGGTTAATGACCAGAGAAATCATTGATTTAAATTTTCAGGATCAAACAATATTCTTCAGTTGACGTTGGTTGATAAAAATTCAGGTTCAAGGAAGTAATTTAATTTATTAACGACGTTTCGAATGTGACATCATTCATTTTCAAGTTATAGGAAGCATTGAATACTGAAATTTTGGCGGAAATAAGTACATGATACACGTAAATATGATACAACACGAAAATTTGGAACCGCGAAAATAATTCCGAAACAATCTCAAAGTTCAGAAAATCCGGTAG